CTAATTAATAATAATATAATTAGTATATATAATTAATTTACTATCTAATTTAGATATATATAACTAACGTAATTACGCACTTTTTTTATTTATAATTATACTTTTTAAACTTTATATATAATCTTCTAATCTTCGCCTTCACGAAGTCTTATCTTTACTTCGCTTCGATAATTTAAATAAGTCTAAATTAGCAATTAATAAATTATTAAGAATTTCTTAAGCTTTCGCGACTATCGAGTTAATAACTTTAATAAATAATAATATTATATATTAATAAATTATACTTAGTATTATAATTAATTATTATATTAAAAGATATAGCGCTATTAAATATATATTTACTTTATAAAAATAATATTATTAATTTAATTTAACTATAGAATATAGAGAAAATAATTTTATTTTCTTTAGATATAAGTAATATCGTAATAAACGAGTATATTATAATATAAATATTATAATAATAAAAAGAATTTTTAAGAAAGAAGAGAGTGAATTAGAAAAGAATAATATTAAGTATTTATTATTAAGCTAACTAATATTATATAACTAAAATCTTATTAGAATAAAATATTATTTAAAGATAGATTAAGTTTAAACGTTAATTAGAAAACTAATTAGAAAAAGAGATTAATTTCTTTTTTATTAATACGCATCGTAGAGCTATATATAAGCGCTTCTTTCTATATTTTAAATATACTTTAAATATTTATAGCTATATATATACGCTCTCTTTTATATTTCGTATATTTCGATATTCTTTATATACGCGATATATCTATTAAAGATAATCTTATTAATCTAACTAATTTCTATTTAATCTTATATTTATTAATTATAAGAAAAGCTCTTTATTTTAATATTATAACTTTACTAATTTATTATTCTTAGATATCGAACCGCGTATAGCTTACGATTAATTTACTTATTTTCTCCTCTTCTTCTACTCTAAAGATAAAAGAAAATACTATTTCTTTTTCGCCTTCGTCTATAATAAATTAGTTATCATTTTTACGAGATTAAAAATATCGATTTAAAGACGAGGTTATTTAATTAAAAGCGAAGAATATAATATTTTAATATTTTAACGTTTAAGTAAAAGATATTATAATATTACTCGAATAAGAGAGAGCTATATTAATAAGAAAGATTTTAAAACTTAAGAATAATCTTAATATAGCGAAAGATTTAATTTTTATATATAGAAGATTTAGATAATAATTAATCTAGCTAATTAAATTATTAAAGTATTTAAATTAAATTTTAATTCTATATTAATATCTAATAAAATTTATTTAATAGTTCTAAAATATTAATATACGCTCTTATTAATATAGCTAATAATTAGAATATTAATTAAATAAATATAATTTCTAATTCTAATATTTAAAATAATATAATAACGAATAAGTAATATTAAAGTAAATTAAGTATATATTATATTAAGTAGAAAAGCGTTAATAGCTAAGCTAATTAGAGTTTTAAATTAATTAAATTAAATATTAATTCTATATTAGTATTATTATATACTTTTAAATATATAATTATTAATTATAACGCTAATTAGAAAAGATTAATTTCTAATTTAAAATATTAAAAATAATATAGCGATATATTATTAAAGCGATATGAGTTATTAAAGTAATATAAGTTTTTATTATAGTAAGAAGATAGAATTTATATATTAAATATTAATTTCATTTTATTTCTAATATTTTATTTATTTACGTATCTCTTTTAATTTCTCTTTAAATATCTTAATCTTACGATATTAACTAAACCTTTATTTAGTATAGATCTAGCTTTCTTAATTAACGATACTTAATATAAGATATTAATAAATATATTTCGATATAAAGATAGTAATAAATCTTACTTTCTTTTTGATATTAATAATAAAAAATAATAAATATAATAATAAATAAAGATAGTATAAATTATATAGAATTAGTTTAAATTTAATAGCGACTATTAGTCTATTTATTAAAGCTTAGAAATTAGAAAATCTTAGAAATAGATATAATTTAACGAATATACGCTCGTCGATTTTAAAAAGTTATATATTATTTATCGTTATTACGATAAGATTCTAATTTATTTATTTATAGATTACGAAATAAGCGATATAATAATATATATTAAGTTTAAAAAATATATTAAGAAATCTAATTTAAGTAATTTATAATAAACGAACTTAATTAATAATTATAAAAATTAGATATATTTCTAAATTAGACGATATAAACTATTAATAAATAAAATAATAAATAGAATATCTAGTTTACTATTTACTCTAGAAAAGATAATATTAAGATTCTCTTATAATATTAGAAAATCGAAAGCTTATACGCGAAGACTTCTCGAAATAATTTTATCGCTAAATTATAAATATTAATATTTTATTTATAATTACTAATAATTCTAAGATACTATAACTCTTACGCTATTTTAACTCTAATATATAATTAGAGTTAATATTTATTATAAAGAATCGATTAATAAGAAAAGCTATAGAGCTAGAGATAAAATTACTAAAGAATTTACTAGTTAATAATATTAAAATCTCTTTAATTCTAAATTATTAGTTATCTTATAATCGCTAATCATTTATAATAATTCTAATCTTTTTTATTAATATTAATTAATAATAGTATAAGATTTTTATAGACTTCGAGTATATCGAAGATAAATATATTAATTAGAAACTTATAAGTATTATTAATCTAATTCTTATAGAATATAAGATTTAAAATTATATATTTAAATTTATAATTAATAACGCTAGTAATAATAATATACTCTTCGAAGATTTAATTATTTATCTTTTTATTTTCGTAGTAGAGAACTCGCTTAATATTAAAGAATTTAAATTCTTAAATTATTTATAATATATTTTTTATATAGCGTATATTATTTAACTAGTCTTAAAAGAACTTCTAGATAATATTAGAGTTATTTTAATAAATAAGAATTTTTAAAGAAGCTAAGATAATAAAGAAGATAAGAATTAAATTTAAGTAAGTATAATTAACTTATTAATAACTCTAATAAAAATACGATATTTCTTATTATTATTCTAATTATTATATTATTAATTATATTAAGATTCGAAAAAGGGAAGTAATATACGTATACCCTCTTTTAATATATATATACTCTCTTCAAATTCGATTAGTTTTCGCGCGGCCGCTAGCCGTATAGGGTATAAACTCCGTATATAGCTTTCTAGGGAATATTATCGAGACTCTTAGTAATAGTAAGATAAGTTTTTTTAGACCTCTTCTAATAAAGTCTAAAAGATTAGACGATTTTAAATCGTCGAATAATAAGGTCTTTGAATTATCCTTCTATGGCGACAGCTGATTGACTAGCTACCCTCTCTCGTTGCTACTAGAAATACGACTATCGTACTCGAATATCCACTATCTGTTGGCCACCTGGCCTTCCTATAGCTGAAAGGTATCAAATATGATCTCGTTGCCCTGCTGTAGGCTGGCGTATTACGTCCACCTCGCTGTCGATTACCTCGCTGTCCGTCTCGTATAGCCCTACTTCGGCTATGTGCGGGTTTTATACTCTATGCGGCTAGCGGCCGCGCGGAAGCTAATCGGATTTGGAGGGGGTGTACATGTATCAAAAGGGGGTGTACGTATATCACAAGCCATTTTGAAAATATGTGATTACCGAACTGGCCCTTAGACAACCCCAAATACAGTTAACAGGCGTGACTTCCTTGTAGGCTTTCGTAGCTAGTCTATATGTAGTATAGCTTAACCTGGTAAGATAAATATCCTACAACTTATCTTCGGACAGTCCCCTCCGACAGTCCCCCGTCAAACTAAAAAAGCCTCCCGCGCACGATCTACACGTTAAGCTTTCGGCCCCACCTAATTTTGGTGAGGGGTTGCGCCAGCCCTGTTCATCCGATTGTAAGAGACTTCAAGTTTAGATGAATTCCTCCCACTTCATTGATTTTGAAGTAATCCTTTAGAGCGATGACGTGGTGCTTAGGGTACATTATAAATGGGTCGGAGGCAGTACAATAGTAGTAGAATAAGGGCCCGTATCGTATATAATCATAATTAGATCGCTAGTATCGATGAGAAGATTGATGTCGGCAGGCCTTGTAAGTAGGTGAATGCCTATCTTTCTCCCATATCCCCGCATCCTATCTAAATCCAACTCCTATTTCGCTCATCCGCATATTATGAATATCATCGAGTATACTGCGACGGTTGCAGACAAGAAGAGGCGTATTTTCGACATCTTCTTAGCTGTCTACAAGCGTGCCTCTATTAGTAGCGAGGTCTTTTCTAGTAAGGATATTGCAATTCTACGTGTTAAGACCTGGTCTTATACGTAAGGATTTACTGCAGTGACTGATCATAGCGAGCACCAAACCCGCTTAGAAAATATGGGATTTTCGTGGACTTGAACTCATAGCCTTCCTGGAATTGTGGTAAAAGTTATCGCTAAAAATCTATATTATAAAATCTCCCTTACTCGTTAAGATATAACGTTCTATTTGGATAACTATACCGTGGAATGAAAGAAATATCGACAATGCACCCACCAGTCAGATATCCACTTTGCCAAGGCCTATGCCAAGCCGGGTGGCTGCGGGTATAGCCGGTAGCTACATTAGTGTGGACGGGGGACTGTCGGAGGGGGACTGTCCGAAGATAAGTTAAATATCCTGCTGCCGTAGGCTTCCATAGATTCTACATCCTTTGCTACCCACATAGTAGAACTGTTTCGTTCAACTGGAGGTCTTGCCCAGATGGTAATCGTGGCCTTGCAAAGTGATCATTGTTGTTATTCGTTCGTTTGAAGTCTTTCACAGCCGTTCATTGGCTGGTTAGTGATTTATTCTCCAAATCATTCATTTTACCTCAGTGGAGAGCTCGGAGAGCCCCTCCCATTATTGCCATTTCACCTTCGTCAAGCTGGCCCATCTCAGTGGCAGTCTCCTATTAGATCTTGCTAAGTCTATGGCAAGCATGGCCTACAAGTCGACTGGTCCTCAATTCACTCGCAGTGATTGCTTCTTCGGCAATGGAGTATCCGCTACTCAATGGCTAAAACACTTTCACACCATAATATCCGGCTACGAGTATACGTTAAAGTAGTACCTCGAATGGCTTAATATACTTCTTATAAACGACGCTGGTAATTGGGCCGATACGAATCCTAACGCTATCCGTCTTCTTAACGAGTTAGCTCCGTCTCAGCAGACTATCATCAGCTTTACAAGCTTGTTCTGTACACGATTTGAGTCCCTTATCGAGTTCCACAGCGGAGTACGAGACCAGCCACCACAGCTACCGGAGCAGCCTGTCGTACCAGAGCAGCCTACCGTACCACAGCTGTCAGAACTACCACAGCCTACTCCACACGTACCAGAGCAGCCTGTCGTACCAGAGCAGCCTGTCGTACCAGAGAAGCCTGTCATACCAGAGCAGCCTACTCCACAGCTACCAGAGCAGCCTACCCTACAGCTATCAGAGCAGCCCGTCGTAACACAGTCAGCTCCATCAGTACCAGAGCAGCCTACTCCAGAGCTACCAGAGCAGCCCGTCGTAACACAGTCAGCTCCATCAGTACCAGAGCAGCCTACTCCAGAGCTACCAGAGCAGCCTGTCGTACCAGAGCAGCCTGTCATACCAGAGCAGCCTACCGTACCACAGCTGTCAGAGCTACCACAGCAGCCTACTCCACAAGTACCAGAGCAGCCAGTCCTACCAGAGCAGCCTACCCTACAGCTACCAGAGCAGCCCGTTATATTACAGTCAGCTCCGTTAGTATTACGGCAGCTTATCACATCAGTCCTACTAGAGAAGCCTACTTTACAGCTACCAGAGCAGACCGTCATATCACAGTCAGCTCCGTCAGTATTACAGCAGCCTATCACATCAGTCCTACCACAGCAGCTACCTCAGCCCGATTTCACATTTACACTCACACACCTCACTCAGCAGTCCGTTACTACCCTACACCATTGGATCTGGCCTATCATGGGGGTTGGTTAGCTTGCTATGCTACGAAAGCAGTTCTACTAGTGCTTACAGAAGGCTTCCTCAGCTACTTACTACGATGCTATATGGTTTATAATATATGTTCTTGCTAGAGGTATTATTTTTCAGGGGCTTGTTTTGCTATGGCTTTGTTTGCTACCTTGCTTGTGTATAGCTTCATAATGCTTTGTTAGTCTCGGGGGGCTCCGTCTTGTTTGTGTGGGAGTAGTTAACAGGCGTGACTTCCTTGTAGGCTTTCGTAGCTAGTCTATATGTAGTATAGCTTGGCCTGGTGGGATAAATATCCTGCTGCCGTAGGCTTCCATAGATTCTATATCCTTTGCTACCCACATAGTAGAACTGTTTCGTTCAACTAATACCAATCTGAGCTCCGGGACATGGCCGCTTTCTCAATCGGGCAGTTAGAAATAATCAGGTACGAGGGTACATTGTGGATCTGCGCTTTATAGGGCCCCTTTGGCAACCAAAATCTACATTTTGATTTTCGTTAGTCAAATACTAGCTTTACGGCCTGAATACGTGCATTAAAATATTATGCAACCTTGGCGCCAAGATCAAAATCTATTTCAGCCTTAAGGGCAAAAAAGCACATTTATTTGCAAACCGACTCCGACTCTAGTTTTTTAAAAAATGTGCGCTAAATTAAAGCGATATCTACGTGAATTATTAAAGAAAATAACTAATATTGAAATTAAAAGCGATTTAAATTTTGCGTAATTAATATAGAAGTATAAATACGTTATTCTCTTTAATATGCACTTTTAGATTTATATTGAAAATTATTATGATGTTATTCGGAAATAGTACGGGCTGTCCGGGGCTTAAGGGGGGCATTTTCGTTACGAACCTTGAATTCTTGGCACGTATAATACCTGTGCTCGAAAAGAAAGTTGGTATTTTGACCTGAAATTCTTGAAAATGTGGGCTTGAATTTGGTTGCCAAAGGGGCCCTTTTAGATTACCCCAAGCCTGACGCTCCAGTCAATTTCGTTGCTTTCAAGAGCCGTCAGCCGATCTTCCGAAAGGATCATCTCTGGGGAAAAAAATTGGTATGCTCCTGTTTGCAAAACCATTTGGAGAGGCCCGTTTGGCAGCAATTTTAAATGCACGCATAGCTAATTGTGGTAGGATTAGCCTTTCCGTCTACAAGTCGATTAGCGGTCACAGGCTGATAGTCTGCTTATGGGAATGTGGTGTGACACTTGTTGTGATCAGAAGAAGAAAAATGGCTGTGAAGGCTAAGTACTAAATAGTAGGTGCTGGCCCCACCACAAGGCTGGGAGCATTCTCCAACGCTCCCCGGACACAAGACCGAGACGAATGACGCTGCGAGTCGCAAAGGCGCAGAAAGGGCAATTGTGAAGCCAAAGGTCTATTACTCCGAGTATGGAGTCGGATACATGTTCAAACTCTGGATCTGTTAGTCAATAGCAATCTCTCATTGCAATGATAGAGTCGAATCGGTGTCTCGGGCATCAAATTCGTTAACCAACAACGGCTTGTCTGTTCAAGAAGAGATCAAATATAGGTCTTAGTTAGGTATGAAATTATGAGCAAGCAACGGCTTGTTGATTCAGGAATGAAGCCAGACATGGGCCATAAGCCTGAAGAGCATGCCAGAAATGTCCATAGGAGACTACTTGGTCTTGCAATCGAATCCTATTTCCGAAATGGCACGCGGCTCATCATCTCTGTGTGTCTTTGAGATTGTCCAAAGCGTACCATCAGCTCAGCTTACTTGGAATAGCACAATTGGACCGGGTCCAGACAGATACAGATCTGCTTCCGGCAACGCAACCGTGATAGAGCCTGGAATCGAGCCCAAGCTGAGTCTGGTTTCGTATTATACCCTGTGGCGATGCTGGTTTCTTTCTCCTTATACAGCGGTATCAGAACTGTGACTCACCCTTTTTCGAGGCTGACCATGCCCCCGGATCCACCCTGCTGGTAGACGACCACAGTGGGGTGATGGTGCTGATCGAAGCTGCTGAATCGCGAGTCGAACATTTCCAGAGTGTGACCATCCTCGCGGTGGAAGATCTAAAGTGACGCATTAGTCTTGAGAAGTACAGATCACAGCATTTTGTGAACAAAGAGTACAGAACCTTCCAATAGTAATAAAGATTGCACTCTAGCATTAGCGTTTCCGAGACGCCTTTACAGCTTGGTAGGTCGTCAGTCTTGATCTGCGTACATGCGCGCTTGATCCAGGCATTCCAAAGCGAGCGGGGCTTCTCTGATTCTTGTCTAGGCCTGGGCGTGGAGGGTTTCCCGAACTTCCTCTGCTGCTATAGTAACGTTGAACGTCCACAGTCTTGAAGAAGGAGCCGAGAATGGTACCAGATGCGTTGGTGAGTATTTCTGAGGCATCTGTTTCCACCTTTTCGGTCGTTTGTGTTGTGTGCACGATATCCTCACTCGTGGATTATTCAAATGATATGGTTGATGTCTTGACACGAGCCGATGACTCGGGCATGTTCTCCTGTGGCACGCACTGTTCACACGATCTCTCCTACGCAGTTTTGGATTTGGAAGGGGCGATTGCTTCTGCTTTTGAACGAAAGAGGAAAAATAGGAGCGGAAAAAGATGAACAACGGATGGAACTATACTTACCATTTTCCTTCTTGGTAACGGCCATGCCTTGCTTGAAGCCTTCTTTGTTGGTTTTGGCGATAGCTTCTACCGCATCTGGCAAGACCCTAGCGGATGGCACTCCTACCGCAGACATGTACTTCGGATTGCTTTTCAGAGCTGAAAGTATTATGTATACAGTTGCAGAAGTCTTGCTAGACTTGCCTTGCACTAACTCAATTCTCTACTGCGCAGCAGAAGGCCCATCGGGAATGTCGTGATCCAAATAATGAGTGTTAATTGAAACAAGGCTTCTGACCGAAAGATCAGCTCCTTAGAAAGCCTGGCAATCTTCCAACCAGTTACCCATCCCAGCTACCAAGTCGCAAAGCTCTTTGCGATCCGGTCCCTCTAGGGCGGCACAAAACCCGGCTGATTCTTTCCACGAGAGAGACATTGAAGCTGAATACCAGTATTGCCGAAGTCCCGTTTATTCCCGTCATATTACTAGGTACGAGGAAGCTGATACCTTGATGAACGGCCTGAACCATTCTGCGCTGCTCATCTTATTCTGTGAGTTCATTCACAAATTATGGAAAGCGATGGCTATGCGACTTGCCAACTGCTGGCAGTGCTTCGGCAAGGGCTACCTTGTAGAGCATTTGCCAAGCCTCCATCGTGAGAAAAATGGTCCGAAGATACGTCCGACCAGCAGCATTAGCAGTGCACGTTCTCTATCACGGTTCTGTTTGTCGAATTCTTGGGTAAGCAGAGGTCAAATTCTCACAAACGAAATACGCATTACCCACTCGCTATTCACAGGCTAGTCTGGAGGACGCCCGTGACGTTCAAGATCTCTGGCTGTTGGTCCTAATTTCGTTAAACTCCTAGAAAATGGTATCCATTTTATCAAAGGTTGAGTCAATTTTTGTGAGAGAATTGGGTCTAGCGCCTATTTCATAGCAAGGTATATGTTTGGGCAAGTATTTCATACGGTATAAAAGGTATTCGGGCTCCATCACGATCAAGGCTTGGTGATCCGACTTTTGCGGCCGCCATAGCAGGGTCCGGCGTGTGGAGTGTGGACATCCTGGGTTTGACTTTCTCACGTTTGTGTAGAGGATTACGCGCTAGACACTTTTGATGATAAGAATTGTTGTGCCGGCAGGCGATGGTGGATCTCAGGTTCTCTGCAAAAGGAAAATGTGACTAGGATAGAATAAACGAAATGGGGTAAGTTCCTTAACTTGAGGGGAGTGGCTATGAGACGAAAATCTGACCGTTGTCGTTGGATAAGTCACACGAACGCCTTCTTCTGCATCCCGAATCAAATCTGGGTGTCTTCAATGGTTGGTCGCGTCAAAGGCCTGTTTTCTCTCTGCGTTAAGAGTCAAGATTAACTCGCTCAGAAGGAGGGTCGCCTTCAATGGGTGCTTTCCTTTCTGCACCCCGAGGCAAACAGTTATTCTAGTTGGCTGGTCAACCTGATCTTGCCGATCATTTAGGCCTAAGCCTCACAGTACTAGTTTCATGCCAATACGCCGAAGTGGTGAAGTGGGCTTATAGTGGGCTTGTGGCCGAATGGCAATCTTTCTGGCGCATACCCAAGTGAGGCTATTGGCATGATTGAGTGGCGGCATGCGTATCAGCCAGGACACCATATGACCATTTCTCTTGTCAGTTGTAGTACACTTGTTTCTCTGGAAATCGCGTATAGGCAAGACAGCTTGGCCGTGCACAACAAGGTCATAAAGCTGGCTTGCACGGTCATGACAATGTCGAGTAAATGTTTGGGGCGCGCAGTCTGCTTGCACTGGCTTGACACCAAACCCCAGCTGTTTTTGGGGTACGCAGTTAGATTCAAAACGTGTTGTCCTGGAACAAACATATGCCTTGGTCTTGCGGCGCGACCTTTCATCACTTACGCTACCTATCTTCTCGGATCATACAGCTTTCTCTGTCATCACTTTCATTGATGACATCCCTTAGATCTCACCGCACATCAACAACGCCATCAACACCGCTTAGAAGACATGGAAATGTGCTTCCTTTTGCATCCCGGATTTAATCCGACAGTCTTAGAAGGTTGGTCTTCTTAAAACTAAGCCTTATTTCCAGATTTCGAGCAAGGCCAGAGCCAGGCCAAATAATTTGAGAAGATCAGCCACCCTGGAGTTAACATCTCGTTCTCGTCACGAATATTGCTTGTTTTTGCCTACTGACAGACCGATGAGAGTTTACTCGATTGCAGTGTCCAAAAGGCAATTGTGTTCGCAGTATGCTACCGAAGTTTCATTGGCTCCAATTGCATATGAACGTAGTGGGTGGAGTAGGCGAAGCCGCTCGCATCAGAGAATTAATTGTTAGTTCTCTTCGCTCTTGTGACCTTAAACTTGCTGCCATTGGAATTGGCGCCAAAAGCCATCTCTTTCAGTGCATTGATTTAGCATACAACAGGCTGCCATATGACAGAAGTGTGTCTTGATCTTGCATCGTAGCCTCTCTTCGCTCAATCCGCCTGCGTCCGCGGTCTACGTCGTCCCGCTGAGTCATCAGTCCTTTCCGAAGTGTCTCGCTGAGTCTCAACGCCCCCCAACAACTCCATCCACGACCTCATCTTCCGTGGCCCCCTCACTGGCCCCTTTCTCTTGATCACTGCCCTTTTGTTTCACATGCTTGTCGTATCGCTGATGGCCTTTACTGAGATTTTGATTCACGTCGTTGTGAAGACGCTTTGAGCCGATCTCCGGAGGCAGAGCATCGCCTGTGCCGGTAATAGTTTCGGGGTTAGGAGCGGTATCGCGTGTGGTCTACAACCCAGAGAGACACACGCAGAGAGTTAGTCGAACATTTTGCAGCATAAATGTCATGTTCCTCAAGTTTGGAGACATTTGGAAAGGTGGAAAGAAGTCTGTCACTGACCCTGCTAACATCTTGGGCGTTATCTGCTGCACCAGCCAGATCAGTAGCACCAAGGTCGCTGGGATCGTCGGATGGGTCTGTAATTTGATCTGGTCGAGGAACAGAGGGTATGGTGTATTGGGCTCCTGCATCGTCAGGAACTTTGGTGCCATCAACGGCCATGTCCGTGATTGAGCCACCTTGAGGATTGGGATCTTGCGACGCCATTTTCAGGTCTTTGAATTGTGCAAATGTAGATTCGTCGAGCTGGTGTAAGAGTGCAGGAGAAACAGCTTGCTAGATATCTCAGTGATTGCGGGAACGACAAAGCTCCTGAGTCAATTTGGGGTAAACAATCCCAGATGGACTTCTTTCGTTATAACATTGTCGTCATCGGTAAATTCAGCAAGCTGTTACTCTAGCCCTAATCCTAGGCCAATCTGGGCGACCCTCGGACTTCACAACGTGAGGGTGCGAGGGTCGGGGACAAAAGTCGTTGGACACTTTGGTAGGGCTTAGCGGGGTCGGTGTCCAACGACTTTGTCCCCGACCCTCGGTGGTGAGGTAGATTGAACAGCAAGACCGGTGTCTGCGAAGTGAAGCATGGACTTCGAGATTGAGAAGCTAAGAATTTAGGAAAATACAATGGGCCAGATGTCGCATTCCCAAGTGACCAGTGAGGATGGATTTGAGCGATATGGGAGCATATCACAGCATTCGTTCAACCTAGCTCATGGCTCAATAGAATAGATCCAGCGAACCATTGCACAGCACCAAAACGTTCAGAGAGACGATATCTAGCGTCACAGTCCATGCGATATGGTGATGACCGGGTTGATTCTATCCCCATGCTCCTAATCATTGAGAAACGAGAAGAGTTCCCCCCAATCAGAAAATCCGAGAATCAGACACTCGATCTCTGAGACCTTAAGGTAGCGTACGAAGTTTGATAGACTCAAGTCCACATGCCAAACTCTTTTAAATATTAGAACGTGTATTCTGATAAAAGTACCAAGTCGGTTCATAAAATTATAGACGCCAAGACTATGACCTTCGAATTTACGATTTCACTACCTACATGCTTTCAAAGCCACAATTTCGGAAGAACTCGGAATCTACTCATGTAATTGATATACTAAATATGATCTATGAAGTTTTCAGTGTCAGGTATTGTCCATCTACAATAGAAGAGTTTTCGAATTGCCACAGTGCGACTTTTCGCTTTTCAACGCACGTGTAGAAGATCCTGTACTCTATGCTTTGTTCGCCAGGTGTTTACGACTTGGGCGCCGCCCAACCTTGATGTACAGTTTCAGATATGGATTATGACAAGACAGAAAAAGAGACTACAAGCCAATCGGCAATGATAACATAGGTTGTAACATAGGTTGTAATATAGGTTTCAAAGATTTGACGCGGGTTTAAGACGAGTGTTATCTGTATAAGTAAGGCGATAAGAGCTGCTCGGTTTATTACTCACTCTGAATCGAAAATATTCTACACAAAATACCAACCAAGCAAAATATGTGATTACTGGTGATTAGATAGATAGTATCGAGCCGCCATAGGCGGCGGCAGAGGATCAAAATTCGTATTCGGTTCTGCTTTGTGGGGCGTGAATATTATAATCAGTGTGGAGTTGCTCGCAGCCTCGTATAGGGATGCGGATCTGTCATATGACAGCTAACGTCAGGTCAGACCTACTCGGTTATTTGACGTTATATATCCAAATGACCGCACTGCAAAGGGCTTATAGTAAGATAAAGCGCGAGATTCGAGGGAAACGGTAGAATTCAGAGGTATTTAGGGCTGAAATCGAGTATCACTAGTAATATCTTACCGCGCTAAGGACTAATAACGCCAAGCCCCTATCTTTTACGCCCGTCTTTGTTAGCCTTACATCTTTCACGGTTAGATACGTACCTACTGTATACAATTAACGCTATCATTTATCAGTTTAAACGGCCTGTCACCGTATGACCGTCACATTACTGTTATAGAGGTAAAATGTCAGTCATTACGCATCCCTAGGTAGGGCCGGGATCTCGAGAAGTACGATGATACCGTCTGACTCGTAAGATACTTTCTCCCGTCATTTCCCGCTCCTCAGCCACTGTAAGCAGTACTATCTCCAACCAGACACCGGAAAACGAATACGTGTCAACCACCGTTTCCTCTGCATTGACTTTAGATATCGTAGGACATTACTTTATCTGTTACAAGTTCAGCTGTCTGGGTCTCACCCCTGTTCATACTACATGATACCTTACGGCACAGCAGGTCGCGAGTACGATGTTGACTTTACCCCATTCGGACTCGTAGCGAGTCACTTTCCTGGGTGCCTGGAATCTTATATCAATCCTAGCATGCCCTCGCTTTCATCAAAACCGCAATCCTCCTGTTATGGCTGACTACCAACCGCGCCCGGCTTCTGGCATTGCGCTGAGCCCCGGCGCCGGTCAGAGGAACCCCGTACAGCAGCCTTTGAGCTGCACCCATTGCCGGCAGCGAAAGATCAAATGCGACAAAAAGTACCCATGCTTGCCATGTTCTCGCTCCAACCTCGATTGCGTCTTTCCCGAACGTGCGAGGCACCCGAAGAAGAAGTCGGCGAGCTCCAAAGCGACCAACGACGAGCTCATGCGCAGGCTGGGTAGAATGGAAGAGTTGATTGAGAAGATGAAAGTCGAGGGGAAGGATGTCAATGGGAAGAAGCTTGTGGAAGAAGCATCACCGAGCCCAGAAACCAGTCGTTCCAGGCATACATCGGAAGCTCGATCGCCTGGCAGCAATGGTCCAGATCCCGCTGAAGATGGGATGAGCAGATACATAGGCACTCATTTCTGGCGGTCATTGAGCAGTGAGGTCGGTGCGATGGTTCTTATGTGGCCGCGGAACCAATCACAATGTATTGTGCACGCTCGCTGACCGGTCGGTGTGCTACAGGTCCAAGGCCTCAAGGAGACCATGGACGATGACTCCGACGAAGAGCAAGATTCTCAGCTTTCTGGCCAATCACCAGCAGAGACAAGCATTTCTCAATCATCCGTACTCTTCGGATCTAGCCCTCTTCGTCAAAGAGAGCTGCGTCTACTACACCCTTCCTCCGCCCAGATAATTGCTCTATTCCACTACTACCAAAAGAATGTGGATCCAATGGTCAAGATACTACATACCCCAAGCTTGCGGAAGCTGGTGATGAGTGCTTCGACCAACAAAGACGCCATACCATCTGGAAACTACGTTGAGGCATTGCTGTTTGCCATGTACTATGCCGCAATCACTTCTTTGACCCAAGAAGAGTGTTTGCAGAACTTCCATGATGGAAGGAACTCCTTGCTGGCCCGGTATAGATCTGGCACAGAGTCGGCGCTATCGAACGCCGACCTGCTGAGTACCCAAGAGATAGGCACACTTCAAGCCCTGGTCATATTCCTTGTAAGCATATTCTGCTGTCCCAATGGGCTTGCTGTCTACTTGAAATTTCTGAAAAAAAGGCCCGAATGCGACTTATTACACACATGTGAATGAATTAGCTAACAACACTTCTTAGACCACGGTTCGGACAAATGATGATACGATGTTTGCTTGGACTCTTTTCAGTGTTGCCGTCAGGCTGGCCCACTCTCTGACCCTGCATCGCGAAAGCACATGGTCCGGCATATCTCCTTTCACGAGAGAAATACGCCGCAGACTATGGTGGCACCTAGTTGAGCTAGACATCCGTGGCCTAGAAGACCGAGGTTCTGATCCATTCATTCTCGAGTCGTCTTTCAATACCATGTTACCCCTGAACATCAACGACGACGACATGGATACCGGAAGTATGGAACCGATAGTAGAAAGAAAGGAGTTCACAGAGATGACCAAGTGTCATGTATCACATGTCGTGTGGGAATATGCGGTCCGCCTTGGCTACACACCACTAGGACGAGACCCCGAGAATGCTCCCATTGTACCTCCCATTGAGACAAATATCAAAAAAATACAAGAGCTCGAGACGAAACTTGAGAAGGACGTGCTCATCCATTGTGACCTCGCTGGTCCTATCGGTTGGGTAACATCTGTGGTAATTCGACTGATCGGCTCGCGATTGCGCCTTGCTGTTTATCACCCTCCCTTGACCGACATGCGTGGCATGGTCCAGCAATACGTCTCTAGGGAGCTTGTTTTGAAAACAGCCGTCCAAAATCTCGAGTACAGCCACCTTCTCTGTACTGAGCCGGCTGCTGCTCAGTGGAGGTGGTATTTCAATACTCGAGTCCAGTGGCACGCTCTAGGAGCTACTTTGGCGGAGCTTTGTATTCAAGACAAAGGTCCGTTGGTGGAGAGAGCCTGGAAAGTCGTGGATGTGGTCTTCGATGACTGGGCCGAGCACATTGCTGACTCCAGAAAGGGGATGCTCTGGCGCCCAATCAAGAAGCTGATGAGCAAAGCCCAGGCCAAGAGAGCCGAATCTAGCATGAAGAGCATGTCGATAACATCGCAACAGTCTCTGCCGCAATTTACGGTTCCAGCATATGGTCATTTTTACGATCCTGACTCTAGCACTCCAGCGAAGTCGTTTCCGCAAGATTTGACGTCAGGGGTAGGCATGGCAAGTTTCCCAAACCAAGCTCTGGATCTAGACCAACAGCTTTCACCGGATACGTTAGAATCGTGGAATGTCAACGAGACCGCGAGTACCATCAACTGGGCAGAATGGGACGAGTTTATGCAAGACTTTGAGATGGCTGAACAACCGCCTGTGGACGTCAATGCCATGCAGCAGGATGCGAGTCATCTTGGTGTGTGGTGGTGAATGTTTACAAGCAAGCAGGATAGACGAAATCTCAACTCCATTGGCAGCCTCGATGGTTAAGACGCGATGTTAGCATACAATCATTGCTATCGACGGTATCATCTCCTCCTCCACTCATCAATTTCGGCAAAGCGTTTGCACATATCTTCTCTGAATTGGGCCAATCCATACCCGCCGCCACGTCAAGTAGCTTTCGAAGGTTTGCAAATGATGCATCCAAAATCAGGCTTTGACCCTCTCGCTTATTCTCCAACAAAGTCCCAGGCCTGAAGAGTCTCACACTCAGCTGTGACTCGTACAGATGCGAACAAGCCTCAGCAAGGGGCGATAGGCGTGATTTTCGACATATCAGCTTCGAAAAGCCCATCTACAATGGCAGCATCCTTCACATCGCGCTGAAATGCAAAGAAGCGGAGCTCTGAAGATCCGTTTGCGCTGAGTGTACAGCTCTATCCCTCAACTGAACATGGTATGATGTCACACGCTGCCGTTCAAAGCGATCTTATTCTCTCCCTGCACGGAGGCTATTCCATCAATTTTGGGGTAGAGGCAAGATGCCATCGAAAGAATGTCGTCGATGGCACTTTTCAAAGATTAGCACAAACTCGTTCCTTTCGAGACGAGGGAGTCGTCAAAGAAGATTGAACTTGGACTGATTAAACTCCATCTTTGATTCATCGTCCCTAGAACAGAGCAAGAATTGAGTGGCGATTTGACCTGCCACCAGGGCGGTATGGGGGTGTGGGCAGGCATTGTACCTGTTACGTATTTAGATTGTACATTCTAGCTGTCACCAACATGTACCAATAGAAGTGTGTTGGTACATACAAATAGCAAGACTTCTCAATAGCATACTTATTACATAGACTTTCTTTTTCGTAAATCGCCATTGTGGCCCCTCGACGGCCTCTTCCTTCAACACCGTTCCAATGCGGTCACGCGATTCTCTTCCAACACATGACACTCGCAGGCTTACGAAAGCAAGACTTATAACCATCACCCACGAGTTTTTCCGGAATTGAAATGGCTGACGAGCAGTCGCAATGGCTCTCTCATCAATACTGGGCGTGCTCACCGAGGTAGGCAGCTACTGGCAAACCGTACGTCCTCTCCCTCTCCCTTTCCTATCCACCAGTGCGCCCAGCTCAGGTATGCATAACAGAAAGCTTCACGCTGGTGGCACAAAAAGCCCGCCCTCAACACCCATCTCTCGACCCTCGCCAGCGCCTCCTCCTTCGAAGAATGGGAAGAATCGGCCTTCGCCCTCGACGAGCTCCTGCACCTCGACCTCTGGCGCCAAAATGCCTCCTCCAAATACTATGACTACCGGCTCATGAACGAGCGACGCATCGCCATTATCAATTCCCGGGAAGAAGAAGACATACCCGGTCTCGTGAACCTACTCAGGTCGGGGCTGGTCAGGAACTTGGGCAACATTACGACTCCGAAGCTGTTCAATAGGGCATATGCGGGGACGAAGTTATTGATTGAAGAGTACATAACGCAAGTGGCGCTGGCGGTGGAGTATGTGACGGCTTTGCCCACGACGCAGAGTTATGAGAGTGGGTGGACGAGTCAGGCGAAGTTGGATTTGCTGCATGACACACGGCAGGCGTTTGGACGGTCGACGCTGGTGCTGCAGGGAGGGGCTATGTTTGGACTATGCCATGTGGGAGTTGTCAAAGCTCTACATCTAAGAGGACTGTTGCCGAGGATTATCACGGGGACAGCGACCGGAGCTCTGATCGCGGCGCTGGTGGGCATACACACTGAAGACGAACTGCTGGATTTTCTCAATGGCGATGGTATCAACTTAACGGCTTTCGCAAGACACAACAGCGACGGCTCAACCACAGAAGAGAGGCAAGGATTGATATCAAGCCATCAGACGGGCACAGTGCAGACATGTCTCCGCCGACTGATGAGATTTGTACGAGAAGGTCACTTTTTGGACGTCAACGTCCTCGAAGAGTGCGTCCGTGCCAATGTTGGCGATCTCACATTCGAGGAAGCCTACGCTCGTACGAAACGAGTGCTGAACATCACCGTTGCTACTTCGAACCGAGGCGGCGTACCTAACCTCTTGAACTACATCACAGCGCCCAACGTGCTCATCTGGTCTGCCGCCCTCGCCTCCAACGCTTCCAGCACCCGCCTCTACCACCCCCACAGCCTCCTCTGCAAAGACGAAACGGGTGCTATAGTCCCCTGGCTTATATCGCCGCAAATAACGTTCCACAGCTGGAAATCCGCTAGCTACACCACCAACGAGCGCGACTCCCCACTCTCTCGCATCGCTGAGCTTTTCAACGTCAACCACTTTGTCGTCAGCCAAGCGAGGCCATATATTGCGCCGTTCTTGAGAAGCGATTCACAGCATCCCGATAATCCGAGGCAGGCGAGGAGACAGGGTATCGTCGTGCCGTTGCTAAGGCTGATGACGCTGGAGGTGCATCATCGACTTAGTCAGTTGGACTCTTTGGGGATGCTGCCAACCTCCATCCGCAGGCTCCTCATCGACGAGACAGTCCCTGGCCCCAGTCTTACCCTGGTACCAGACCTGGCGCCCAGTGACTTTCTGAAACTGCTCGAAACGCCAACGAAGGAGAGCCTTGACTACTGGATCCTGCACGGCGAGCGGAGCGTCTGGCCCGCCGTGAGCTCTCTTAAAGTGCGATGTGCAGTCGAAGTAGAATTAGACCGGTGCTATCAACTCGTCAGGCGACGAAAGCCGATGGATGCGAGTAGCCCCACTGCAGTTCGAAGCGCGAGTCAAGCATCTGAGAAACGGATAAGGAGAGCTGCTAGCGTTGGGCAGGGTTGATGCATCATGAATACTGCCCAATATGATCCAATCAAATGATTGGCCCCGAGACATATGGGCTGAGGACGTCGGAAGGACGTCCAAATCTATCCCTCTTGGCGTTAAACTTTGAGAAACGATATCCGTATGACCGAGGGGATAAAAATAAAAATCTACAACAGCGGCCTCGGGGTTCAACGGATGTGTATGCAATGAGCATCAGCGTAGGAAGACCGTGACTACATCGTTGACGACAACCGCGAGGCATCTCCGCGCGTGTCGATTTCGGAATAAAGGATAGAAGCCCCTATTCATCCGGATGCAGACACCGGGACCAAGCCTCGGCTGAGACCAGCGGCCTGCCACCCTTCCGGCAACTCGCCGCACGAGCTGTCGAGCTCCGATGAGCGTGCTGCCGGAGAGGCGAGAGGCAAGACGTCTCCAAAAGACTCACATCGTGCAGGATAAAAGCCATGTGGATGAGTAATCTCCTGGCGTTTCACCGTCGTCGTGCTTTTGGACTTGATGCGTGGCGCAAGTCATGACGGGTCCATGACCCTTGAAACCGCAGCACATTTGATCATGCAAAAGCAAATATACAATCCTTTTCTAATCCTCCGCCCTATTCGCTGTCCCATCTCTACCCTTCAAACCCCGCCTCCGTCCCAACAAGGGGAAAAATCGCAGGCAAACAGAGTCCAAGAAAGGATTAAGTCAAATGGGGTTGAAGCATTCATTCGCTCCGAAGAGGTACCATGGAGCGGAAAGTGATTGAGACAAGTACCGAATAGGGCTCTATGATATTTCCTCCCCCACCCCCAAGAACGCCACATTTCCAACAGAGGTAGGTGATGCCAACACATGCGGATTGGGAGACTTGGAGAAACATCTGCGGCATTGTCGATGTTGTGATCGATATTCACCTCTCCTAGCCTTCCTCGTCTCCATCAGACCTCCCTCTCAGCCCAACTCCTTATCATCCCCTCGATACTGCTCTCATACTCCTTCAACTCCACCTTCCCGCCCGCAACCTCAACCGTATTGGCCATCACGAATACTTTCCTCGGCGTCTTCTTCTTCAAAACCTGTCCTCTCACCTTCTCCGCCCAGAAATTACCCTCAACACTCGTCATACGCTCATACAACTCCCTTCCCGCCTTGACATCTGCCGTACTCTTGAAGATATGCAATTGTTGCAGATAAGCTTCTACAGCTGGACGGCCATGGGTGAGGATCTTGTTTCTGTCAAGGTGAATAGTCAGATCAGATAGGTCATCCTTTTTGGAGTCGAGCCTGCAGAAGGAGTCGCCGGCGCCGAGGAACGTTTTGAGGATGGAGTAGCGCGCTTGCATGTGGATCTGTCCCCATTTCTTGCTCTTGGGGTCCCAGAATTCCAGCGCTACGACGCCTGCTCTTGCCATTGACAAATAGCTGGCGTAGAGCACATCGCCGGCTTTACCACTCATGTCGATCTCACCGTCGCCAAAGCCGAAGATCTTGAGGAGCGAGAAATCGCATGAGAGAGCCATAGCGACGCATTCGGCGCGGCATTCTTCGTAGGAAGAGGCGGTAGGGCCGAAGACGGTGCTGTATGTTTGGGACGGGCCGTAGTACGTTGATATTTGCTTTTTGGTTATGGGGCTAACGGGACGGTCTTTGTGGTCGAAATTGAAGACGCCGGGGGATGTCTCCTGGAGTAGCTTACCCGTGCCGTGGCCTAGGAGTTCGTGGATACCGACTTGGACTTCGAACGCCGCGTCACGGTTTTCTTGGTAGAGTTCCAGATCTTCGGGACGAATGAAAGGGATGGGTTCGTTGGGTGCTTTGGCACCTAGCACATTGCCCAGGGAGACATTCTTGAAACCGATCTGCTGTCGAATATCGTCGTAATTAGGTATATTAATTCCTGCTGGAACGCCTGAGCTCGCGAACGACAAAACCTCAAGCGACGTGAAATCCGGAGCACTGAACTCATCTTTTTCGAAGTCCTTTGACCAAGGCAGCTTGGGTATGGCAGCAGGGGCAGCTTCGACGAGATTCTGAAAGGCTCGGGTCCGCTCTTTGTTGACCATGGCTACCATGCCCTCCCATTCACCTCTGACACCAGCGGGATCCCGATAGGTCTCGATGAACCCGATGTTGGACTCCACTTCTGGGCTCTTATCTTTGACCCAGAGCTTTTGGCTCACTTTAAACGCTTTCAGAGACCCGGTGCCAAAGGACTTTGCGTACGCAATCATCATCGTCTTCTGGGTATCGTTCGCGGCATGTAGGCCTGCTTTCTTCATGTGCAAGGCTATCTTTGCCATTTCTTCTTGATGATCTCCAAAGACCAGTGAAACTTTCTTGCCTTCAAGGGGTGAAGAGAGCTCCCAAGTGGTCACCTCACCAACATCGCTCCCTTCTGGCGGCGGCTTTGAAAGGGCAGACGCAATGAGAACCTCATAGTCCCCGGCCTTTGTCTTTCGAACCCGAGTGTTTTCCGGTAGGATACCCTTCGCACCCAGCAACTCTCCTACTTTCTCGATCTCCTCCCTAGTGATATTGGGTGACTCTGGGTAGTAAGTAGACATGTTACCTTGACCAGGGAAACCAAAATGCATCAGGGCCGGTTTTCCTCCATCAGCGTAAATGGCAGACTTGCACTGCTCGTGGAACTTTTCCGCCACGGACGCCTTTGCAGCCAGCGCCGCAATGGTTTGAGATGAGCATCTGGGAATGAATTTGACATCTCCAAAGCCCTTGTAGTTGCCTAGATTCCCAAGGAATTGGGTGAAGTACTGCAGGACGTGTTGCAATTCGTCATTGCCAACACCGGCATCCTTAGCTAGAGAAGCCCAATCGCCATGGCAATGTCTGTGCAGTGCGATGATCAGATTGTAGATAGGTTCTGATTCTGGGGACACTTGACGTAGGATGATGCGTGTACCAAAGAAGGCCGCCCTGATACTGATCAGTGATCACGTGTCATATAATGCCTCCCGTAATGCAATCTTAGGTCAACGAAAAGATAATAATAATACGCCGAGAGTCGAACGACTCTATGAACGACGAACGTGCACGATTCCAAAACGGACCAAAAACGACAATTATCGTGAAGAGTTTCTTACTTTATGTTGGAGTCGAATAGGAAAGTCAGATTGGTTTTTCACTTACTTTGAGATATGGTGAGCATAAAGCTTTTGCTTATTCGTCAGTGCTTCGAAGTGGGGCTTAATGACCAGCGGTACCACCGTAGGAGGTGAGTCTGCAAGGTATTGTGACACGTCCATCTCGACCAGCTTCTAGGATCCAGCGCGGACTCCAGTAATGACTGATGATGATAATATTCGAGTTGAAGTGGGTCCAATCCTTTCAAGTCTCAATGTTTACGAGGAGATGACTATCTACAATGTTGTTGAAGGATGGTGTCTGGGCCAAGAAAAAGCTGCAGTTCAACCAGAACACATCTCATCGGCACACAGCAAGGAAACTTGTAATCCGTTGATTTTGTCTGAACGAAGCTTTTGTCATTGACTTGAGTTGAAACTATGGTACATCATGTGCAAGATCCTGACTTCCGTTCGAAATGATGATATACACCACTTCTACTACGCCTGATGATCTCTCCAATCCGCCAGAAATGGCATGCAGAACGCATTTAAATAGCCAAGCAGACCACCCACAGAGCCCCACTTCCAACGGTGGTTCGTAGATCAATACACTTTCTTCTTCTCGTCAACGCTGAAGGAGCCAGGGCCCATGTTGACCAGCAGAAGGAGCCCGCCACTGTTGGTGTTATTAGTATGAGAACATGGTTGAGAGGTTGGGGTAAGACTTACACAATGGAAAGAATCTGGAAGAAATCGTATTTGGCGAAGTCCTTGTGCGGGTGATGTTCGTGCAGCTATTAGCCGAAGAGTCAGCTCATCGGTATTGAAGTCCGCCTTCCGATGGGTATCTTACCGTCCAAAAGTTGTTCACCACCAGGTTAAAGATACTTAATATCACCACCAACAGAATCGCACTCCACTTGGCCTTAAAGCCCACTACAACCATCACGCAAGCCACCAACCCAAATAGACTAACCAATATCCTGGCAATCCCCCAGTCCCCACTCCATATGAATCCCACAAACAACAATATCAACAGGATCCTCCCAGCTAGTTGAATGTATTTCTTGCGATCCTTCTCCGCGGGCAGAGGTAATCCGGCTGGTGCGAACTTCTTGCGCACCCAGCTATCGCTCAGGACCATAAGAAGGCCGCCCATGACGCTAAGGTTGCGCAGGAAGAAGTTGAGGTCGAAGATGAGGCCGTAGCCGAGGGCTTGGGTGATGACGACCCCAATGAGGCCAAAGACAGCGTATTCGGTGTATTTGCGGATAATGACAAGGGTAGAGCAGCTGATCATGGCGATGACATTAAGGAAAAGGAATGAATGTGTGAGACCCCAGGGTACTGACAGCTTATCAGTACGACCATTGTAAAGGCAGTCAAAAGCTCAAAGCGAGTTGTGAGGATCTTACTGTGTCTGTAGTCCTTGAGGTAGAGAAGTTGATCATTCCATTGGGTCATGATCCTTATTGCATCTTCCATGAATGTGCACACGATGAGGAAGCGTCCAGCTGCTGGTATGTATCTACAGCAAGCAGGTCCTCGAGTCAGCGAGATGTCTCTTCTTCGAACCCGGGTCATGCACACGGGCAATACGAAGCCCCCCTCTTTGCCGAAATTGCCAAAGGCAACTCACTGTTTGATAGGGTCGGCGGCGGTATCCAACCACTCCTCGATCTTGTTGGTCTGCTCCCTGAGCTGTTCCAGTGGACTTGGATCATTCGTTGCGTCTGCCCTGCCAGGTCCCCCGAATCTATTGTCTTGCGCACCGAGGTTATAACCCGCCGTGCCCCGTATTTGAGCCATGGTTGTTGCTCAGCTCATGCAAAGGAAAGTTGCGACTGGCAGATGTTTTCAGTAGCGTGAACGGCGGGCACTTTAAAGATACAACCAGCTCTTGTCGAAGAAAGGGAAAGCAATATATGTTTGTTTCCTGGAATATACGTGAGTCGATGTGCTTAGAGCCTTAGAAGTTAGGTGAGATAAAAGCGTAAAAGACACGCTTTCCATTCAACCATCGGCCTTTTGGCTTCCCCGTACCCGACGCCAAGCCCCCACAAGCCCTAAACCCGCTAAAGCTTAGGGCCTCAATTCTCCAAACCTCTACCTAAGGTACCTTACCGTACCTAGAGTCTAGAGCAGGTACCACCTACCTTACCTAGCCTTTGCGACCTTTTGACCCCTGCGTTCAACATTCATGTCAAGTCAATTGCATAACGTTGATCATTGTCTACGGGAAACCCTTCTCGGAACTTTGCATTCTGATGATTGATTGTAGGGCAGGTGGACAGTAAGATACATATAAAAGGGCTTTTGTTCCTTTGAATAGCCAGCCGACTGCTTCATGCAGGAAGTAAAGGGGCTTGCTTTGATTGACCTGGCTTCTCCGGCAGTGACCTTCTCAATCTGTACACGCTATCTTCCTTCCTCCCAAAGCGCACGGGAAAACGAGAATGAAACTCCGTAGAGCTGATCGGGAGGGGTGTACATAATGTACAAGTACAACAAGAAATGGAACCGTACCCGTATTCCCTCCACCCTACTACGACGATGAGTAGGAGTACATGCCAGCATTGTCGATGGCCTGATGAAACGTATGCCGAGCTTTTGCACACATGCGCCGTAAATGCTTCGCTCCCATGCATCCCCGATTATGCTGCTGATAGAGCGCAAAATTGCAGCCTCCCAATGGTCCGAATCTGAGTATCGCTGATGTTTTCGAAAATGTTACATAAGAGATGGCTGTGGACCTTGTCAGTCATGTATTATGAAAAGAGTATAATTTTCTCGACTTACTACATGTGTCCTTCCGTACTCTTCTTACTCAACAGACGGCCCATTCATCATCGTCCGGATGGCCAGTCAAAGCGTAGGGGAAGTCGGGGTCGTAGTCTGGATGCTCGGTAATGTTCTTCCTAGTCCATACGCTATGGTCGATAGTCTCGTAGGTTGCTTTGACGTGCTTTGGCTCATGAGCATCAGTAGCTCTGTTAGATGCAGACTCCTCATTCTTGCTGTCCTTGGTGGGTGATGTTGCTGTCTTGTTGAGATTTTCCTCTTTTGAGGCCATCACTCCAGTGGGTATGTCTTTCTTTTCCGCTCCAGAAGATGTGGTAATGTCGTGTTCTGCAGAAATGGGCGGCATTGTGCTTGATGTACTGTTGTTGTTGTTGTTGTTGTCTTTGGGAGTTTTCTTGTTGTCTGCAGAGATCGCTAAAGACGCAGCAGCGGTAGTGCTTGATGTATCTTTCTTCTGGTTTCCGGAAGAATGGATTGAATCTTTATTTACAGGGACAGCGGCCGACGATTTCTTTTTGCTTTTACCACCCTTGGCAACTGTACTCCAAGCATTGTCACTGTCCATTTCGGTGATCATTCTCATTTGCTCTTCTTCAGAGGGCAAGTCATTGTTCCACACTTTCCCATCTACAGACACGCCATTAGACACACCGTTCGCCCCACCGTTGGTGCTACGTGGATTTGGAGCTGTTGTAGGCGCGTCTTCAAACGTGTCAAGCAAGGAGACGCTGCTCTGTTTTGAAACTGGTCCTGAAGAATCAGTCGCTGCACTAGCTGGCTTGTTCCACGCGTTGGTAGACGGTAGTTGCGAAGGAGCTAGACCATTCTTTGCAGGCCTTCCCTCTGCTTCTCTCGCAGTACGAAGCTGCTTCTCCAGCAAGGCGCGTCTCTCTTTCTCAGCTCGTTCACGCATTGCCTTCTTGTCCTCGTTCTTCTGCCTATTTTGCCTCTGCTTCTTAGTCTCCGGCTCTGGTGCACCTTTTTGAGCCTTTGGCTGTCGGACCGGTTGCGGATTCGCTGGCTCGGTAATACGAAGAATTGATGATCCCTTCGGTGCTGGCTCGAGCATGTCGGAGATATCCGTACTGGAGGTTGTAGTAGCCTGAGTCGCGCGAAGATCTGGAGACATGGCAGGCGAGAGGTCGTCGTCGGCATCGGCTCCTGTAGTAGATGAAGCAGTGGACATGTCTTGCGAGCTTGCGACTCCATTTGTCTTCAAAGCGGAACCATTCATGGCTTGTGGTGGTGCTTCGTTGCGCTTCCCTTGCTTCCTCGTTTTCTTGTTCTCATTCTGGGTGGCAGGCTTCCTCAGAGAAGTTCCTGTCTTCAAGCCCGACAGTTGTCTAGCGAACTCCTCATTGTCCATTTCTTCATCTTCGGCAATACCATTCTCAGTGCCCAAACCTTGCTCTGGGCCGATTTCAGCAGCTGAGCTCTGAGCAAGCTTGCTAGGTTGTTTTTTGCCACCTTTGCGCTTTTTCACTGTACCGTTGGTGCTGGTCTGTACTGAAGCCGAAGCCACTTCTCCGGCATCGCTCCCCGGTTGATCAGATGTGTCGGATAATTTGCCTTTCTTCTTCCTCTTGTCTTTGCTGTCATTTCGCTGGTCTGACCCACGTCGTTGACTCTGCTCTGCTGAGAGGAGTGGTGGTGCACGGCCTCTACCACGCTTGTTTTTGCCGGACTGGCTGTAGTAGTACGCAGCTCCAAGCCCGAAGACGCCAACAATGGCCCAGCTCTTCCAAGGATCCATTTTTGTCGACGTCTGCTTGGATTCGAAGAAATGCTGATGGCAGGTTCAGCGGTGAAGGAGTTTAAGACGTATTGGCGGGAGGCGAGCGTTGGATTGAGTCGTTGAGGAGGAATGAGAGATTTGATGTGCTAGTGCAGCGGGTTCAACAAGGTAACTTTGGGGGCTCAATGATCCTCAACAGCGACCAATGAGGAGATGGAGTCGCTGGGGGTGATGGACGAGATTGTTGCGGATGGATGTTGCGTTGGATCGAGGTCTTGTTGCAATTATCGGATGCTCTCAGGTTGACGCAAGGGGCGTTTCTGACAGGATTTGATGGCTTGAGAATTGCAGGAAGAAATCTGGACAAAGCCCGCAATAGAGCTCAAGCAAGCGAGGTACCGCTACATCGACTGATGCATCAAAGGTGCATGCAGTCTCGCAGCGCGGAAGGAGATGTTGTTGAGTGTAAGGCCGAAAGTCGCCACGATCCAGGAATCTAAAGTGTGATAGGTCATCGGCCAAGCAGTTGAGTTACAGACGGCATCTACTCCGTGCGATTAAATACACGGAAACGACTGGATTGGCGGATTTATATACACTTGAAGAGGTAATGGGGGATTTGGGGGTTTGGGGGTTTTGGGGGTTTTGAGGTACTGAGGACAGGTGTATCTATTTACGTATCCTACTACAGTCATCGAACCCCGGTTCTTGCGGGGAAGTGCTTCGCCAAGACGGCCAAGCAGCAGCAGCAGGTCTGCAGCCCTACATCCCTACACTCATTATGGGGCGTGCTTGCGAGGTTGCGAGTACGATCATGTACAATGGGATCTTTGACAGGGTCGCACAAGATATGCGATAAACAGAAATATGCCAAGGTCTACCTACCCCGAGACAAACCACGGAGACGTCGACTTCATAAGTATGGCGATAGCTGAACCCACGTAAGCCGCCAGAAAGGCTATTGGCTACGCTCGAGGAATGTTATGGACTAGAAATGGGTAACTAGCTACTGGGGTAATTTGCAACTTTATAGACACTCTTCTCCTTCTCAGCCATTGCTATAATATTAGAACCATCACTCTGCCAGTCCAGATGCCAGGATCATTGTTTGCAGCGGACACTGGTAGCCTACCATTTCATGTGTGACACCAAGGCCTCACATGCATCTCTTGCAAATAATAGCTTGCTATCTTGTGTTTGGGAATGTCTCCAACTCCACAGCTCTGGTTTAAACAACGGACCCGATTTTGGTGTCGGTGGATGTGAATGCTCTGTCTTGTGTGCCTCCACCTCGGAGGGTCATCGTCCCACTGTCCATTACTCGCATTGTAACTTTCCCTTTACAAAGCGTAGGGATTCATTGAGCGGATGGTCAAACACGGTGGGCTCTTGGTGAGATCCGTTTTCAGGATGACCGGGACTCGGGTCATCTCTGTGACATCCTGTATATACTCTCCGCCTTCCTCCCTGAGCTTGAAAAGGCCCAGGTACTTCTCTTTGTTGCTTAATTTCGCTTCAGGGTCATCTCCCACGCTGGAGGCAAGCTTTGAATCAGACTGGGTTCGTAGAGGGTTTTGATCGCCAGCCGAACCGTTGTGGGTTGGGGATGGAGGCATGCTTTGTGTAGGACGATCAGAAGTCGAGACTCCCAAAGATACCCCAGCGGTGGATTCAGTGATCTCGGAGACATTGTCCTCGTCATCAAATAAGGCGTCAACGTCGTCTGTTGACATTGTGCCAGTCTCCGTCTGCCTTCTTTGCAAATCTTCGCGCTCTCTATTCTGCTGCTTACTATCCCCTTGTCGACCAGCAGTGCTATCGTGGTGTCTTGCGCTGGTAGTGGCTTTGGGACGCTCATCCTCAGGTACGTAGGCAGAAGAGGGTACGCCCTTTTCCCAGTACAATTCAAGCACACGCTCGTCCTTGCGGAATTCAGCTTTCTTCAGTGGAAGTTGGTCACAGTGAACACGCTTTTCAAAGCCGTACTCGGGTATCAAGACATCGAAAGCGGACTCGTAGACACAGATGACAATACCTTCGCTGATGAAGTCGCTGCCAAGCTCCACTCTCTTTTTGTCCATGATTCGACAGGATTCGATGTGAACGCTTTGCTCCTGAGCACTCTGCGCAGAGTCTTTCTTTGTGTTGCAAGACTCGGCTGTCTTTGCAAGGTTGTCGACATCTTCAGTGAAGTCGATAGCGCCATTAGAAAGAGCTGCTTCGAGTTGTCGATGAACGACAATATCTGCATATCGACGAGATGGGTTTGTAAAGTGGGTGTACAGGGGAAGGTTCAAGGCGTAGTGGTGAGGGTACTGCTGGACCTGTTCGGGTCTCAACTTCCCAAGAACGAAGTATTTGGCCCGCTGCATGGCCTTAACAAGCAAGGTTTCCATGCCCTATGAAATTCAGCCTTGACCGTGTCAACAGTTTGGAGACAAAAGGCCTACCTTGCGCAAATCTGCGTCCTTCACGTTGAAGAGACTGTTCTGCAGAGCTCCACTGCTTGAAGTATCCACCTCATATCCAATTCTTGTCATCCGGTCAGCAAAAGTTGCCAATCTCCTTGCATTTGGTGGAGCTTGACGACGAAGGAACGCCTTCTCGGGCAAAGCTGCAGCAATTCGCTGAGCAACGAAAGTGTTTGCTTTATGACCGAGCTCTTCGATAATTTCATGTGCCGGTGTGGAATCGAAGATGTTGTGCTCCACTGGGACATTCTCGTCATCGAGCTGATGAAGCAAGCGCAGAGGTGGCACGTCTTCGGTCCGGGATCCATATCTCGTTTCGCGAAATTTCTGTGCTATTTTCTGTTAAATGTCAGCCTGGTTTTACGTCATCCAATCTCCTCCCAGTAAACGAACCTTTAATGTGTGTATGTCCTTGGCAGTAGCCCCCTGAAGATCAACCTCGGCTTTGCCACCAATGACGGCGTCAACGTCGTCGTAAGTCAGTTTGCCTGCACTCTTGATCATTGCCTTTCCAATCCACGCTTCCTCATCGATCACACGGCCAGATTCAAGATCGACCTTGAAAACAACACTGACAGTAAATCTCTCCTCTCCAGGACTCAATGAGCAGATCTCGGATGCAAGTCTTGGTGGAAGCATGTTAACCGCGCGATTTATCAGATAAACACCGGTTCCGCGCTTTTTTGCTTCACGATCAACGAGCGAATTCGCTTTGATGAAGTGAGCGGCGTCAGCGACGTGGATACCGATCTCAACCACGCCACCTGCAAGCTCTTTGACGTGAATTGCGTCGTCTAGCTCTTGCGTTCCATTCGGATCAATGGTAAACGTGGTCTCTTCTCGGAAGTCTCTCCTGGAAGCCAGTGCCTCTTCAGATTCATTATCAATCGACCATTCGTCAAAGCCTATGTTTTTGAGAACTGCATCCGAGAACTCGTCAGGGCCAAAGTTGTTGTCCCTGAGCAATGCGTTGGTCTCTACTCTCAGATCGCCCATCTTACCAAGCTGCTCCACCAATGTACCAAACGGATGCAGAGAGGTGATAGGCCATCGCTTAATGCATGCAACAAATATGCTGCTGGCATAATCTTGGTGTCTCTCCACAAAGTCACGCGGGGCCTGCTCAGTTGGGATGGCAATAAGAGGTACACGCTTGTCGGTAGGCTTGAACCAGACAATTTTTGGCTTGTCCGGTTGTCTGTCTTGTTGATGACGACCAGGCCCACCATCGCGATGTTGACGCTCAGCTTCCTGCTTCTCCTTGGTAGCTTGGCTACTAGGTCGCAGAAGTCCAAGAGTTCTAGAATTTGTAAGCATTCCGGTGCACAGCAAGATTGGAGTGTTATGACTGACCCCGAGAACATCTGTCCAGCCACTCGCTCAATGACAGCAACGACATGGCCAGCGTACAATGGTTTTTGTTCGTCATTCACTTCCTCTTCTTCCATCAGCAACAAGCTCTGGCCCTCGACTTCTACATCATCGTTTTTCTTCTGTGTTGGACGTTGTCTCAAACTACCTCTCCTTCGAAGACCACCCTCGGTGGCCCCGTTCTGTCCACTATCACCGTTGGCAGCTGAGTCACTTCGGGGTCGCCCCTCAGCCGCATTGCTGCTATTACCACTTCTTGCGTCCGAGATATCCTTGCGTTTCTTTTTCTCTTCCTTTTCGCGCTTCTGTCCCCAGACTTCATCCACGTCGAGGAGTTCGATAGCGACATAGTCGCCCTCTAATGCTCGATTCCTGTCTTTGCTCCCACAAATGAAGATGTCCGCATCCAAGTCACTGGCGGTGACATAGGCATCGCTGCGATTCTTCTTATTTACTCGAAGTATACCAGCTACGAGCTGGTCATTGTTCAACAAAGCTGGAAGGTTTGCTTGAGGGAGGTAAGGAGTGAATAGAGTCTTTCGCGCTTGCTGCTGTGCGGAAAGCTGAGGCTGGGAGGGTTGGTTTCCCTGCATGTTGAATTGCTGCCCATTTAGCTGAGCTGCTTGCAATGCTTGCAGTTGATTAAGTTGTAAAGGGTTGATCTGCTGGCCAGCAAACATTTGGGGCTGTTGAATCATGACCTGGCCCTGCGGCAGCTGGACCAGTTGTGGTTGGTTTGGGAACTGGAATTGACCAAGGGAACCTATCGATTGATTCATAGAGCCTCTTACTCTGTGTCCGGGTTGGAAGACGTTGGCATTCGGGTTTTGATTCTGTCCGAAATTGCCCATCGGTGGCTGCTGTTCCTGCATCTGCGGCTGGGTACCCCCTTGTGACCTCCAGTTACTATCAAAGTTTCTTGAAGATGTCCGGCCGTGGCCATTTTGGCTGCCCCGCCGCTGAAAATCGGATTGCTGTCCCGCAGAGCTTGCTCCGGCGTCGTTGGTCGCCATTGGAGGCGGGAATTGGAATCCACCAGAGCCACGACCCGGAGGTGCACCACGTCCACTACCCATGGCCATACTTTGGCTTCTCCCGTGAGTAGCAGCACCTCGATTACCTGCACGAGCACTTAGACCAGACGGACTAAGGAGTTGCTGCGAATCAGCACCCTTCTCGTCAACTGTCGTCGGGCTTAAAGACCTGTCCGCAGCGGTTGAAGAAGCACCTGAAGCACCTGAAGCACCTGGGATTGGAAACTGGAACCCAGAAGTGGTGCGCTTCTGTTGTGCGAGCTCCGCGGCTTTCTTCGCTTCGGGCAAGGCAAGGGAATGACGGCGCTGATGGCCACCGCCTGGCGGTCCTCCACCACGGCCACCACGCTGTGCTCCACTGTCACGGCCTTGGCTGCCCATACTCTGCTGGGAGAAGTCACCGAATGCGGAGCCGGAAGCTCCAGAGGAAGGTGCTGGAGGTGGGCCCATGCTCATGTTTGGCATTGCTGACTGGTTACGGCGGTGTGACGCAGGCTGTGTTGGGGCATTCATCGGGACGCCCAGCTGCTGTTGCTGGGATTGCTGCGGGAATTGGAACGCATTTGCGTGGGGCGACATGCCTGCCATGGTAAATTGTCCTTGCATCGCTTGCTGGGGTGGGAAGTTGACAGTAGGTAATTGTTGTTGTTGAGGGATCATACCCATTTGCACATATTGCTGGTGCACTCCAGCGATTTGTTGCTGCTGTTGCTGAAGATGTTCTATTTGTTGCTGCAAAGCGAGTTGTTCCACTGCAGCAATGGCTTGATCAGCAACGTGTTCACTTAGTAGGTGTAGAAGCCCTACTATTTTATCGAAGATACTGACTACGAAAGATCATTGGGAGAACTTACTGAGCAATGGAGTCATCTCCGAAGGGCTACGCCTGTGAGCGATATGCAGTCGCCTGCCCGCAGGCCCAGCTACACCAGGATGAGTTTGCGGGTCCATTTCTTCACTTAAGCAAGCTCTGAAGGGCAAGTGCTGCTCCCCGGAAAAAAGTGTGTCAGAAGCAGTGAGTCGTTGTGATCAGCGCCCGGGGAATAATCCGAGATGTTTGCGAGGAGTATCGGGCTTGCCAGACGCAGTCGGATGTCTTGGGTCACCTCTGCCAGGACCCTTGAACGGCAAGATACGGTGGGCCTTAGGGCCACAAAGGAAGGGATAGAGAAGTAGAGTGTAAATGATGGTTGACACTTGTGGTGGTTGTGTAGCCGGCAAGCTGGGTTGGATGTACGGTGACGTTGGCTTCTTCCCGCAAAGGACAGGAAGATTGAAGAGAAGCGTACGCAACGCAATAGTAATGTCACGATGACGAAGACAATATATCGAAGGGATTGACAGTGATGAAGGAAGGATGGGAGGTAAGTAGGAACGACGTGGATGAGGAAGGAGTGTGCGTTGGGGAAGGCAAGTAAAAAGTTCAAGAGTGTCGATTTTTGAGTGTAGCCTTTTTCGGGTCGTCGTTGCTATTTCTCCGGACTTGGGGGGGAAAAACTACTGCGTGGGCGAGGTGGCCAGTCTCCCAGTCCACCAAGAATTTGATAATTGTCTTGTACACGGGTCTGGAAATCATGAGCTCTACCTTTAGCTACCTCATGAACCATCTACAGCCTTTCAGATAATCAAGCGAAAACAGTGTGTCGAAGAAGCAAAAAAGGCCACATCTATCTATCTCTGTAAGCCACCGATTTTTGTAGCGCTCTTCCAAAGAAGTAGGGAATATAAGATTGTGGCTTTGTTCTCAAGCTACGGAGAGATGTGTGTTGTGAGGCGCAAAGCTCCAATCTTTTGTCATATTCCTATATTCATTGAGTTCAAGCTCTGCCAAAAAGTGAAGGAAATGGCACCAAAAGGCTCATCCGAGGCTTTGGATCAGCCCTACCTTAAGATTAGTTACTAAGCAAAATGCTGCTTCTCTGTGCTCACTCGACGGAGCCTCGCGAAACTCAAGTCTGTGCCTCTGACCAAGTACTTCACACTCCACCAATAATAATGTTTATAAACCACGAATCGCATACATTGATTGCCCCCCATACGTTGACTCAATTATGCAAATGTGTCCTAGAGCCTGGGACATTGCTCAACAGCCGTCTTTGTTACGCCTAACGTTGACATCTTTAATGCCAAAGTCTCAAATTCCTTGAGTGTCAAGGCACGTCCCTTCATGGGCCTATATTTTGCCACGTTCAACTCCAACCTGCCGTTTCATCATCCACGCTTAGGGGGACCACAATTATCTACCGTACCATGGAGATCATGACGAGTCCTTACAAACTAGCCAAAGATAGCCCCTCACGCCAGCTCCTGTGGGAGCTCGGTCAGCTCGCGATATCAACACAGGAAGGATTCTACGCCCATCTGGACAGGGAGAGCCATGAACGTGAGGCACTTCACCAGCAGGCGCTCGCTGCAGCCACTGCAAAACATGAGAGCGTTCGGCGAACCGCGGAGCAGTACCGGGAAAGGCTAGAAGCACAGATACAGGCGGAGCGAAAACGGAGAGACGATGAAGAGGCAAAGGGATTGGAAAAGCTGCGCCGAGAAAAGGTCGAGCAAGAAATTGCGGAGAGGAAGAGAGAGGTCGAACGAGCCAAGACAATTGAGCTTGAGGAGAAGAGAATTGCCGAGGTCAAGAGGTTAGAGAAAGAGGCCGCGGATCGCAAAAAAGCGGAGAGAGAAAGACAGGACGCTGAGACTGCCAAACGTCAAGAAGAAGAGCGTAAAAAAGCAGCCCGGCAGAAAGATGAAGCCGCGGCAGCAGAGGTCCGTGCCAGAGAAGTGGCCGTTGCAGCTCAAGAGGCTCGCTCTGCGCCAGTCGTTCAAGCACCGGCACCGATCTCAGCTCCTGCTCCACCTGTTCAGCAGTCTACCCCGACGACTCAACCAATCCAAAACACCCAGTCAGAAGCTGAGCATTCCAGGTATCTCGAGATTCACCGTGCATTAAAGGAGCTTCGAAAGTTCATGACCGCGCAGGCGAAGCAAAACGCACAGCTCAAAGGAGCCATGGGCGACATGAGACGCGAGATCAGAAAATCTGTTGGACAGTTAAGAGACGGAAAGGGTGCGAATAAGGTTCAGGTATGTCTCTGCGTTTCTCATTATTTCTATCGATGCTAATATCCCTCTGAAGCTGCAAACAACGATTGAGACCCTCAAGAAAGCGGCCACTCTCGCCGAACCCCAGGTCGACATCACCATGTTCCTCGCATCACCTCCGCAAGTAGATGACCGCAATGGTCCTGCTCTACTCGTCTACCTTCTTAATATTTTTGCAAAGGCTATGATCGCCCAATTCATCAACGAAGCTGGTGTCAGGCCTCTTATAGCCGACAACCTTGGTACCGTTGCAAGTCATATCTTCGCATTGGACAACTTCCGTTGGAAAGGCATTTCTCTCATCGACGTTCTCATCGCGAAGTTCCATGTCGTCTGTCCAGTACTCTTCGGTATCTACGGTAATGAACGAACCCTGGAAGGAAAGCATCGTCTCGGTTGGTGGCGAGAGGAAGGTGGCGGAGCGTTTGTGCCAGAGCAGAGGCACTTCGAGAGGATGACAGGTCTCGGAGCCGGCTTTGCGGGCATCTCACTTAAGAATTACGAGAAAGCTCGCGCGCAGAACCCCTATCCAGATAAGCACTACTGGACGTCGCTTGCCAGTATCACCAACGTTCCTCCACAGGAGATCACGCAAACACATTTCGTAGTGCTCAAGGCCATGATTGAAAATTTTGAGTCAAAATTCTTACACTTCTTCGGAGACGCGGCGATTGCAGCATTGAGGCTCGCCTTGATTGAGCTTCCAAGGAGATCACCTCCTAGTGTCGCAGCAAAGTCGCTGGCTGGGTTGGTAGATGTGCTCAAGAGGGATAAGAAGCTTATCTTGTGATGAAGCACATGATAGAACTGGAGGGCTTCCGGTGGGGAGAACGGGGTATTCGTTCCATCAGCAACCCCGAACGATTGGATGAGCGTCACGATGGCTCGCCAGATGGACAAGGTGGTCTACTGCAATTTAGCGTTTTCTGTACACGTCAGATATTTGTTTCTAAATACCCCGTTCAGCATTCGAAGACACAAGGTCGACACGCTAAAACTAGTGCCACAACGAACGTTCGCCATTCTTATTATTGGCACATGGCAGCGTGAGTTAGATGTGACCTATTTCCACGTTGGGACTTGAATAGCCACAGGTACTATTCGGATAGGGTATCTTAAATACACAGATCTCAACACACACACACACACACACACACACACACAAAAGGAACCCCACCATTGTCACCTCTTACCCAGCCGTTCTTTTCCCCATGTCTTGACTTTCCCATCCATATCCCTCCTCACAAACACCATGACAATCATTACCAACCATCCCATCACGGTATCAACAAATCCCCTGCCATTCCGTCTACTTCCCCCCAGCATCCCCGACTTCATTGCAACACCCAATACCCCATTTGTCGTAATCAACTCCTCTCCCCTTTCCAAACCTTTTACGCTCGCTGCCGCTACTTGCTCTGGGGTTTGCCCACCATCACCCTCTTCCAATGTCTTGGTTATTGCCGGTTTGGTGAGGTTTTCCTTCTCATATCCTTCTGTGAAGATCGTTCCCGGAAACACTGTGTGCGTCCGAATGGGGGCCAGAGGTGCGTATAGCAACAGTTCCTGGGATAGGGTGTCGGAGAGTGCTCGAAGAGCGGTTTTTGTTGGCGTATAGGGACCGTAGCCAACAAGTGGTAAGAAGGCGAGAACGGAGGATGTGAAGATGATATGTTTTGCTGGTTGGTTGGGCTCAGGGGAGGACCTAAAGTGGTTGACCCATGACTGCACTGCGGCGTGGGCTACATAAGCGGAGGAGAAGTAATTGCTTTCCATTTGCTCTTTCAGCACTTCGATTGGCACGTCAATAAAGAGGCCAGGACGAGACGAGCCAGCGCAGCACCAGAAAATGTCTGGAGGCTGGTTGTTGTTCCATGCCGTCGTTTCTGAAAGAATGCGCGCCGCTTCGGCAGGATCTATCAAATCGGCGCTGATGTAGTGGAAGCGCTGGGATGAGGGTTTTAAAGCGTGCTCCTTGTTCTGATCTCAGCGAATCCTCAGGCTATGCAGTGCTTTCTGGGGCATACAGATATATACTTGAGCGCCTCTTCGAGCTTCTCAGCATTTCGGGCGATAATAATCACATTGGCTCCCTTCTCTGCGAGTAACCTTCCAACGGCTTTTCCCATTCCCTGAGAGCCCCCAGTAATGACCACTGTCTAGACCAATTCAATTAACCTCTTTCTCAAAGAGCAAATGCCGGAGGAGCTTCTTACTTTGCCATTCACGGGAAAGTGATTCTTGCTCTGGAAGCCGCCCATTCTGTCGTAGATGAGGACAGACACAAACAGACACAAGCATACGGAGGTCCAGACAAGACCAAAAGCCATGAGACTCGACTACGCCGTTCAGTTGCGTGCGATGATATGAAGGAAAAAAGGAAAAGGTTTGGCAAATTGTCGATTCTAAGGAGCCCTAAACTCCGCGATGTCTCGGACTTAAACACGGGATGCCGCACGAAATTTCCTGTTCGCAGACTTGGTCTTTTACCACCATTCGCAAGATGGCAAAGAAGAGGAAAGCTAGTGGACAGCCATTCGGTCGCGATGAGCCTCAAGAGTTTAATGATGCGGACAACAAGTTGAGGATCAATACGTACGAGGATGTGGCGGATTCAGAGGATGAATTCCATATCAACCGAGACAAGATATTGCTAGAGGAGGGTCCAGCGCAAAAGAGGCAGAGAAAGATACAAGAAGATGGTAAAGATTCAAATCTAATTGACCTCTTGTGTCTCATGCTGATTCAGAAGTAGAGGCTTTTCTTGAACCATCAGACGAAGAAGTCTTAGCATCTAATGAGAATGTTTCTGACTATGAAGACGATTTCGACGATGCACGTGAATCTCCACAAGGCTCGACTGAGCAAAAGAAGCCTACTAGAATCGCAAAAGGAGTCCAAGGCTCGGAGTCGGAAGTTTCAGCTGCGCCAGACGAGGACGAAGACACAGGCGGCTGGGGTGTTTCGAGAAAGGACTACTATAATGCAGATACAATTGAGACCGAAGCCGATGCGCTAGAAGAGGAAGCTGAGGCTCGAAGGCTACAGCAGAAGCATCTCCAAGGAATGACTGAGGCTGACTTTGGCTTTGACGAGCTTGAATGGCTGAAGGCAGGCAAGAACGGGGAAGACGAAGACGAGAATGATGGCGACGATGTGGTTCGAGAAGTCTTGCCAAAGGTGCAGATTACAGATGCGATGGGTCCTGAGGAACGTCTCAGGATCTTAAGGACAAGATATCCGGAATTTGAGCCTCTGGCTAAGGAATTTTTAAATTTACAAGCCGTCCATGAAGATTCAAAGTCAGCGGCTACTGCTGCAATTGCAGTACAGCAGCACATGAGCGCCAAAGAAGGTCAAGCTCTAGCAACCGAGAATTTCACCACGCCAATTGCTGCTGTGAAGCATGGTGCATTGAGCGCATACCTAGCGGCACTTTCTATGTACTTTGCGTTACTCACTTCGAGCCAAGCGGATTCAGACGGTAAGCTCTTTGCCATGCCATCAGAAGAACTTCGAGACCATAGCATCATGGAAACACTGGTACAATGCCGAGACCTTTGGGGGAGACTCAAAAACGTTGCGGTGCCAGAACTTGATGTCGACAATATTCCCGATATGGAAGAATCGAATGGTCACGCCATGGATACAAGTACCCATGAATCCCAAGCTCTCAAGGGCACGAAGGATATCAAGGAAGAGACGGAGGACCCGCCCAAGCGGAAAAAGAAGCACAAATCCAAAGCACGCAAAGCAGCAGAAGCAGCCCAAGCAAAAGCAGACGCTCTACGTGCGGAACGCTTGCAGAAAACCGAAGAAGAGCTTGCTAGCCTATCCGCTTTGACAGCTCCATCTAGGCTGTCATCCAAGGCACCTAAGCGTCCCGCGAAGACCACTGCAGGGAACAAGGACTCCGACTCTGACTTTGGCGAACAGACAGCTTTGACGCCACATGAAGCGGCTGAGAAGGCGAAGCGGAAGAAGAGTCTCCGATTCTACACGTCTCAAATCACCCAGAAAGCGAATAAACGCGGCGCCGCAGGTCGAGACGCTGGCGGTGACGCAGATCTGCCATACCGTGAGCGGCTGAAAGATCGACAGGCAAGACTGAACGCCGAGACCGAGGCACGCGGGAAGAAGCCCAAGGAGAGTACCAAAGGTGAAGCTCTTGGCGGTCCAAGCGATGAAGAGGATCATGCAGCAACGCAGGAGTTGCGAGACGGTAGTGGCTCCGAGGACTATTATGATCTCGTCGCCTCCCGCTCTGCTGACAAGAAGGCCTCCAAAGCCACCCTCGCCGCAGCACACGCTCAGGCCGAGAAGCAGGGGGGTATTGTGCGTGTAGTGGAAGAAGAGACTGCAGACGGCAAGAGAGCAATCAGCTATGCCATCGAAAAGAACAAAGGCCTTGCTCCGAGGAGGAAGAAGGACGTCAGAAATCCAAGAGTCAAGAAGAGGAAGAAGTTCGAAGAGAAAAAGAAGAAGTTGGGATCGATCAGGCAGATTTACAAGGGTGGGGAAGGCAGAGGTGGGTATGGAGGCGAGAAGACGGGTATTTCGACGAGGCTTGTCAAGAGTGTCAAATTGTAGCAGTCAAAGCTGGCTTGAAATTCAGAGAGATGAAGCCAGAACTCAGGCTCACTTGAGACGATTGTTTTGCCGTTCCTTTGTCTCCGCGTGGGTTTCCACGAAGGAGATTCCTCCCTTTGATATTTCCATGTCACAGGAATTCTCTGCCTAAAACCCAAACTCTCATGCCGAATAGGCCAAGGCTTTGCGTAGCCCTTGAGGCGACCCATGATGGATGAACAAGGCAAGTTAAACCGCGATGGAACCTTTTCGTCTTCTCTGGTTTTCGAGCAAACGTGGACTGTCCAAGCCCCTCTGAGTCCCACAAGCACTTGACTTTTTCCGAGGCAGTCGCGCTGTTCCAGAAGCCAAGGGTCTTCGCAGTTGCGCCAGGGCGTGGATCCTCGCGAACATAGTCGACGCTCAGTTTCAGAACGCCCGGGCTATTCTGCTTAGCATCCCTAATAGCTTCGGCACGGTGAGGTATGTGCCATATCTATATTTTCCAACTCCACGGATGCTCTTCATCTCCATATTGGATGCCCTCTATCCAGGCTTTCATTTTCTTCGTCACATCTCCCGCCTCCTGGTTTTCCTTCAGTCCACACTCCACCATCCTTCCCTTCCAGCCAATCCGCCTGACCGGGCTGACAACCGCAGCTGTACCTGTCCCAAACGCTTCAAGCAACCTCCCATCATCAGCTGCGCTGGCTAGTTCAGCCATCGTGAACTTCCGCTCTTCCACCTCCCACCCCTCTGGCTTAAGCCTTTCTCTTGCAAGATCCAATACCGAATCTCTCATCACCCCCTCCAATATTGTTCCATCCAGCGGAGCAGTCATCAGCTTCTTCTTCCCTGTCTCTTTATCTTGGATGGCTGCGAAGAAATTCATCGTACCCGCTTCCGTCACATATTCCTCTTCACCAAAAAGCCAAAGATTCTGGTGGAAACCTCTCTTCGCCGCTTGCAGTTGCGGTATTATACATGGCGCATAATTGGCTCCAAGTTTCATGTCGCCAACACCTCCTGGCCAGGCTCGCACAGCATAATCGGTTGCTTCGAGGGAGACGGCACGAAATCCTGTGGGGTAGTACGGGCCCACGGGTGAAGCGATCATATAAAGGAGGGCAGAGCCCGGAGGTCCCACACCAAGTGAGCGCTGAGTACCTATCATAGTTGGGCGAAGGTAGAGCGAGTAGCCTGGCGCGGCTGGGATAAATCGTTCTTCCATTGCAGCAAATTTCGATATCAATTCTATAAAGGCCTTGCCTGTGAAGTTTGGAAGGGCTATCCGGGCAGACGACTTGTTGAAGCGCATCATATTCTTCTCTGGTCTGAAGAGCCGGACTTGGCCTCGAGAATTCTTGTAGGCTTTCATGCCCTCAAAGCATTCAAATGCGTAGTGAAAGACGCATGTTGCGGGATCGAGACTGAGGTTTTGATAAGGCGTTATTCGAGGGGCTAGCCAACCTTGTGAAGCCGTCCATTCTACTGAGAGCATATGATCTGTATATTCAATTGTCTTAGCACAAATTGTGGTTTGAGTCAGGGAAAGCAGTCGCGCGCTTGCCCGTAAATGTTCGCCCAAATACGAGCTCTTCAGGTGGTAGGACTTGCTTAGGTGTAGTGGTCATAGTAATTGATAGCGCGCCAGGATTTATATCGGGCAACTGGGCAATCGCTTCCTCTTGCGACTGTATGCTGTAGCGTCTTCGGCAGTGCCATTGCGGTATGAAATTTAGGAGTGGACGAGGTCTGCGCATATACAAGCAGGACCTTGACGCCCGCATAGTAGCCTCGCGAACCATGACAGTGAAGAGTATGCTAATGGCTCTTCCTTGAGGTCCTTTTCGCCGCGTATGAAAGAATGAGGTCTGGTTTTGACCTGGCACGAAAACACCAGCACAGCGAAGTCGGAGCTTTTTCCTTGGCCTCCGATCTGACATGCCAGACCCCTGCAACCGCAGATACCCGTATTATACCAATTTTCAAACAGTAAAGGAATCACACATGTGCGTATATCGAAAGTGCTCAATACTGTCAAGATCCGTGTTATATGCACTGTTTGTTAAAGAAGTGGCTACCAATGTTTCTCAGCCATAGGGATTGCTATCGACGGCGACGATAGCATTTATTGTACTTGGTACTCGTCATTCATACATCAAGAGTCCTAGAACTTTGTCGCAGACATGTTTACTTCGGCATTGAAATCCTTTACCTCCAATATTTCTGCGAATTACACGATATCAACTACGCCGTCTTCGATTGCGGGAGCATGGAAGGTCTACGATGGAAAAAAGAAGTCAACGGGAAAAGCCGTCTCGGTCTTCGTTTTCGAACGAAAGTCTCTGGATTCACATTCAGGAGGACTTAGTGGTCGGTCTGGCGGGGCCTCCTTAAGGAAATTGCAAGATGAGGTTATAGCGAGAGTCAAGAAGGAGTCCAATCTTCTCGCCAGACTGCGGCACCCTAGCATTCTCGAGCTTGCAGAACCTATAGAAGACACTCGGAGTGGTGGCTTGATGTTTGCTACAGAGCCAGTGACGGCATCTTTATCAGGTCTATTACATGAGAAAGACGATCAAGAGAGAGCCGGCGGAGTTGCTGGTAGGCCCAGTCGATATGTGGTTGAAGAAGCGGACGGACAAAGGCGGAGAAGAGACCTAGAGATCGATGAGCTTGAGATTCAGAAAGGTTTGCTGCAAGTTGCTCGAGGTCTTGAGTTCCTGCACGAGTCTGCTGGGTTAGTGCATGGGAACCTGACGCCAGACGCAATATTCGTCAATGTGAAAGTACGTCTTTATTGCTCGCTTTCCGCAGGCCAATCCTCTTCTAACGCTCAGTATGTGTACAGTCGGACTGGAAAATAGCCGGATTGGGATTTGCGGGCCCTCCAGACACTTCCAGTACGCAATCGACAATGGCTCCAATTTCCCTTTCAGAAGCCTTGTATCATGATCCTCGCCTACCGCGATCCACCCAGTTGGACCTTGACTATACATCCCCCGATTTCGTCCTGGATAGCAACATCTCATCTTCAGCTGATATGTTCTCACTGGGCCTACTACTGCTTGCTCTGTACAATTCACCCCACACGTCTCCTCTGAAGACCAACTCTAATCTCTCGACCTACAAAAAGCTTTTCTCATCCTCATCAACCACCCCTTCCTCAAGTAACAATTTCCTCTCTTCGCGCCCACTCCCGAAAGACTTGATATCAGGCGTACTACCTCGATTAATCACTAGGAGGCCTGCACAGCGGATGAACGCTCGAGAATTCCAGCAGTCACAGTTTTTTGATAACATTCTTGTCTCGTCTATTAGATTTCTCGACGCTTTACCGGCAAAAACGCCGAATGAGAAGTCACAGTTCATGCGAGGCTTGCCAAAGATCTTGGAGCAATTCCCGAAATCTGTGCTTGACAAGAAAGTGCTACCCGCACTACTCGAAGAGACCAAAGACAAAGAGCTTCTATCCCTCATTTTGCAGAATGTCTTCAAGATCATCGGGATTTTGCCGTCCGCCAAGCGGGCTATGACTGATAAGATTCTTCCACAACTGCGTGAAACTTTCATTTCTGTCGGCGGCAAAGCTGGTGCGCACGAGCGAGATACTGCCAAAGAAGCCGGCCTGGCTGTGGTTCTAGAGAACATGAGTCTGATCGGAGAGAACTGTAACGGGAGCGAATTCAAAGCTGACGTCCTCCCAATATTGCAGCTTGGCTTGGAGTCCCCCACTCATGCCCTGGTCGACAAAACCCTTGGTTGTCTTCCCACTGTTTTAGCAATTCTAGACTTTTCCACTATCAAGAACGAGGTCTTCCCATTGGTGGCTGCAGTTTTCAGCAAAACGAGTAGTCTTGGGATCAAGGTTCGTGGCCTCGAAGCTTTCGTGATCCTTTGTGGAGGGTCTGCAACGGAGGAGACCGACACCAGCGACGGGCTTGATGGAGCTATAATGGGCTCCAAAAAGACCAAGCGGAGCAGCAACGCGGTACTTGACAAGTATACCATTCAGGAAAAAGTGGTCCCACTTATCAAGGTGATGAAGACGAAAGAGCCTGCAGTAATGGCAGCAGCCCTCGCTGTTTTCAAACAAATCGGTAACATAGTCGATTCTGAGTACCTGGCGTTGGAGATTCTGCCGGTCCTTTGGAACTTCAGTTTGGGGCCCCTCCTCAACTTACAGCTGTTTCAAGAATATATGGATCTGATCAAGAAACTGTCCGCCAGGATTGAGACCGAACAAACGAGGAAATTACGAGAAATATCAAGTTCAAACGGTGCAAAAGACGCATCACGATCCCATGATCTTGGTTCTACGAATGGCTTCTTCGCAACAACGAGTGGGACAGAAAACGTAGGCGCAAACGATTTTGAGCGGCTTGTGTTGGGGAAAGGGGCCACGAATGGTTCTGACATGCTGGGCGAAGCCCAGTCTGGAGCTCCAAAATCTGGTGCTCCAACCTATTCGTGGTCATCTCCACCACTGGTTGCGAGCCAAAATGGACCGATGTCTAACATGATGAATCCTCCGGCCCGTACTATTACTCCGGACCAAGCCCTCAACTCCTTCGCTACGCTCAATCCAAAACCCAACAATAATACCATGAACAGCGGACTAAGTTCTTTCACACCGATGCAGCCTACGATGATGCAGCCTCAAACGGCTACAGCGTCGTGGTCTTCGACCCCAAGCCAGCAACCGATCCGTCAATCGCAGCCAGGTTACATGATGCCTCCACCGGCCCAAACCCAACAGCCTGTCACACCGTTTTCCGCCTTTTCACTCCCACCACCCCCGACGTCGCCTCAGCGTTCAGGAATGCAATCGCAGAGCATGGGCTACTTCCCGGCTGTGCAAGCCGGGAACAAGGGGCAAGTACCCGTTGCGCATCAGCCAGTGCAGCAGAAGTCCGGTTTAGATAAGTACGAGAGCTTGATTTGATGGGGTAATGACGGGGCGAGCCGGCAGTGGTACCGGTTATTTATACCAGGCGTTTTGGATATGAACCCTTGGAGATCCCGGATGATACCCAGTGATGATGGCGAAAACTTGCACTATTTGCACCTGTTGTATGCGAACCGTTCCTGGATGTTGAGGAAGTCAAGATCGAATATGCATCAAAAACCGTCTAGTTGTTATTCCACAAGTCTCAATATTTGCAGCTGACACACAAGTCTATGTCTTCGCATCCATGCTACTTGACCCCTATTGCAGGCTGTGCAGAATTCACATGACTGCGTCTTCGCTTATCTGCTTATCAAGATGCCATCGTCTGTAATTACCCCCCCGAACCGAGTCATTGCTTCTTGCTGGATCTAGAAATCTTGTCTGGCAAGCTTGCTACGTTTCCGTATCGTCTCACCATACTGATAATCCAGCGTCAGCCAAATACCCGGGACTTGCAGCAGAGACCGTGAGAAAGACGAGCAACTCACCCTATACAGCACAAAGGGTATCGGTATAAACGCAATCGACAAGAACCCCAACGTCGAACTCGCCCACGCAACCCCCAAATTCTTATACATTGCCGTTGCAAACAGCGGGAACCCTGCGCCAAAACTGCTCCTCATGAAATCATTCCCTGCGAGCACACTGGCCGCATACTCCGGGTATGCATCCGGTAGGTAGTTGAGGACGGAGTTGAAGAGGAGGAAGGTGCCGACGGAGAAGAACCCGGAGCCGATGATTGGCAGGATCCAGTGGATGCTGGGGCGTGCGGACCAGCCGAACCAGAAGAGGCAGATGGGGATGCAGAATGCGCCGACGAAAGCTGGAGGGAGGCGCTTTTCGGGAGTGAGTTCGCCATTTTTATTGAATTGAGGTTCGACTACCTTGTGGAGGTAGTAGAAGAATGGTGGGATAACGATGATTGCGCCGACTAGGATTCCCACAAATGCCAGACCTTCTTCGCCCAGGTTGAACTTGTATATTCCTTCGAAGACGATGGGGAATGATTCGAACCAGATGTATAGGAGGCCGTAAATAAGGGCGATATACAAGTTGAGGAGGAACACCATCGGTTCTGTAAAGTTGAGGGTGATTGGCCGGACGAGAGCGATGAGGACGATCTGGACTTACGAGTCAGTAGGCAACCCGTTAAGAATGGTTTGCATGTGTTGCTAGAACTCACGTCTTTCCCGGTCATCTGCTCGCCCATAATCTCTGGCTGACATCTAAGGCTTTCGATACCCGTCAATTTCCTCAACCTCCTCGTCCTCCGATACAAGATGTTGGACGAGCTTGTCTCGGGCAGAAAGAAGATAAATAGAACCAATGAAAACCCACAGAGCCACATGAGCTCCCATATTGTCCATGCCCAGCCCTCAGCCTGAGCGGCAAAACCCCCTACTAATGGTCCAAGCACAGGTCCACAAACGGCCGCAATGCCCCAAATGCCGATACCATACGCTCTCTTGTTTGGTGCAAACATATCTCCTATACTCGCTCCCCCAGTGGCCAGTACCGGACTGCCGATAAAGCCGGTCAGGAAGCGAAAGCACAACAGCATGGCCTGCACAATTCGGAGTCAGCATGACTTGTTTGAGTCGAAAATATAGGAAGAGGGTTATTGAGAGTAAAGCCGAGCTTTGTGCTCGCAAGACATGTTTCGCGACTCGAATTGCGGTCTGACTAAGGAAGAAATGCTCCGAAAAGTACACCTACAAAGTTCACCGCCAACGCCGTTGGCACTTGGAAAATGACAAATACTGCCAAAGTGCCGATGTATATAGGGTTCCTTCCTATCTGGGGGATTTCGCTCATGGGGGCCCAGATCATAGGTCCGAGGCCATAGCCAGCGACGAAGAGGGTCAGGCCAAGAGTGGCCTTTGTTTGTGAGACGCCAAAATCTTTAACGACGGTTTCTTCTCCCGCACTGTAGATGGCCGAGCCAATGTAGACCGAAAAGGTCAGGAGGCAGATTTCGAAGGTTACAAAGACTTTCTTCAGAGTCGACCAATTCAGTGGCATCTGTCCCCTGCTTAGCACCCGCCTCATCTTCGATCCAGTACTAGAGAGTTCGTACCTCTGGGTCATTGTCGCCAAACCAAGTCACCATTGTAGTATCTCGCCCTTTTTCTGGATCAATCTTCTGCCCCGTGATTGTACTGCTCAGTTGGTGATCTCCATCCTCTGCGCGCGTTTGGGAAGACTCGTCTGACAAATTGGCTCCGTTGACGTTGCCGTTGGCATTGCTTTGTGTTTCGCTGACCGGGGCACTCTCACGCTCTTGCTTCTCTTCCGGTGTTTTGTCGTCTGGGTGGCCATACAAGGCCATATTTTTGGTCTGCTCGCGGTCAAGGTATTGCTTCCATAGTGAGGGATCTCTTTCTTCTGCATATTGCAAGACTCTGCCCTTGGTGATGAAACGCACTACGTGTCCAAAGACTGTGTCACGAATTAATTCGGACATTGAGGCGATGTGGGCGGTGAGTCAGTAATCAGGCAAAGGAAAGATGGATTGGCAGCAGACGGACAGAGAGAGGATGAGAAGGCAAACAAAGAGACATGGGTGAATGAGGAGGTAACAGTATGTGTATAATGAGGATGCGTGTAACAGAGAGAATGTGGAGTAATGGTATGTTATTTACATGCAGCGCCAAGAAGAAAAACGGTTGAACATGGCGTCATTCATCCGCGAGCTTTGCAATCGGATTCCGAGTCCTCCGTTGTACTTACATGTATCTCATTACATCGCTCAACGATTGGTTTCACAGATACTGTAATAATTAAGAATTTGACTGATGTCATACATCATACGAGTACGGGTAACCGTCAAAGATCGAAGCTAGTTTTAGCGTTATACTCTATCTTACTTCCGCGGGAGTCATCTAATTGGTCGAGTCTGAAGGAATTAAAAGAGTGAACGAGGTTCATTCCTAAGTATTGATCGATCAGGCAACGTATGCTTCGAGAGAATTTCCCATCTCGACAGACATTGAGACTTTTTGCGTAGTGTTTGGGACTGACATTCGCTGCTTCTGTTCAGTGCCTTTGTAATTGTTCAATATCATGATTGACACCAGGAGCTGTCCCACAGTCTCGTCGACGAAGAGATGTGGGGAGCTTACATTGTTCAACGAGATCCTGGGGCTGTAAAGCAAGTGCATATATGCAGAGGTCCTCGACCCACGAGACGGTACAGTTCAGACTTTCTTCCCAAGGTATGGAATAGTATCCCTCACCGTCGACATTGTCGAGCAAATTCCGCAAACGACAGAAAAGAGGTGTATTGATACTTCTCGCCATGTGCGGTGTCGAGCGGACGAGATTCTTTGCATAAGTCAACCATTTCCAAAACCGGACACCGTGGATGGGCTATGTTATCAGATTTGTCGCGTCTCTTTGGTTACATCCAGGCATGGTCATCGAGCAGAGTAAGGTCCGGCCCGCCCATACTTGGATCCAATTTGTGACCCCATCCGCTCATGTTCAAGTCTTTGAATACAATCGTCACGCAAAGCAATGCAGGGATTTGAAAGAGTGTGGTGGGAGTTTCAGACAGTGGACTCGCGCAATGTCGGTTGGGGACGATGTTAGGGGTTGAGAATCTTTGATATTGACATGTGGGAAAAAGCGTGAAACACTACTTGAAGGGAAATTCATCAAGAATCCACCGATGTGACTTGGCTCGTTCCGTTAAATGCACCACCTGATTGGATACCGACAACAACTTCTGAATATTCGTGAAAGAGTTTGAGGAGAGCGCGCCATGTCTTCGGAACCCACATCCCCAGTGGCAGTACGGTATCTCCACGCAGAAGAGGCACCGCGCACTACTCTCGGCTTTGCTGGTCTCTGCAAAATGTTTATAGCGCTAGTCAAACTCTCGAGACATGTGTAATGGTCACATCGTAAGTGAACGCAAGAAAGGAAAGACTTCAATCTGAATTGGCCCATCAATATCGAGTAGCCAGACAGGCTTATACTTTTTTACCAGATATACTCCTCGCGATGCTTTTTGTACTTCGTCAACAAAAGCCTTGTTGCCAAACATTGAAGCAATTGACTTTAGCCAGAAGTCGTTCCTAAAACCCCGTCCCTGACTTTCTGCCAACAAAACAAAACAACGCGGGCTCACCAACTGCAAATTTCTTCGGGCGTCTTTTGACTCTTGCTCCCTATGATCACAAAAATCCGGAGCTTTCAGCCACTGTTAGCAGCCTCATGTTCATGCAAGCATCTATAAATTCCAATCACATTAGGCTTTTACTTACCCTGTGTGCTCTAATTCTGACCCTCTTTAACTTGGTACCACCAGCTATGAAGGACACTGTCGAAGCCAACAACAGGCTTAGCTTTCATGTTTCAGCTTCCAGGGAAGCAGGTTTGCTTCTCGGTCTTAGGTATGACCACGAGTCGTTATATCATACGGGCTACCGCAGACCTGCTGCAGCAATGAGGCCAGCCAGTCACCAAGTCAGACTTTGTATATGAGTACTTTCATCATATCTGCCGAAACATGACTGTGTTCAGATATGGCGGCTCACGTCCTCTGTACCCTCGAGCAGTATCTGCGATAGATAGGCTTCCCCGTCCTCATTGGCCATCGAACCTTCACCGAGGATGAAAGTCTCGCCAATACTTGCTCCATGCCGTCAGCTCAAAGTTTCGATGATCTCCCGGTCGCTCCATGAGCTTGGTCTGGTTGGTGTAGTTCATTAACCAGCTGTCGTACTGCCAGATCCAACATCACATCCTCTGAACCACCTGGAATACGCGCACCGGGCACATCGCGGTATATTCTCTCCGCAATCTCGCCCCTTCCTGTCGTGGTAAACCCATTGCCTCCAAATAGTATGACGGCACATCTCGCACATTCATCCAGCACAATCCCAGCCTGTGCTTTTGCCATGGCCGTCAGCCCGCCTAATTCCACGTCCGCTTCCTCCTTTTTCATTTTCGTCATCTGATAGACGAATTGCTCCACCCAGGCCCATTGACTCTCCAATAGCGCCCCGGCTTTCGCAAGTCTATACCTTACAACAGCCTGCTCCATCAGGACCTTCCCAAATGCTTTCCTCTGTAGACAATATTCAAAAGCCGCACTCAGTGCCACCCTTGCCTGTCTCGTAACGCCAATAGCGATCGTCAAGCGCTCGTGGTTGAAATTCGTCATGATGTATTTCATGCCTTGGCCTTCTTGACCGATGAGATTGGAAACGGGGACTTTGACATCAGAGAGCTCAATGAAGGCGGTCCCGCTAGTCAAATGCCCGCTTACTTTCAGGCGCCGCATGCTGACGCCAGGGTAATCAAGGAGAGGAACCACAATAAGAGACAGACCTGCAGGGCCAGGCCCAGAAGTACGAACAGCCATAGTGCAGTAGTGCGACCATATCCCGTTTGTGATCCATTTCTTCGTCCCATTTACCACATAATGTTTTTCCATCCTCCGTCTTCTCAGCTGTAGTCTCAATGCCAGCCACATCACTTCCCGCTCCAGGCTCCGTAATAGCAATGCACGTCCTCTTCTTCCCCAGTAGAAGCTCGGGTATGGACCTTTCTTGCAGATCCTGGCTACCAAACTTCAGTAGTGGAGGAACGCCAAACGCCATGCCTGTTGTTAGACTCGCTCCGGGCCCCGTCAACCCGCTCCGTGACATCTCATCGCAGAAAATAGCTGTATGGATGTAGTCCCAGTCCTCGACCTTCACTACGCCCAGTATGTCATTTATGCCCAATCTCTTCAGCCATTGGACTGGCAATGCTGCTGTTAAATTCGGGAGGAGCATATTTGCATCCGCAAACTTCTGGAAGACATGAGGAGGAACGGTCTCCTCACGCTCCCATTCTAAGGCGTATTGATGGAGGTTTTTGGTGACAAATGCTCGGCACGCCTTCTGCCAACGGAGGTGGGACGGCGTATAGTAGGGCGAGGGTAACCCACAGAGGTACAGGGGTTCGGAGAAGGGGATCGGGCGAGACATGGCGACCTGTTCTTCAAAGTCCTGGCGATACTTATAATTTTGTAGCCACCAGATGATTTTTCCGAGAGCGTTATAGCCTCAGGGCAGGACTCTACTATTCGGACGTCATGAGAGGGGCGCCTCAAGCAGAGGTGGGAGGAGAGCTTGCGGGCTGACGGACGACTCGGTGCCGAGGTTTTCAACTTTTGCTCCAGGCGAACCACAAGCAACGGTGTCGTGGGAGTCACACCAAACACAAAGATACGTATTTCGATGTAGTAAGAACAGTATCTCTCATATATCTATTACACTTATTATCTAGACAGGTTTGGACATAGCCAGTCATATGTGAGGCCTTTATACACTCGCGATATCCAAGCATCAAAGCGCATTGGCCAGTAGACCGGGGTATCATGCATGAAACTCTCGATCGATCCAAGGGATTGCCACTGCTCTCACCAAGGCAAGTTCAAACAGGCCTGGTTGCATCCGTGAGAGCGGTCATACCGCCATACCTCCCTTTCCTTTCACAACTCGATTCCAATCAGACCATTCTTGTGCCATCTCCATCAGAACACTACCCATTACACCAGCTGAAGCCATCAATCCATGTCCTTCGCCTTCCAACACCCGAACCTCACACCTCCTCATTGTTTTGCCCAACCACTTGACATTGTCCACAGGGACTCTACTGTCCCTGCTGCCATGGTGAATGACCACAGACCTCGTGATATCAACGTATCTGAAGCCAATCGGCTGGCGCCGCTCAAGGCAGACTAGCAAATCGACCGCTGGGTTGGCCCCAGTCGTTGCGGCATCCCAGGTAGCTTCTGTCAGTCGAGCATCAAATATCGACCGCCGTTCTTTTTGAATTTGAGCGGTAGATCTTCCATTCGTTGAATTCGAGACGCGACGACTAGAAGGACGGTTCTCTTTGGAGAAGTCTGCCATTTCGCAGTTGGAGAGTGTGGGAGACAAAGAAGCATCCCGGTCACCACCATTTGCAGCTTCCTGGATATCAGGCACCGCTGCTCCACCCCAAATGAAACTCTTGCGCTTGGAGCGACGAGGTGATTTGGGGAGGGTGGTGGTGACACTTGCGCTCGTAGCGTTGAGAAAACTCGAGTTTGCAGCTTTAAGAAAGGTCGTGGGTAAAGACCGCAGGAAACGCTGCGAGTAAGGAAGAGACTTTGCTGGCGAAGGCTCCTGCTGAGCGCCGATGGTATACATTTGAGATGGCGGAATCCACGGAGCGAGTAGATGTACTCGGCAACGGATATGTTGAGGCATCCGCAGTGCGGTAGCTAGAGCATATACTGCACCCGCAGAATGGGCCAAGATTGAAAATTTCGTAATTTTCAAATGCTGGCAAATGGCACGCACATCATCGGGCCAGCCCAACGGTGTATCCAGCCCATCTGTGTGAGGATCGCTGCCTCCTACGCCGGGACGATCAGGTGTCACAAGTCGAAGCTTCAGTGTAGATGCCAACTCATCGTAGAAAACCGTGACGAATCTAGTCAGACCCATTCCAACGCAACAGAAGATCACTGAGCCTTCAGGATCCCCAACTTCAGAAAAGGATATTACCCGCCCTGTCTGCGGATCGCTTATCTTTTGGGACAACCTGGAAGACAGAAGATACTCGTTGACGGCATCACTTACTAGATCAGCTTCATCAATCTGGTAAGACGTATTGCGCTTGGTCTCCAATAAGTTACTGGAAACTGTCCTCCGTTTCTCCGCAGGTGCGGGACTCATGGGCCGAGAGAAGCGCTTCAATAGACGAGAATTGGACCTCTGTGGCAAAGCAAATGATGGCCTTTTGTCACCATCTCTTGAAGTGATTGAAGAATCTGTTACGGTAGCTGGCTTGGCTTCCACGGAGCTGGCTCGCACTCCATTATGTCTACTGATCCTCTGCGCGATTGCCGGCGCAGGGGCGCTTCTCTCAGTATCGTTCATAAGCTTGGGTTCTGGGACCTCGACTGCATCGGTCTTTTGTTCCAGTAGCAGGGCACTGATAGATGTTGTTTGGGGAGCGACCGGACCTGGAGAAGGCGCAAGACTCCGATTTGGTGTCTGCGGGGCCGAGAAGAATTCCGTTGGGCTCTCCATTGAGCTTCGCTCTCTTTCAAGTTTCTGGTCCTTGAGCTCTTTGATTCTGCGATTCACTGAATCCTCTCCCAGCTCATCAGGCACTTCCTGAAGCGTCTGCTCTGGGATATTAGGCGGGTTTTCTAATACCGACTTGCTGGGCTCCATACCACTGCTACTCTCAGATAGCTGAGATCTCCTACTATGACGTGATGGGCTCAATCGCAGGCTATGGCGTATGGATGAACTCCGGGTAGGGATGCTGTCTTCGTTCGGTATGCTGTATCTTTTTTTGCGGCCGCTGGGCTCGCCATCCATTTCCTCTGGATTCCCGTACAACCTTCCCGGAGACCCGTTAGACTGCACGGATGATGCTCGAGTCGGTATATTGGGAGGCTCTACCGCCACCCGATCGCCGGTGCCTCGTTTCGACAAAAACAGCTGATCTGGTCCGGGTGATCCTGGAGGTGTATCCCTTATTACAATTCTCTCGCGAGTGCGCTTCGCTTCCGACCTAGGCTTCAGGACAACGAGGCCGTTGGACCCAGGCAACGAGTCCCTGGAAGCCTTCAAGCCCAAGCTCCTGAAACTTGCAAAACTATTAAGACCCTTCCGGCCTTCACTTCTGTCTAAGTTGATTGTTGTGGTTGAAGGCTTTGGCTCGATGCTTAGATTCCCAATACTATATGCTCCTCCCAAATCAAAGAGATCCGTCGGTTCCTTCGCATACTCTCGTAAGGATTTGTCCGATGAGATGCGCCTAGGCGACCAATTTCTAATTGACGAGCGGTCGGGATGTAGGAAGTAATTATCGTGCACCCCGTGAGGTCTCTTTTGTGCATCGAAGTCTGTTCCCGATCCAGAGAGAGATGGTCGCATTGAGTCGCCTTGAGGAGCACCGCTGCTGGGTCCGGTGAATAGAGGAAATCCCGCTTGCCATGGACGTGGCGAGGCTGGTGTTGAGTGGGAACTAGCTATGCTGGGCAGGGAGTCGAGGTGGTGTTCTGCTGGCGAGGAGATCGCAGACAGGGTCTCTATTAAGGACGATATCACTTCTGTTGATGCAGGCTTGACAACAACGTGGTTCGATGTTCGTCGTTTAGCATCCCGGTGAGAAGCAGTAGGAAGAGAACGTCTTCGTTGTTCTTGTTTGGACTTAGGGCTCAAAACGGTCCTCGCTGACGTTCTCTGCGGAATGGCGGGTCCAACAGAAGAGTCAAACATGGCCAGAGAGCGGGTTGGCACAAAGAGACGGCAGGATCAGCGCATGGTTGTATGCAAGGGCGGCTGGTGCTCTGATTTAGGGTCGATGTATGAGTAGATCCACCAAAGCATTTTCTAGAGATGTATCGCTGGAAGTTTCCTAGATCGGTCTTTGAGCTTGCGCACCAGCACCTATCATGCAAGCTCAAAGGGGTTGATCGAAATTTGATGCATGGCGACGGTTCAGCATGTCGTAAGTCGTAGCGAGGGGGCCGCCGGTTAGATTTGCATGTCGAAGTAGGTATCTCATAGGGACCAACAGTTGCTATGCAAATCGCCTCAAGAACATGCAATTCATAGGACTCACATTCGATCTCTTAAGATCAGACAAGATACGAGCATACGAATGATATTATGATATCAACCAGATTGTGGTGATGGCGACATGATTTGTACGGTCTCAGTTGCGATGCCTGCACTGCGCGTAATAGTTCGCTTGGAACCCCCACAGAAACGGCTTGTCGCTTCCGCGTGGTGGACCTCCGACTGCCTGCATGAACCGAGGTTTCAAAGCGCCGTTGACTTAAATGCTATTGCTCTATAGGCGATCTTATAGTATTGGAGGAATCGAAGCCACCAAGGCTGTTTGCGCTGCCATCTCGCAGTGCGTCTCTGATTGGTCAATCTCATGTTTTCCGTGCTAGGCCCAGGCTAGCCCCAAGGGCCTTGCCAAGTGCTTGAGCTTCGTTCTTCTCCTTCAGCGATTCATACATGTAAATACTTACGCGGTAATGGACTGGCTCCCGCTCGCACGCGAGCCATCCGTGCTTGACAAGGCATGGATGGCTATCCAATATCCGTGGGACCTGGTTCGCAATCCCATGCAAGCTGTGCTATCAATCCCCGCGCTCTCTTTCCTCGTGATACCGGCCTTCTCCAGCTACGGCACCACCCTCAATCTTCTCTTCTTCACGTTGACCTGGGCGATTCTGGTCAAGACTAATAATCCACTTCACGTCGAGATCCTCGGAACTTTTGGCATCCGCTTGCTCTTTTACATCCTTCCCTCACTGGGCTTCCTGTTCCTTGATAGCGCTACACCAGCACTAGCTGTGGGGATCAAGGAGCATGGAGATATTGCGCTGCCAATGAGCGAGGAGAATGGGGGCAAGAGAGGCCGCTGGTGGAAGGTTGCGCTTATCAGCATTGGGAATGTAATACTTGGTATTGCAATACAGACTGGAATTGAGCTTCTCTTCACCCAAGTATTGCATCTCCAGAGCGTACTGAAATTGAGCACTGGGCTACCGATGCCATGGGGCATTGCCAAAGACTTATTCCGCGGCCTGCTCCTTCGCGAGGTACGCTCTCTCGCTCGTGTACAACCGCTATGACCAGTGCGCTGACAAGTGATAGGTGATGACTTACGTCTTCCATCGCTATGGACTTCATTCTGAGCAATCGCCCCTTACAGGAATGCACACCAGTTGGCAACATACGGTCCCTACGCCATTCTCCCTGGTTGCCCACTACGATCATCCCATTGCCTACCTTATTCATGTTTTTCTGCCTACATATCTGCCCGCCGTTACTTTCCGCTTTCACCTTCTTACGTACCTTCTCTATCTTGCCATTGTTTCGCTCGAGGAGTCACTCGCCTACAGCGGATACAACATGCTTCCTAGCGCATTCGTTCTCGGTGGCATAGCGAGGAGGCAAGAAAAGCACCTCATGGGCGGTGGCAATGGTAACTATGGATGTTTCGGTCTTGTGGATTTCGCCATGGGAACTAGCATTGGCGAGGATTTGGTGGATGATGTTATCGACGAAGCGGAGGAGAAACAGGTGGCTAAGAAAACAAAGGGGAAAGTAAAAACGACGGGAAAGAAGGTCCCGAAGAAGGCGCCAAAGAAGAGTGATAACGAGGAAAAAGAAGAGGAAGAGGGAGAGGGTGAAAGGGGAGCGGTGGGGGAAGAAGAAGATGATGATGAAGAAGAAGAAGAAGAAGCTCCAGATACGAAGAGCAAGGGCAGCAGGCTGAATAAGAGCGAAAAGAGGAGAGCTGAGACTCATGAGGATGATGCCAACGGACAATCCCCAGAGGAAAAGAACGAAACTCCTCCGAAGAGGCTGTCCAGGACACGAAGGGGTGAGAAAATGAACGGTGAGGAAGATGCTGAGGCGGGAGGGCAGGACGAGGAAATCAAAGCTGAGCAGGAAAAGCCGAGGCCGAGGGCAAAAGGCGTGACGAGGAAAAGTAGCCAGAAGAGCAAGGCCGGGAGCCGACCAAGAAAGCGCAACGAAGAGGATGATGAGTTATAGCACTAGGGTGGTTATGGTGCCTCGGCAAGCATTGGACAAGTTGAGTACTGGTCCATATTAGTGTTTCGCGGCTAGCCTTTTCTTCTTCGAGATACCCTTCACGTTTTTCGATCTTTACACGATATCAGAGCACATATGGATGGTGTTAATTTTTAAATTCCAAGCTTGCATTCGATCAGATTTTCGGCCTTCCGGTTGTGGGCTCAAGGAAAGCAACCGCATTGACCGATTTGGTTTTTTCTGTTTAGCTTAGTACGAGAGCTCGCAGCCATTAGGCGCCACAATGCTGGCTCCATCTGCTACATGAAACAAGGCTGTTCAGTGGTCCATACCCACGAAATGCCATAGTCCTTCCTCAACCCCTGTCAATCCGTCTAGACGTCTAGAAGCTCATCGCGTGGGGCTTATCTCCCTTTCGTAGACTGAATGAACTTCCGAGGTATTCTATCAAATGAGGCTCCTTCTTGATGTTGGTCAATAATGCGTGGTCGACAGCCTTCTGGTCGCTGGCGCGAGCGGAGGCCACCTTCTTCTTCTGAAGCAGCCATCAAGTCAGCCACCGACAGTTCTCCCTAGCGCCAAGTTGTCCAACACAGCTCTCACTTACCTCAGGCTTCTCCCCTTGCGCGAAGAATTGCTCCTCCCCTTTCTTGTTCTCCGCCTTGTCCCGAGTGAAGTAGCCCTCCTCTCCAACTTTCTCCACCACCTTCTCGTCAATCCCCTTCAGGTCTACCTTCGAACTTGTAGCGATGACGTATCTGGCATTGACTCGTCTTAATGGGACGCCATTGACCTTGAAGGGACCAGTAATCAGGAGAACACCTTGGGCCAGGTGCTTGAGGAGGATGACGCGCTTGCCGCGGAAACGACCAGCAAGGAGGATAAGAACGCTGCCAGGTTGGAGAGTAGAGCGGGGACGGGCGGGGTGAATGGATTTGCGGACCTAATGGGCATGGTTTTAGCAACTGATCCCTAGAGCTGGGACTTGATATTAAATATTTCGAGGGTTGCTGTAGAATCATTGAGATAGGGTTATGGGTGCTCCGCGGGTGCCGACGACCAATATATCAGGGAACAATCTTTTGTATAGGTGCCCGTCTGTATTGCTTCACGTACCTTCTTCGGCTTAGCCTCGTCCTCTGCAGGGTAGAACTTCTTGGCCTTCTGCGTGTGGTGTGGTATTGAGCGCTCGCTCTTGCCGAACTTCTTCGTCTTGTGTTCGGCTTTGGTGGCTTCTTGCTTGGCCGACATGATGACTGTAGCAGAACGGATGAGAGCGCTGGCAGAGGACGTGCTGCGTGGAAATGTCGAAGGTTAAGTGTTCTATGTCCCTATCCCCAAGTTGATTTTGTGGAAGCTCGCTTAGTGGACTTAGCTTAGGTTTGGGCTTGGCGCGAATTTTAGCCAAGGTTCTCACGACTACTCGCTTGAGGCTCTGTAGCTTCATAACAAAGTCGTTCACGATCTTAGTAAACTGCTTCTTAGGACTCTCTCATCTTCCATAGTCTCAGCTCTCAAATCATACTTCCAGAATCAGAGAGACAGAATGTCTATATCGCCATTAATCACATTCAAGGCTGGAATTTGTGAGTTCGATGTGAGTCGTGACCTTCATTTCTCTCTCCTGGAGTTGAGCACAACATTGCCCACGAATAAAATTATAAACGCTTTACAAGCTTTTTCTGATGATGAGTATAGACTAGCTCATCAGCTCCCAAAATCATTCCCAAATCCATTCCAGGCTACCTCTATCTCTACGAAGAAGATGAGCTTATCCACTTCTGCTGGCGGCCTCGCTCCGCACCGATGAGCCAACCCGAACTCGATCTTGTCATGGTTCCTACCGATGGTAATTTTGTTCCATATTATGACAAAGAGACTCGGTCAAGTTCAAATCCCACGTCTCCCACCACGGGCAGAGTATTCGTCCTCAAGTTTCAATCAAGCAGTACCCGGCACCTGTTCTGGCTACAGTCGAAGGACCAACATCCACAAGGAAACCGTGCTTGGTTCAGTTCGCGTGACGAAAAGATTGGGCAGATAGTGGACCGACTACTGCAAGGAGACGAGGTCAATGTACAGGAAGAATATGCAAATACCTCAAATGATCATGGAGGAGATGGAGATGATGAGGCTATGGAAGACGCAGGTCCAGCGGGCCACGGAGACATACAAGGCAACATCGGGAGCGGGGATCCGTTTATGGGCGATCCGGGGAATGAGGGTGAAGAGTCGAGAGAGGGGGGTGCAGACGGAGGACGAGCGTAGGTACCGCCAATTTTCATCACCTCGCGACAGGTTCATGAGACATAACTAGATGATCTGTACCTTCTCTTCGACTACACGGATGGACGAAGGCATGATTAGCTCGATACTGGTGTTACTTGCCAAACGATGTACCCAGAGGAATGCATAGCAGAAGCTTCATCAAGCCTACCGCCTTTTAGCCTCGCTCGCACCAAAGAATACTAAGAAAGTTGAGCATGGCTGACTTGTTATCTTCAGCACGGCCATGCCCTCGAACGACGCAGCGATTGCAGTGCAGAACTTTCTGCGGTCCATGCAAGGGAACCAAGCGCTAAGTAATCAACAATCGCAATCTCAAGGCAAGAATTTTACCACATTACCCGACTTACTGCCATCCTCTACGACGATACCCGTCATTGATTCGGCGGACTCGACGTTTCTCAGCAATCTTCTTAACCACATACCGCCCGTCCTGCTGCTCCTTAGCCAAGAAGCCGATGACATTTCATCCGTCGACCCTAATTCAGAGACTGCGAAAGCAGCAATAGAAGCGTTGAGTTTGGACCAAAAGAAGGAAATATTGAGGAAGGTCCTCCGGTCACCCCAGTTCTCGCAGAGCTTAGGAAGTCTGACTGCGGCATTGCGAGATGGGGGTGTGCCTAGTATCAGCGAGGCTTTGAAGATCCCTGTTGACAATGGCGGTTTTATTAGGCGGGGTGGTGTACCTTTGGGAGGTGGAGAAGCCGTGGAAGCTTTTCTGAAAGGGGTCAAAGCGTCTGTAGAGAAAAGGGACGACGCAGAGGAGGAAAGGATGGATACTGATTGAATGGTTTCATGAGTATCGAATATTTGCACTGTACAAATCTGAGCATTAGCAAGCATAGCGAGGATTCGATCTGGTACTGAGCGAACACAACTCCCTTGGACCAATATAATCCAATTGCATCAATGAATGGTAATTTGATAGATGCAAACACGTCCATTAACGTTGTGTCTGGATTCGGACTAGCGGTTTTTGTTGGACATTTCCCGTGAGAACTTTGGGGGTTAGGACGCGATCAGATGCTCACTTTGCGCCAAAGCTCTCTGAGCACACAGCACTCATTGAATTCGCTCCTTGATCTTGCAAGGGCTGTGTTATACCGGTAGCTACATGCTCCCCTCAACAGAATTCATCACAGGGTGCTGTGAGCTGTCCAGATATTCGACAGTATTTCCGGGACTCCTGTGATCCACCTCGACTGTGATCTACGGGCAATGAGCTAGGCCGGGGAACTTCGACAGCCATGACTCCGCAAGCCTTTATTTCAAGCTATGCTCCCCGTCTTCGAACTTATGGAAATTCCTTACTCACCCCCGTCCTTCCCCCAACCACCGCCCAAAATGCTCCCTTGTCCCGAACTACGAAGCGTGGCACCATAGCCATCAACTACGCTGAGAACGAATATGATGATGATGACATCTTTGAGGATAGCGAAGGTCCGAGACGGCATACTGGTTTGCGAAGCAGGAGAGAAGACCCTAATCAGGCGAACAAGGAGGGATTCGCAGAGAAGCTAGGGAGAGAAATACACGCGCCAGTCGAGGTCCAGGGAATTTGGAGAGATTGGATGGGAAAGCTGAGATCTGTGAAGTGAGCACAAACAAAATCTGAAATGTTTTGGTACAGATAAGCTTACGGTTCCTGCAGGACAGATAAACAGCTCCATGCGCCGACAGCACTACCACTGACCCTCATACCTATCCGAATTGACCTCGACATACCTCCATATACACCTCATCCTGCCCTTCCGCTTCCACCAGAATATCACACTCTCAACATCAATCCAGCCCTGCCCGCTTACAGAACGCCCGAGCCGACACCAGCATATCGACTGAAAGACATCTTCCTATGGAACCTTCATGAAACGTTGATCACACCAGATCAGTTCGCTACCATCCTCATCCATGACCTTGACCTCCCGAATGGGGCCGGATTGGCTTTGCAAGTCAGCAAGCAAATTCGGGAACAGCTGGAAGAATACGCAGGCGTTGCGCTGCATCCTCTATTTCACTCCACAGACACCGGGGCCAGCAATGGTAACGGACCCAAAGCAATACAAGCTGCGAGGTCTCGGGACCAATCATCCACACCGGCTCCCACAGGCCCAAGCACACTTAGAGCGAACGGCGCCGACGGCATCAACGGACATGCCCCTCCAACCAAACAATCTTCAAAAGACATCACAGCCACCGCCTCCTCACATCCCGCCTCTACATCAAACGACGAAAATGACCCTGATGATACATACCGCTGCATTGTAACACTCAATATCAATCTACAGAACAAGCTTTACACCGACAAATTTGAATGGTCCTTGCTTCACCCAGTGGGCGTCGCTGAGCGATTCGCAAAACAGACATGCGCCGATATTGGTCTTTCTGGCGAATGGGTACCTGCAATGGCTCACGCAATCTACGAGGCCGTACTACGCTTGAAGAAAGAGGCTTGCGAAAATGGTGGCCTAGTGGGCGCGATGAATGGCTATGGTGGGGGTATTGACAACATGGCTGCCAGTTCCGCGGAAGCAGGATGGCGATACGACAACGAGCACTTAGGAGATGAGTGGGAGCCGAAGCTCGAACGCCTGTCGAAGGAAGAAATTGAAAAGCGAGAAGGTGATCGAGAGAGACAGCTTCGGAGATTGCGGAGAGAGACGGCGCGATTCTCGAGTACCACGAATATGGCGGGAGGAATGCCGGCGCAGCCAAGTGGTTATGGTAATCAAGGGGATGGCGACGAGACGCCTGCAATGGGAAGAGGCGAGCGAAGTAAGAAGAAGAGACGATTTAGGAGCTTGAGTCCAGTAGGAAGGGCGACTCCAGATGTGGGCAACGCTGGGTATGGCGGCGGAGGAGCTGGGAGTCTTAATGAATGGTATCGGTTTCCAAAATTCGGGGTCGAGTATATCTTCGCTGACATCTGTGTTTGCAGGGAAAGAACGACGTGGAGATGTTCGCACTGTTTAGTGCATGGATCTGCAGTCTGGGCTGTGAGAGACGGACCAAATGGACCCAGAGTAATTCAATCTTCGTGTGGACGGCTGGGAAGATGGCTAAGATGAATACAGTCATTATGCAGCAATTGCGGCCTCGCATACGAGCGAGACAAAAGCCTACCACCCTGGGCGAAGAATCTGCATTATGCCGATATCCCTGTTGGGCGGTGATGAAGATCGTGGTCAGAGACACTTTCGATTTAGGCGGACCAAGATTTCGAGGACAAACGGCGTTTTACGATTGGCAGATCAGAGGCATTAGCATGGCGCATCACGGAAAAGGAATTGACCACATTAGATCAAGGATTTGAAGAAATTGATGTGGATGTACGATAGCTCTTGAGGTAAGGAAGGTTACAGCCAGTCTGAAGATAGACATCAACGCGAAGTACTTTCCAGTCAGCCCTCCTCTCTGCAGGCACGCAGTCAGAAAAGGTAACAGTCCGAGGCCCCAGAGTTCTCTTGTTTTCACATCAATCGTTAGCATCGACCCGGAAAAGTCTGTCGTCCATGATCAAACTGCTTCAGCAAACTGTCTTTGAGGATCTGTACAAGTTCAACTGCCATTTTTCCCCGCTGTCAACTGCTCGGTTCGTCTCATTGCCTGTTCGAACGTTCATCGCATGGTTGCATTCCCCACACTAAGCTTCGAGCTTGACCTTCTTACCCAGCGTCGTCCGGATATCTGCGGGCTCCTATCCTTTACATTAGTGTCTGCGTCGAAGGGCATCCATGAGCATGATGACCACTTACAGACTCAGCCCTTCGCTTCCTCCCAGCCAACGGTCCGTCACCCTTGGTGCTGTCCTTGCCAACATCTCTTTTGCCATTGAAGACAACAACGTTCTTACTGCCCACGATACTCACCCCGGCCTGAACGTTGACATTGAGACTGACGTTCGCCCTCGCTTTCGTCTTCTCCTCTCCCGGCCCCGCTGGCTGGAAAACACCACGTAACAGCTGCTCGATCTTGACAGCTTGCTCCGTAGGTGAGGGCGAAGCGAGGGCGACGTTGTTGCAATGTCCCATGATGCGAGTGGAGGCGTCAATGGTAATGGTCTGTTGTTGTTGTTGTTGTACCGGCTGTTGGCGCACGGCTTTAGGCCCGGGACTTGTCATGTTTGGCCGGGCTGCGTTAGCGGCGTTGGAGAGCAAAGTGTGGAGCAGGGCTCGAGTCTGGGCCGCGGTGAGGATCGGTGGTGTGGTGTTGGGGTCAGTGGGCGGGACAGCCATGATGAAGGAGGGTAAATGAGCTGGAGAGCTGGACCGTGAGAGGAGGCGAGCAGGGGGCGCAGGAAGTGTGCGAAGAGGGGTTTCAACCAGGTACTATGCCTTTCGGTATTGACTGTAGGTGGAAGATTGGTATTTTACGACTAGAAGAATGGGTGGTGGAGAGGAAGGCTCCCAATGGGATGGAAAGGGTTGAGGGGCTGGATGGCCTCTATAAGTAAACAAGACAGGGTAAATAGGCTATGGGGAGTTGTCAATAGACGTTGCATGAATAGGAAAATTCGTGTCGGGAAAATGGTAATAGGCTGCATGTGCGGATGGGCTTGATATTGTCCTCAATAGCTAAAAGTACTGACCCTCCGAGGGAGATGGGTCGGCTAAAGTGGCTTTAATATTAAAGTACCTAAGTAAAAACAGCATCGTAGCTCGCAAGCACGCCGATATGCTTGCATGCTTGCATGCTCACTTGAATGTACCTGGTTATTGTTGCTTGTTATTGTTGTTCGGATGCGTGATTGAGTCCTCTCTATAATTCTATTGAGGACTGTTTGTAGAAATTAGAAGCTCCCACCACTCCTGCGGGTAACTAGTTTCGCGCTAGCGGTTTCCTATTGTACCTTACCTTACCCTCTTTTTTTTACTATTGTCCTTGCGGATAAAGTAAACCGCGAATAGATCCATTCGGGACACTCGCCTCGGATCCCATCCGCCTCTCCCTCCGCCGCTCTCGAGAGTCATCAGTCAATCATGTCCACAGCCGACAAGTTCCATCAGCGCCTGCGCTCACGAGCCACGGCTGGGTAGGGTGCCAGTCCAAATCCAGAACGCCCAACTCCTTCTTGACTGTGTGACCCCTCAACACCTTCAGCGGCACAATGGTCGCATTTTCCATCATGTCTCCCACTACCTTGCCGTGAAATATTTGCAGACTGCCGTCGTCAGATGCATCGGCGAAAAGCGGTAGTCCGCCTTGGTGGAATTTCACCGCTCGGATGGCCTTGCTGTGATAGCGCAACACCTTGAACGGACGGACCGAGAGATCCAGGTCATGCCAGAGGAGTCTCCGATCATAAGTACCCACGATCAAATTGTCGCCACCCGGATGCACATCGAATGATGAAATCCACCGGGCTCCTGGTTGAATGATCTTCAGTAACTCCTGCTTGGAAAGATCGTAAGAGCGGATATAACGTTGTGTAGCGACTAGGAAGATGGGCTTGGACGGGTGAAACGAAGCCGATTGAGCAAGCCCTTTCAGCTTTCGGAAAGGAAGCTGCGTGAGATGTTTCGAGATCGTGTGGATGGCGACGGCGCTGCTTTGAGCCTGTGGACAGACCGTACTGAAGTATTCACCTCGACGGTGCCAAGAAATTACTTTGACAGTCTTTCGTAGACTGAACTTGACTAGCACGCCTTCCTCTTCAAGACGGACTCCTGGGCGTGTCCACTGAGTAGCAGGCTCCTTCTTTGCATTGCTGGTCGCGCCATTTGCAGCGTATCCCCAACCTGCATCAAGAACCTCTCGGCCCTTAGTCTCGATCTCAGGATCTCCAACAGGTGGCACTAGTAGGTAGACATCTTCGCCGACTGCGACGGAGAGAATGATCGCTTCAGTGCTCGGTCTCCATCGGACGACGTTGACCGCATCTTCGGTACCCAACTTGACTGACCATATCTGACGGCCAGTCAAAAGTTCCCATACTTTGACCGTACCATCATCACCGCCGCTCGCCAACCAAACCCCTGAAGGATCCACTGCCAAGCTGCGTACTCGACCATCGTGGCCACGAAATAAGGTTGCGCAAGTGGTGGGAAATGGCCTTAGCTCCTCTAGGCTTGGTAATTGGGGAAGCAAAGACTCGGGGTCTATATTCAGCTTACTCCTGCGTACTCTTGGTGCGAGATAGAGGTCCAGACATCGCTCGAATCTTTCCTTGAGAAATTTTTCATAGCCCGGCACTTTTCGCAACGCGTCGTGGTTTGTCGGCAAAAACTCCTGATTTCTTTCTTCTTCATCTGTATTCTCCCAAGCCTTCTTCTCATTCTGATCAGGGAGATACTCCGGTGGTGGATGGTAGCTTTGTTCGTAGCCGGGAGGAGGTAGCTTTGGAGCAGGCACATTCATGGGATGATCTGGTCTAGCAACTTCGTTCGCCCAGATGTCGTAGCGTCTGACTTCAAGCTCATCTTCTGTCTCTTCCCGTGGAGGCTTATATGGTAAGATTTTGCCCTCTCGTATAGCTCGAACAATCTTCATGACCCGCTTCGATTCGTGCTTGGAAGGTATCCATCTTCTCTTGGGCTCTGGCGCAGCGCTCAATGGCATCGTCTCCGTTTTACCCGTGAAGTACTCTACCGTGGCAGGGTACGGATCATAGCCTTCGTCTGGTACCTCGTTCATCTGAATCCTTTTCAAAATCTCTAACCTAGATTATAATTTCGCCGTCAGTGTTGCACACTCAAAGGGAAGTATCGAGCCATGAAATATGTCTCGAGAGTAACCTTCAAGATTTGGTCCAGAAGAGAAAATATGGACTCGGAAAATACGCACTCTTGCTGGCTCAGCTCCAGCGGCTCGCCAGTTGCCGGATCGGTGAGACCAGTCCATCCCTTGGGCACTTCGATACTATCCAACAAGGCGTCCAAAGTCTCCCCCTTTGCCGGCCGTGCAATTTTCTTGCCATTTATATCGTATCCAATATGGGGGTAGGAGTCGTAGAATGACAGAGGAATATTGCCGATTGTGTTCTGAGTCGGAGGAGCGTCGCTGTCATCAGAGTCGTATACAGGGTCTATCTCAGTGTAGATGTAACGAGGGTTGCCATTGGCATCTTCTGTAATCTTGTGATTTGGAGGTGGTCTCTCAACACCGTCATTCCCCTCTGTCGCACGTAAAGTAGCTGTGTCGTTCTGCTTCACATCTGCCAGGTCCCCTTCTTCATCCGAAGGTACCTCGTCACTGACGATCTCATCTTCAGAGCCCCCCTCATCTTCGAGCTCGCTGTCCCCTCCGAAAAGATCGCTACTTGCGTCCTCGTCTTCCTCGTCTCTGTCGTCCTCGCTCTGCGACTGGATACCATTGAGCAGCGCTATCTCAAAGTCGTCCCCGCCGTCACTCAAAAGCACTTCATCAGCTTCTGGAGAGTCACGAGTGACCGCTTTGCGCTTTTGGGAATACGGTTGGGGTGCCATGGCACTTTGTATTTCCTAAGAATGAGTTTCCTAGCAGCGAGGGAGCGGACGAGGCGGAGCCAAAAATCTTGATCGGGTGAACTTCGGCCCTAGCGAACGCGAGGGAATGATATACAACACTATTCGTGGAGATTGATTTGTGCTCATTCGATAAAAGGTTTTTACAGAAGCGCATGAACGTTCAGAAACATGTACTGTTCTTCATCAGTATGTGCTAATTGACCAGACTATCCAACTTTGCGCCATCGCTTGCCATATAGACCAAACCTTGAATTTACATCAGAAGGGTATTTATTCATGCCCATTTTTCGTCTTCCCAATCCAACTCAGAGTTTGAAGCCAATGCTCCCATTTCCTCAATCTCTTCTTCCTCAATCGTTTTGCCCCCTTCCACCACCATGCGCACTCCCTTCACGGGATGCAAAAGCATTCCGGGCAAGCACATGCGTCCTTCTCCGGCCATCTCTTCTTGCTCTCCACCATCATTATCGACTTTATACCCCAGCCATCTGCGCCATAGATTCGGTGCAAATCCTGCGTCGTAGAACCAGGTGGTGCCTTTGAAATTGTGTTCTCGTCCTCCATATACACTTGTTCTTGCTCCACCTGACGCTCCGTTCCTTCCACCGTTCATCACTCCAGCAAGGTACGCTGTCGGCCATTTGCGGTCAACGTACACCGGATGAGGGGCGTACACTGCTTTATAACCATGGTGAAGGGCCACGGATGCTGGCCACATCTCGGAGAACATGTGGTGTCTTTCAAGAAATGTCTCGCGATGCATTGTCTGCAGCAGACGACGGGAAAGGCGCGATGAAGTGCCGATAGTGGCTCTCCGCGGTGGCAGACCTTGCGTGGTGTTGTAGCCGGTAACATCATTGACATAGAACCAAGTAGTCCCATCGGGATCGAAGAGAGGACTGAAGGTTATGAAGTCTGCTTCTTCACCAATACCCCACGCGTATCTGTCTTTCTCAAATGTCGTTGGTGGGATTGGGTCATCTTGTGCGCCGAGCATGTCTGCAGGACCTTCAGGACCCCAGACAGGTTTGTCTGTCTTTCCCTGTGGCGAACCAGGAATGTCTGCAGCGCCAGCCTTTAATCCGGACCAGACGTTGTTAGGACTATTGGTCCCCATCTCTGACTGCACTCGAATCATTTGTTTGAAGTCTTCCCAGGTGCCATGGACAGAAGGTATATAGAATCGGCCATTGCGTTCCCAAAGTCCTTTACGTGGCTGATCCCTAGACCACTGAGCGACCCTACCAAACAGGTGGTACCAGTGACCGGTGTACCGCACGTCCATCTCCCAATTCCAAAGGTACTCGTACTGGGGGTTTTGATGGGAAAAGTATTGGAGAGCCATATATGCACCTCGATATACCCCATGGACTGGGAGATCTCGGAAGAAGCTTTCCTGCAGGCCACCGTAGATGAGGCTCATTTGTCTTTCGCTCCACAGGATACCCATCCCTCGAAACTCTTCAGGGAGCGAATTCTCGAGCACCCGGTCATAGATCTTTCTGTCTGCCCAGATTGGTACATTGTCGTCCCTGACATGCACGAGGAAGTGGACCGTATACTCTCCACCAGACAAGAGCGAAAGTTCGACGATCATGGATCGTAAGTAGACAATGTCCTCCGCGCTATATTGACGATCCCACCAGGTTCGGATCACTATAGCGGTCCGAGGAAGAACTGTCACTGCTTTCGTAGGTAGCACACCATGCACAGCTTTGGTCTGATTGGAGGACGTTGAGATTTCTCTCCTCTCGACCCCATGGGTTTTGGTCTCGTCCTGAGTATTTCCTGCATCCATCTTGAGGAAAATTTCATTGGCTGAGGTTTCATTGGCTACAACTCCAAATCTCATCCTGTTCTTGGATACACAGGCATCTTGAGCTGCTACCCATCTGACTCCAGTATAGTCCACTTCTGTAGGATTCCCTCTTTCTTTCCACATCTCTTCCGCCCCCTCTCTCTCCCCATTCAGACCTGCACCTGTACCGCCTCTTCGGACACTGTAGCCGTATCCGTACGGCCCCAGTCTTCCAAATCGTTCAAAGCAAACATCTTCCCGTAGGCCAAGGACATCGTGTGAGCCCATCACAGCATCAGGCAGCCCCAAAGGTACGCCTTTGTAGTAATGGACGCGAGGTATCTGTATTAGGTCTTTGGGGTCCAGGAAACACTCATACTTCTCCCCATACTCCGATTTGTAGGCCGCTGATTGATATTCTGGATATGGATTGAACGGAATGCTCTTTGGAAGGGACTTATTCTTATTTGCCTCAATTGATGCATTCGAAGGTGCTGACTCTGGTCCTTGGTCGCTCGGATACTCTGGTATATTCTCTTCTCTAGGTACCAGCGACCTTATGCCTCCGAAGTATCTCTTCAAGAACGGAAAGTCTTCCCATGGGGGCGGCTTTGGCGGCTGCTTATCCACCGGTCCCATTTCTAACTGTCTCGAGGATGTCCAGCTGGCTCGTACCAAAGTCAGAATGAATATCAATAACGTCGTAAACAAAGCCAAGCAAAGATATCTCATTGTCTTTCTGCTTGGTGGTCTATATGACTCTATTTGCTTCTTTCGTCCAGAGTTGGGATTAGGAAGCATGGGTTGATAGGAGCCGGAGCTCTCGCGGGAGGAAATGGAGTAGGTTGACGGCATTGTGTTGCGTTCATACTCGACTGAAGAGTCGGTTCGCTCGGAGTCGTACTTTTCGACATCTGGGTCGTAGCGATCATTTTCATCCGCCAAGACACTCCTGGGGCGGTGTAGTCTACCCATGATGGACAGAGGTGGAGTGGGAGAAACGGGCGCCGATGCAATGGATTGAAGTCCTTGCTCTCATATACTCGCAGGTCGGACGTTCATGGTCTCGAGGTCAAGCGCTAGGCGAGCTATGAGAAAGTAGACACTGTTCGCTGGCGCGGTCTGCTCTGTCTACAATGAGGGTTTTTGTTCGAAGCAAATGCGCAATTTGCATACAAGTATGAGGTTAGGCTCACATAGATGTGGGAAAGCATAACCACTCGTGGTTGCTCTTGTTTCTGGCACATTTGGTGGATTTTGACAGATGCCCTCGGTGCAATTGGCGCGTTCTTTGTTGACGGGAAAGGTCACGTTGACTGGGCAGCGATCCCAATGGGTTTAAATCGAACGGGAAGTTCGCTGGTGCATTTTGCTGATGTCGACGCTCATTGATATTTATTTGATCGAGGGCATACAATTACGAGTATAAACATTGTGCCTATCTTCTTCACACCACTTACCATGCTGACAGAAATTGTTCCGGTCACATACAATAGCCAATGAGATTGGAAGTTGACGGCATTCGAAAGCCACGGCTTGGAGAATGTCGTCTAGCCCAATATAATCTTACTGGTTCCATATCCTGCACCAAAGTCTTCAACATCCGAGCCCAGCCTGTCTGTACCGAATTTACCGCATCGCTTCGCCGGCAGAATGCTGCATGTTTATCTACGATTTGGGATTTTGCCAATTCCACAGAGGGTTGTCTTCTCCTGTTGGAGAAACGCTGGAACATAATACCTTGCCGAAGTGCATGGATGATGGTTCACCTCGTCAGGCATGTGTGAAAAGTCTTGCTCAATGCTCCACTTCAAGGCACTTGATTGCCAGCAGTGTCTCTTATCCTGGTTGCTGCAGGCTATCCTCCGCCAGCTCGGATTGACTGAGAGCTCTGCTTTTCATGGCTTGCCTGTAAGGTACATGTTCCAACCAATGCTATCTTTCACAAGTGTACACGGTCGCTGCATGGCGCAAGCCACTTGGAGAAAATGGTCCCGAAGCGAGTATCAGGCCACAAAAGGTCGATTGGGCTACATGTAGCCTAATGTCTGCGTTGGAGAGCTGCCATAATTCTTCCACTCCTTCCTTGGAAAAGAAGATGGTGTACCTTCTTCCCATGTATTACTAAGATACATGGCAAAGATGAAAGTCAACCATGCACTTTTTTTTTCCCCCATTTTTTTTTTATCAAGCGATCTCTTGTGCATGGCTTTGCGGACTTGTGCAGTTCGCGCATTCAGGGCACATCTGCATATAACCGAAAAGAGTAAACCTTTGCGTTCTAGATTATCGTCAGCTGTCTCAGGTTGTTATTATTTGCTGCTCTTGCTTGTCGGCATTTTGGTGGGGCATTGTTTTGATGGTCTCGGGAAGTTCTCCCGCAATTGCTGGTGACAAGGTATGAGGTCACCCATCTCTCTCAAACCAATTTTAGGCCGGTATGCCTTCACTCTTCACAATGGCCCATTTAATTACCAGCTGCTTACCACCATCACAGTCTCAATATTATCCTCCGCCACGAGCATTTGGCTCACTTCCCTTTTGATTAAGTACAGACACCTCTTCCGCCCCAAGCCACATTTCCACCTTATTCAGCCTCAGGTGTTGCCCATCATGGCAGCCGTCCTTGATCAAGGCGTCAAAAATTTCACCGACATCCTGATCACTCCAAATTCTCCTTCCAAGCTCAGCTACCTTCTCTATCCAGGTCTTCTGATCACGATCCTTATTCTTCCTGCCTACCGTTTTGTGCTCAAGGACTACCACGTCTTCTTGGCCTTGGGCCCTGGTGGCACCCCAAAGACCTTCCCAGGCTACCTCCGTGTGTCATATCTGCGTCTTTTCACCATCAGCGATCCCTTACGGCCCCCATCACTGGCAGAAACCGTCTTTCCTACAAACGGATACCTGCGGCAATTGCCACAACGTTCGGGTCCTCGCCCTACTGTTGCCGGGATCGCCCCACATCGCCAATTGGACCAAAAGTGCACGGCTGAACTGCATCATGTTCTTCGAGACGGTCTTCACAAACTTGCGGCCGCGTTTCCATCTCTAATACGTAAGGGCAGCTCCTGCTTCGAAAAAAACGGTCTTGCTCTATTCCTTTCTGCCTGTACTCAGTCAGCGCCCCCTAATGACACAGTGCACCCGGGATTTAGCCATCTGAATCCAACCTGTCAGGATACCGGGGAGATCTGTCATCTACATGCTATGGTAAGCTGTCCAGGTCATCAAAATTCAAATGGGCATCTGGTTCGTTGTGTCCTCTGAGACCTGTCTTCTTGTTCAAGGACGTCCAGCAAATTTATGCAGCAGCTAGCAAACACCTTTCCGCCGTCTCCTCGGCTTGTGCCATAGGAATTTCCCTTATATCGTAAATCTTGCTCTCGGGACGACATCTCTGCTATTCACTACTATCAATAGAGACCACCGCTGACCATCTCTGGCATCTCCAGGACTCTAGCATGCACCTTACGCTTCACCCGCTTGACATTTCAATCGTGCTTTCCGCCGGCTGGGGAGAGAGACACCCGCTTGCAGGCAAGTACGTCCATGGCAAAGAACTGTTACCCTCTGGTTTCGTTATGATATACGCCCCACGACAGGAAAGTCAGGTTGAGACTGTGATGGAGATTGTCAAAGCGGGCGCTTGGTGGGTTGGCGGTGTGGATTTGGCTAAGGCCAACGGTTTCGGCGGAGAGCAATGAGGTACACCAAGAGCGTAACCAGGAGAGAGCTGGAAGCGGGCTGGAGTATGCTAATTTGACGAGCTCGTGCTTGCGCTGCTGGGCATCTATTTGCGATGAACGTTTTCATTTTTCTATTAGATTTTGGCAAAGTTGGCGTTTCGTTCATCAAGAGAAGTGATTCCGTGTGAAAATGGGGAATTTTGGTGGCTAATGGGGATTAGAGGATGAGACTTAATAGCAAGAGATCGATTTCAAGGAAAGTAACATTCCATCTGCTCTTCTTTCTAAGACATGGTCGTCCGAAGACCAGAGGACTGAGCGTCACCATGCCCCCAGACAATGGTCGAGTCCTGGGTCAAGTTCTCCGAATTGATCCATTGGAGGGCAGCGAATTCCCGCGCTACGGGTTCTTGCAATCCTGCCATGCCATATGCTACTATGCTTCAATTCATGAGACAGCCCGTAGGCCCAGCTTATGTTTTATATTTACCATTTCGAGTTTATATCTCTGTTACTGTACTCTATTAGGGGTATACTTCGTAGTTGAAGACCAACGCCAGCGCCATGCACTGCGCAAAGCCAAGCCAAATCTGCCTCCAGACGCTTTTCACCAACACTATCCAGGCGTCCGAGGTGTTGAGACCTTGGACAGAACGCCGACTATTCTTCTGCCCATCTCCTTTCTCTTAACGGCCTCTCTTTCCCATCGCGTTCCCGGCTTCCGTTTTCTTCGGCTCTCCACGCCCAATACTCGCCGAGCCTTATCTCTGCATATGATGCATAGTCGAAGTCGATCTGTGAGATAGTGGCTTGTATAAGCGCCCAAATACCCCAATACAGTCCCGGAGCGCCGCGAAACGCATCTACTTCTTCAAAGAGGCGAGACACGTAATCAATGTTCGGATGAAGCTTGGTATGCGAGGTGTAGCTGGAAAGGTACTCTTCGATGAAATGACGACGGACCGAACGTGTTGGGAGAACATTAAAGTCGCACGAAAAGCCACCCCATTCGGCAAAATGGTTCGCAATGTCGAAAGCAGGAGGCGAGGGAGTAGCATATTCATAATCGATAAAGGCAACAGTGTCGATCTTGCTGTCCCCAGCCAAAGCAGAACGCGGTTGCACGATGACGTTGCCGCTGAGGAGGTCCGTGTGGCCAAAAACAAGCTAGAGTAGAAAGTATCAGTGAGACATGCTGATTCATATTTCTTTCGGAGTGCCCAGGTACCCCGTTGCCCCCTAATCCAGGTTTGTCACCCAAGTCCGCCACCGTGCGTTCGAGCTCTTTCTGGAGGGTTTTTTTGCGTTTCACTTGAGCCTCATTCGTCGTCGGTAGAGCGAAAACCCATTTCTGCATGACGGTCCAGACGTTCGGAGTAGGCTTGGAAGGCGTGATGGCATTGATTTCTTCCAGCGAAGCTATTGGCGTTGGGGCCGACGACTTGAGCGGTACTTCCATGCCCGCATCGGCGATCACAGCTGACTTTCCGGCCGATAGTATGGGAAGAGTTGCGTGCCATTGTCCCAGTCTGCGTGCTACTCCTCGCCAGACAGGTTCCGATGTGAGGTCCTCGGAACTGCTGACGTGACCCCGAATGAATCTGTACATGAGGCCGTTGTGGAAGCGAGCGAGTAGTTGAGGAGCAAGATTGTGCTGGGCGAGTAGCGAGTGGGAAGTGGCTTCCCCTAGTCAAGCGTCAGTCAGTACCTATCTCATGCGGCTCGCCCTCAATTACTTTCTCGATCGATCAGGACTTCAGTTCCATTGCCATACGCCCGTAGTAGGACTGCCTCTTTATCTATCTGCTCCTCAGTATAGCCGGGTCGTCTCTTGACAGCTTTCAGCAGCTAAAGAATCAGGATCAGTAGACAAGTTCCATCGGGCTCCACCAGAAGAGGGATCCATTAAGGCGTAGGCATACAGTGTTGGTGATGCCATCCTTGAAACGGATGAATTCTATTTTGCCGTCACTATGTTCCCAGTCCGGAAAGAGGGTCAAGATCAGGCGAAGTGCCGATGTCTGAGAATCCGCATTGCTGTAGGACAAAGATATGTAGGGGATCTCGTTGAAGATGTCATTGCCGGTGCCGTCGAAAGACATTGTCTTCAATGGTCATAAGGATGTAAGATCTGTCGCGGGCTCCACAATTGGTCGTAGGCCACTAGAATTTGAGATTGGCTTGGTTCAGTTGAGGTGGTTGATGTGAGGGTTGTGGGGCTTCCTAGATTTTTATATTTTTTCCCTGCCTAGAGACTAGTCGCGTGAGCATTGCGTTGGCCGGGGGTGTGCGTAGCGGAGATGTCAGAGAAGCTGCAGGACTCACCGAAAAGCAAAGAATGACCAGCCACAACGGCTACAGGTATCCTTTATGTTCCTCTCAACTTTTCACCACCAACTTTTTCACACTTTGCTTTTCCTTGGGGTGAGTGGGTCATTCGACATTAAGGTTAGGGCCCGTCTCCGTGGCGTTCGAATGCCCCCTGGCGGTCAAGACATGGTCCCACGGTACATAATTGGTGCGCAAGGAAAATATCAGAAGAGGCCGTTCCAACGTCATTTGCCCATCCACGCCCCAACGGCGTTATGTATCTGCACGCCGGAGGTTTTGCTATGCGATTTTAAACTGCTCTGCAGGGGGACCAAACCACCTTCCTCGAAGTGGAATTGTTTGGCCATCTTGCCAGGGCGGGATCTATTATGCTTGCCATGCTTGAAAAGCTGTCTGCCGCTCCAATCAGGTTTCTTGTTGTGACCTAGCCATCGGTTGCTTCATCGTTCGATTTTCAGTGGGAGCAGTCGTCATGCCCATCAGAACGGCCCGTCTTCCTTTTATATGTATTCATCTCCTTTCTGTTCTTGCATTCATCCTGAAAGCTACATACCATGAGGACAACTTGTGCAAGCCTGATTCATATCTTGAATCTACCCATCGACCGTTGATGGTCGTTAATTCTTTTCTTATGGTTCTCGCTGAAGTCTACTGAGGGTCCCTCTCCAAGGCCCACAGACCGCGCGCTCATCGAATCATGGGTATCTACAGTCCGTACGCCGTCGCCGAGTCCGAGCAGCCTCAGTGGAAGCCTGGCGAGAACTTGGCCGCGGCTGCATTTGTCGGAATGGCTCTGTTCATCGTACTTGATGTCAATGTGGGAATATGGCGTGTTTTTAGAAAACGTACAGGGTACTACTATTGGAGCATGAAGCTGGGGACATTGGCATGTGCGGTAGACGCTCTGGAGTCATACTCAAGTACTTGGTACCAAATTCGGCTCATATCTGGGGATTGTACACTTTTCTTCTCCTTACTGGATGGTCCATCTACGCTCCTGCACAGTTGCTGGTTCTTTACTCCCGCCTCCACTTGGTCAACGAAAGCTACAGGCTACAACGTTGGGTTTTGATCATGATCACTTCGACCATATTCCTTATCATTATTCCCACCTGGATTGTTGTCTGGCCTGCCTATGATCCCGATCCAAAGACCTCTTCCCTCTGGTCCCCGCGAGACGCTATCGTCGAGAGATATAACCAGATAGGTAAGTCAGTCTCTGAAAATCTATTTAACAATCACCAAATAATCTTTTTCAGGTTATACTCTGGTAGAATTGGTCCTGAGCGGGATCTACGTGTGGTCCTTGCTGGGATTACTGAACTTGAAATCTAGTGTGCGACAACGTCGTGTCATGCTGGATCTTGTTTATGTGAATATCATTATCGTGCTTTTTGATATTTTGGTGGTGATTCTACTCTACCTCAACCAGGTAGGCATCAGCCATCCGATACAGACTTTCAGCTACGCCCTGAAGTTGAAGCTCGAATTTGTGGTACTGAACCAGCTTATGGCTGTTGCTGCGCGTGGATTGCAAAGGGAATCTTTCGAAGAAAAAAGGTACCATCATTCGAGTGCTCATGATGCGTTTTCCGCAGAGTGCCGCCGGTGGGACGAAAAGGCACCCACTGATCCACGAGAAAAGAATAGCGATAGTGATCACGACGATCATCGAAAGTCTTTGTCGATAGCTTCTGCCCAGATTACTGTGCCTGAACCTGTGTTGTCGAGGGGCAACCAGTCGCCCAGACAGTCGACGACAGACAACAACTTATATGACCACAGCAACATGAACGAGGACGTCTTTGGCGCTGAGCAGGAGTTTCGGCTGGAAAATTTCCTCGAAGACGACAGCACTTCAAGTAAAGCCGGGGGGGTAGAGGAAATCCGGACCCATCCCAGCCAAGCCTTCTCAGGCGAAACACTGCGAACCCGTGAGAGTTCGACGCCCGAGGAATCAAGCTCGCATATACAACCTCGGCGCTTAAGAGATGCGAAGAACAAAGCTCTTCGATCGATGCACCATCCGCTTGGACATGACAAAGGCCAAGGCGCAGGCAACAGGAGGCAACCAATGAGAGCAACAATGAAGAGGCACATGCCAAGGAGAGGAGAGAACAGTGATGAAGAGGAGGAGGAAGAAATCGGTGTACACATGTGGGAGAATCACGGGAAATTAAAGATGGAGACGCCGTGGTTTAAATCCATGGGGGAAGCATAAAAGTAGTCGGTTGTAAACAGCTGTATATAAATCTTTTGGCCACGAGGGTCAATTCGTAAGTTGCTGCCAATCCCCGAGCCACCAAGGACTTGGTGTATGACCAGAGATATTATTGTGATTCTCATTCCTCACGAGGGTCAGTAATCTAATCTTGCCTTACTTTACATTACCATTTGACCTTAGCGAGGGACGAGCTAAGGTACTCTAAGTGCGGGCGGCACCATTAGGTAAGGTAGCTACCACGACTACCTAGATCTTATCAGGGGGATCTACTCGTAATCTAGCTTCAGTAAAATACCGTACAACCTTGGTCAGGGGCGGGGCGGGTCTTATCTTCCATGCCACTTTTTGCAAAAGATAAGTAGTACTCTCCACCCAATCACGATAGCAGCAATCGCACCTGCTTTTCTCTCTGCATTGGCTGAATCGTATGAGATAAGAGTACCTCTAAGATGGATGGCAGATACATGTACTCTATCATCATGGCAGAAGGAGAAGACCCCCTCCCCCATTACCCCACACAGATATGCCCACCCCGAGCCATGGCTAAGCGTGAAATTGCATTGCAAAATGATCAAAATCATTCCCTGTCGCGACAATGCCACTCAACTCACACATTGACCTGCAGTCTTGCCACTTCTCACTCTTCTCCTCCTTCTACGACAGAACCTCAACTGTCTTCAAGGCATGCCGCAAGATATCGAGCAGCCGAACGAGCGTACCGGGCTCCTCTCCCACACCGCCAATGATAGGCGTTTGAGTGTCGTACAGCACGAAGAGGATGGTCAATCCATCATTGGCTCTTATGTGAGCAAGGATGAACAAGCTCTTTCCTCGGCGCCTGTAGGCGAACGCCTTCCTTACAATGATTATACCACTGTGGATTGGCTCCATGAGCTCGTGCGTTATCCTACCTCCGAGATCAAGGAAGAGATCGATTGACGGTACCTAGGTCAAAGACTCCTATCGCTTCCGTTCCGTGCACTCCAGGCCTGGCCTTCGGTATCGACTCGTCGCTACCTTCGATGCCTGCTCCGGATGGATTGCTGCTGCTCTAATCGGCATACTTACAGCTTGTGTTGCCTTTCTCGTCGATGTAGCCGAAGCTACTGTGAGCGATTGGAAGCTAGGTCACTGCACCTCGAACCCCTTCGCAAACCGAGAAGCCTGCTGTACAGACCGTCGACCCTTCTACGGCCCCACTAGGGCGAACCTCGGAGAAGGGTGCGATGAGTGGCGTATGTGGACAGATGGCTGGTACCGAGCATTTGGGATATATGTTGGCTTTGCATTGGCATTTGGGGTTATCAGCTCTTCACTAACCATGCTCACTAAATCCACCTTACCTGCTGCTGCACCTGGTCATGGTGACCAGCACCAAGAGCCCGACGCTGGCACCATTCAACCAGTGACTGGCAAAGCCATATACCTTGCTGCAGGCTCAGGCATTCCAGAGATAAAGACCATCCTTTCCGGATTCGTCATTCCTCATTTCCTAGACTTCAAAGTCTTGTTCGTCAAGGCCGTTGGTGCGGTCTTTGCTGTCGCAACCGGCATGTGTTTGGGAAAGGAAGGGCCCTTTGTGCATATAAGTACGTGTGTGGCATACCTGATAGGGAAGTGCTTCCCAAAATACCGCGAGAATGAAAGGAAAATGCGCGAACTACTGAGCGCTGGCTGCTCATCGGGACTGTCGGTTGCCTTTGGGGCACCAATAGGGGGTATTCTCTTCAGCTATGAGGTAGGGCTTCCAGGCTCCTTGCATTCGTCCCTGAGTACTGAGTCTTCTCCCAGGAGATCAGTACCTACTTTCCCCGCAAGGTGCTCTGGCGAGCTTTTTTCTGTTCTCTCTGGGCCGCGGTGATCCTGAAAATTCTCAACCCTACGGGCACTGGAAAACTTGCGCTCTTCGAGACGAATTATGGAACATCATATTCTCCAGTGCACTACCTCATTTTCATCCTCCTTGGCGTAGCTGGAGGTCTTTGGGGGGGCACGTTCTGCAAGTGTAATTTCCTTTGGTCAAAAAGCTTTCGGCAATTCCGCTTCATCAAGAACTACCCTGTGTTCGAAGTATTCATTGTCGTTCTAGCTACCGGACTGCTTCAGTATCCTAATCCAATGACTCGGGAGCCTGGCGACAAAATCATCAAAAACCTTCTCCAGGACTGTCGTCGTTCGACTAGTTCCTGGATCTGCCAACACGAGGCCAATGGTTCGCCACCAAAATACATTGGATGGCTGGTATATGGCACCCTTGTCAAGCTCGTCCTCACAATAGTGACTTTCGGTTGCAAAGTCCCGTCTGGTATCATCATTCCTGCTCTCGACGCCGGCGCCTTCTTCGGCCGTCTTGTTGGCCAGTGGGTCACCACCATTTCTCCCGGTATCTTTGCAATGGTCGGTGCCGCTGCATTTCTCGCTGGTACGTACTTCCTACAGTGATCCTTGCGGAAAGCTTGGGTCACAAATTAATTTTGCGGTAGCAAATTAGACGCTTTGGCCTTCAAAGAATCCCTGCCTGAAAGTGATCATTTGCTAATCTCCCAACGCTGGCAGGGGTTTCTCGTATGACGATTTCCCTTTGTGTGATCATGTTTGAACTCACCGGGGAGCTGGAGTATGTTGTTCCGAACATGATTGCCATACTCGTCGCCAAATGGGTCGCAGATGCTCTGGAGCACGAAGGTGTGTATGACCTGGCGCAAACAGTGCTCGGACATCCGTTCTTGGATCTGGATCATGCAATTAGCCTAGTACAAAGAGAGAAAACACTGGTAGAAGAGCTCATACCGCCAAAACAGACCATGGACGACATCACCGTTAACGTTCTCAAAGATAACATGGTACCCCGCAAAGTTCTTGAACAAAAACTTGATAAGCTGAAGGAAAGGGGTCTATTAGACGCCGGTCTTGTCCTTGTACAAGACGGGATGCTTCAAGGGTATCTCGCAGAAGGGGAGCTCGACTTCGGCCTCACCAATCTCGGCGGAGTGTGGGACTCGTCCGACCGCGTGCGGCTACTGGGTCTGGCAGAGGAAGGAGAATTCAACCTTAGCAATTTCGTCGATCGAACGCCGCTGAGTATTTGTGCAAAGGCACCGATGGAGTATGCGGTAGAGATGTTTGGCAAATTGGGTCTGCGGTATCTTTGTGTTGTGGAGGAGGGGACAGGCAAAATGGTCGGTGTCATTTTGAAGAAGAGGTTGGTCGTTTGGTTAGAGGGTTTGAAGCACCAGTGAGATATGTGGCGTGTACTCTAAATTGGACACCATGTACCAAAAGTCTCTGGAAATTTGTGATGAATGTATGCTGTTGTATCTTTGCTCTCCGAAAGAAATTCAGATCTTTGGGGCATTTCCCATCGTAGATCGACAATTGAGACGTTCACATGGTTTCACGGACCATGAAGCTGATACTCTTGCAATCATCCCAATTGGTGTAACGCTTAGGCCATACCCTTTACAACCCGTCAAAGTCACATGGATTTCACCCTGTACAGAACCATCAATGCTTGGGAGACCCTGTGAGATGACATTCGTCTAGACATTGTTGCCCCATGGATTCGGTCACGATAAGGAAGGGGTAAGACGGAAGAATTCCTCTATGATTCGATTGGAACTCAAATGAGCGGGTGCTTCGACACTACAGAGCATGGCTTCTCGATCAATCATCCTCTTCCAACATCTTTGCATAATCATCCGCCGATGCGAAAGTAGGCAAGCTCTTCAGCCTCCGCCTCTTGCTGCCGCGCTTCTCATCCTCTGGTTTCACGACCGACTCCGGCTTGCTTGAGGTGACTTCCTCGTCGAATCCCTCTTCAAGATTGCTGGGCACCTCGTCATCGCTGTCCAAGAGTCCTTCGCCGTCTTCATCATCAAGATCCGCAAGGCCTTCAGTACCTTCTGAAAGGTCACCGTTGGCGCTTTCGGACTCGTTACCAAGCTCGGAGTCGAGCTCATCGTCGTCCAGCTCTTCCATATCACTCTCGATGTCCTCGTCCCCGAAGCCACTGTCACTCCCCTCATCCAGCTCGGGCCTACTCTCCACCAACGCCTTCCAGATCTCGTCTTCATCGCCCTCATCTTCACTATCCTCGGCGTCCGGTTTCCGTTCTGTCTTCTTCTTGCTAGCCTTTTCCTTGCCTCTACCCAGCGTACTGAAGTACTTGTGGAAGAAAACTTCGTCAGCATTGACCTTTTCACTTGACTGTTTCCAGAATGCTTCCGAGTTGACTGGCTGCCTAGTGCTCGACTTGTTGGAGTAAGCCGTTATCAGCAAGGCGCTTGTGTCACCGCCAGCCATAGGTTGCATGATACTCGCTCCTCTTGGTGCGCTTGTCGCTTTAGGATTGCGGTATACGAAGCGATCGAGGAAGTGGATGAGAGTGTTTAGCGCGAGGTCTGGCTTGGGAGGCATTTCGCTGTGGGTAAGAAGTCGAGTAGCAAATAGGGAGACAGAAGGGTGATAGTGCTGCAGGAATGGAGTGACCTCCCAGAGAGAGGACCGGTCGGCATTGCTGAACTCGGGATCCCGTTTCCTTCCATCATATCTCGCTGCGAGCTTGTTTGTTTTCTGTCGAGATGGTCCATCATCTGGAGCTGACCTGTTAGCTAGCTGCTCTTGCACGTCCCGGAAGTCTTCCTCTTCGTCACTGTCTTCTTCCGCTTGATCTATGAATGCCTCGAGGTTGGTAAAAACGCCTTCAAGCTCTCTGAGGAGATAAAGAGTACCGCAAGTGAACGAGGGTTGGTGCATAGTCACCACCTGCAATAATCGTTTTGCGAAAGCCTTGACGCGCTTGACGTTGAGATCCGACCTCAATGCTCTGAACAAGAGATTCAGGTAAAGTGCCTGCTTTGAGGACGTCAGGAGACGAGGATCAAGAAGTGATTCGTACAGGGTCCGGTAAAATCTATCTGTCGAGCCTTGGTGAGGCCCATTGAGCTGCTGAATCAGCATGAGCGCCTGGATGCTTGTATTGAAATTTGACGAATGGGTCACTTTGAAGAGCGTATCCAGATGTCTCTCAAATGATTCGTCGTTGGTATCCGTGAATGGTATGGCGCGGTTGACTCCAGTGAGAACCGCCGATAGCATCTTTTCTTGTAGATCTCCATCAACAGTGGTCGCTTTTTCTTTTTCAGCCAGTTTCTTCTGCGCCTTCTTTCCGGCAGATCCTCCGCCACCTTGGACTTCTCCCTTCTTGTTGATGCTAATGTCATTGACCCGCGTAGCCACAGGCTTCGCTTCCTCTGGTTTCTCTAAAAGCTTGATGAAAAGACCAAAGTATATATCCAGCAGCTTTCTCGCAACACCACTCTCTTTCCCACTCAGGATAGTCTGATTCAGAGTAATGCTTGCATAGTACTTTGCATGTAAGCTCTGGCCAGGCCGAAAAAGTAGATTTGATTCAATGGCTGCAATGATAGTCGGCTTCATAAGTGGATGCGTGGCTTCCAACTGTAAGATGTTGAATGATGTTTTTGAGGCAATCTTTTTGTCAGAATCACCGAGCTTGTTCACAAGCAGTCGGAGGAGATTAGCTTCTTGTTCAGGCTTTTCCTTCAGGAGCTGACAGACATAGTCCACAACCTTGCCACGGGCAAATGCTACCTCGTCATTGCACCAGGTTTCAATGGTTTTTAGGACTTTGAAGAAAATTGATTTCAACCAGTCTTCATATGCCCATGAAATGAGATGAATCTCCCTGAGTTCCTTCGGCAATGGATCTCTAGAGGTCCAGTGGAAATTGATAGGATCAAAAGCATTAGACAGAGCAGGTTGGCTAGCAAAAGTTTTGAGCTTTCGATGCGAGGGCAGAAGGTTCCCAAGGCCGAACAGATCTTTCAAAGCCCCCAGCACTTCGACAGCCTGACCACGACTACGTTTACCAGCCAAGTTGACAAGGCTCTCCAAAGCCTTCATGTTATGAGCTGGTGATTCTTGTACTGACAATGTCAAAGCCGAGATCTTGTCCGAGAGCGTACCTGTTGACATGATGGCGGAATAGAAATGATGCGCAGAGGATGCGGACCTATTCGATTTGGCGTATTGCGTATTTTCGTTCTCCAGAAGTGCCTTGGCATGATTGTGAAGGCGGTCTAGTAAATCAAAAGGCAAGATAGAGGTCTCTTGGGATGGTAGAGGCAGTGGGGGTAGCTCAACGGCATGCCACTCTGACTGAGGGTGGAAAGTCTATACGAGACCAATGTCAGCATGAATATCGAAAAAACTGGGAAACGGGTATTGTTGCTTGCTGACCAGAGATCTTTGACCTTTGTCAACAGACGTCACATTTTGTAAAGCTAGCTTGATGCCACTCCTTACTTTGTTTGAAGGTAACATATCAGGTTCCCGGTTCTCTTCTAGTTCTTCTACCTCATCTGCCTCCTCTAATTCAGAGTCTACCATCAATTCATTCTTACCGGCTCTATCAAGACCAAGTTGTCGAACCAATTGTAGCATCTCCTTCTCGAGGCCGTACCCTAAGTTCTTGCTCGGTCCTGCCTCATCGTCTTCCATCTCTGATTCCGACATAACATCCGCTATGAGGTCGACATCTTCCTTCGTGCCCCCAAGAGCTCGTATTTCCTCGTCAATATTAGTGTCATTGTCTGATCCAATTTTTCGATTCCTGGTCCCAAGCTTGATTGTGTTGACATCCTTCCCTTTCGTTCCATAGCTCTCTTCCTTAACACGCCCATCTCGCAATCTCTTCTTTCCCCCATTCGTCTCTAGGGCCACTGTGGGTTTTTGCTTTGCTATTGCCGTACTGCTATTACTAGCAGCTTTGACGGCGGAGTCTGACACTGGAGCCTTGGCCGCATGTTCTCCGGGTTTCTTCTTCGCATTCAGAGTCTTTGTCTTCGGCCTCGCTGGTGCGTCTTTCGAGACCGCTCCTTTGCCTTGATTCTTGAGATTACTCTCAATTTTTTCGGTCAAGCTTCGCAAAGCATCTGGGTTGAAGTCTGGAACCTGATTTTCTGAGGATTCAGAGGCGATTAGCTTCATTGACTTCGCAGGCATGGCTCTGCTGCCAGAGCCTTGGGTGCTGGGTCTGAAAAAAGGTTCCAAGCTTCTCGCACCCTCGCAGGGATTTCTTCCAAAACTTTGGAACATCTGTGCCGAGCAACTTTTCCCGACAGACTTAGTCTAGGCAATTTCTCCGCCGGAGTCACCCCCTCAGATACTATATCATTTTGAGTGAATCGTTTGCGATGGCAGTCGAATCAATCTTAAGATGAAGACACATTGCAAGCAAGAAAGCTGTTTTTTTTGATATCTAGGGTATGGTAATCTAGTTCACTCCCCCAGGCATAATGATTTACGTTACTCCACTATATGACTATCCGACATGTAGCTAATAGAAGTCTGGACAATATCCATGGTGGTTTATGTCTCTTAGAGAATATAGCAAACCGTATTGATATGACAGAGCAAAGCCTGCAAGAACTTTGTGGTTTTCGACACCAGCTAAGCCATGTCGCTGACCCCAACCAGCATCGGAAACCTTGATACAATCTTGAGGCGAAAGAGTGACGTAAACTGAATGATCTCCACTCGAGTGAACGTGCGACATATCTTTCAGCATGCTTTGTGCAATCGATGAGGCGGGGACGTCCTCTCTTAAGAACATGGCACTGGCATGGGCTTCCAATACAGATTCGCGCCTTTCAATGATCTCTTGTTTCCGGACCGCAAGCTGGTTTAAATCGTTGGATCAGAGTCTGTTTGGCTATGCCTCAGTTGGTGTCGGGTCTAATGAGCAAGGGTACTAAAATACCGCCTTGACCTCGTCATCAGGAAAGTGTGCAAGCTGCCTTTGCGGTACTGGATGTGATCCCATCTGTGGCCGTGAGCCGGCGCGAGGCGGAGGAGAATATTGTGGTAGCCAGCTTCTCTTATCGCTGCTCTTCTCATATTGCGCTGTACTGAGCATCTCCACGCTCATCATTCGGAGGAGACCGCCAGATACAACCCAGCCAAGTACATTGTGAGGCAGTCCGCCAGGGCCATAGCTCAAGAATTACTGTAGTCACGCCAGAAAATCCGGCCAAGGAGAGAAGCAAGACCAACTGCTATAACATCTCGCCTAATTGTTGGAATAATGGGCATCATTATAATTCTTTAGACTCGTTGTACTGGCAGCCTATACGTTGAAGAGAATTTGGTAAGGAAGTCCTCAACAGTATCTCGCGAGGACCATGTTGCACTATGACTATGAGGATCCCTCGCATGGAGATGCGAGCAAATGAATGTTGCAGTCTAGCGCCGCTAGTCTTCCCGCTGACTCGGTCCCTGAATGAATCGAGGTTCTCTTGCGAAAAAATCACTTCATTCGTGAATGGATTAAATTTTGTCCAAAGTATGACGAAGAAGAAGAAGTCAAGCAATGATGCAGGCGCTATCGATGGGCCTGCATCTGACAAACCAGCCACTCCGTCTACACTCAGTGCTGCTCCTACTTTGACCGCGCTGCAACCCACAGCCAAGAGCAAAAGCCCTGATCCATCAACTTCGGCTTTAATCATATGCCGTAACAAGCATTGGAGATGTAACTGTCGTCTATGAGTTTGAGACAGCAGGGCTTATACTCTAAACAGACATCTCGAGCTTCCACGGCCCTTGGCTGCAGCTGCCCCCTGAAGTTTTGGAATCGCTTGCCTTTAGCAACTATGACTCTCCACGTCCCCGTCCCATCGATCCGGCTGTCTTCTTCGATCTGGTCAAGGTTCGGCGTCTGGTAGAGGAGGCAACCGATCTCGCCGTACGCGCTGCCAATGGCACAACATCCTCCGCCTTGAGCAATTCTTTGAGTGCGGGAAACGGGATCCTAGGTGGTGGAGGCGCAGCTGCTTTGGGATTGGGCATTGGTGGTGGTGGACCCAATGCAAAATTGAGCAGAGAAAGAAAGCATCGAATGCGAGAGCAGGCGACCCAAAAGCTGTCGCGCGCATACCAGTTCGACGAAATTGCGGCTAGTGTGGCTACAATGCAGGGGGCCTCTTCTTTGGAGGAGGTCGCAAAGCTCGTTTTACAACGAAGTGCAAACGATACTGACGCCAAGTACGTCCATTTCTTCCACGAGAAGATTCCTTCCAGGATGCTTGCGCAGTGCACCACACTCGAGTCATTAGACCAAGTCATTCAAGATCGCCCCACGGAGGGATCGCTTCTACGAACAAGGGCTGTCACGAGGATTTTCAAAGATGACTACGCAGGTGCTGCACGTGATCTCACAGAGGCACTGTCGGTCTGCCGATATACCATGGCACAGCACAAAGCAGGAAGGGGACAATTAGAGCTTGCGAATGCTCTAGGAGGGTCGGAAAGAAAGACCGGTAGCGCACGGGATCGAAAGTATGAGGCTGCCAAGATCGAGGAGGCAGATCAACCAGGTAGTCTCGAAACGCAATTGCTTTTCCACCGCGCAGGCGTGTACCTCACCCTTGCTTGTCAGAATGTCAATGCCTCGCTAGACGGATTGAAAGCAGCGCAAGGAGCATCAGCATCCCAGCCAGAAGTTTCACAGAGCCTTGCAGATAAAGAAGCTCATGAGAGACGGCTAGAAGCGCGCAAGTTAGTAAAGACCAACGCCAAACGGGCTCTCCGAGATTATCTGGGCTTTCTTTCCTACTTCGACTATACACCAGGTCTACCAGCAGAGATCGCCGAGGAATTTTTTCGAAAAGTCAACGCCGCAGCAGGGGGCTATGCGAAGCCAAAAGGAACTCCTCCTGCAAGTAGGCTTCTCGAAATGTCCGGAAACTCTAATTTGAGTAACGGACATCTCTCTGATGCACTCGTTCCTCACAAGGGTAACGACCGCCGTCATCGTCGTGCTTCCAGTAGTGGCCATTACGAGAATCCATACGCTGGACTTCCTCTGCCCGAGATCTACCCGGTCTCTTCTCTTTTCTCATCGTCGCCTCCTGACGATCTCCCGCCTTACCCAGTGATTTCACAAGCAATCGTACCTCGCAAGCCCTTCGCAGTGCAGAAGAGCACAGATAACGTTACGAACCATTTCATGGCACAGTCCGAGCAGCACGAAGCAGTTACGTACCATCCACTATTCACAGATGCTCTCCACTCTCTGCTGCTATGTCATTCGCTCATCCAGACGTCCCCGAAGGAACATCTAAGACACGCTCATATGGTAGCCCGGTTGGCCCGCGTCTGCGACGGCTATCCGATCTTCCTAGCTGCCCGTTCACCAAGTCGCGCAGATTGGATTGAAGTCGTGCGTCGTGCCAACAATTGGATCGGGCTCCAGCAGTCCTGGGAGATACTGTGTGCACCTGCTCCATTGCCTGGCCATGCTGGCGCAACCAAGAAAGAGGAAACTGAGGAACAAGCAAAAGAGCGTCGTAGGCAAGAGGCTATCCTGGAAGCTTTAGCTGACGAGCGTGTGCACGACGAGGCGAGCTTTCAGGCTGCCGTAGCGGCAAGAGAACGCAGAGCCGAGGAGCAAAGAAGAGAGGAGCTCGGTCAAGATGGTAATAGTCCGAAACGGTGGGCACAAGAAGACGGGAAGGAGTATCCCATCAGCACTGAGAGGGCGGAGGCTATTGCGAGGTGGGTGAGAGAAGCCCCACTTACTGTTGCTGGCGCTGGGAAAACGAAGCGGGGACCAAAGAAAGGCAAGGGGCGGAAAGAGCCTGAGCGTGGTGCATCTGACCTGGGCGCTGGTGTGGATCGCTTGGCCGTGAATGGCGAGCAGGTCGGTGATGGCGGGAATGACCTTGAGGAAAGCGGCGGCCCCTAGCTTGCTGCAATGCTACTGTGGAAGAGCTATAATTTTGTGTTGCTAGGTAGACCATATATAGATCGTCATCAGCACCTAGACCAAGCTGATCGACGCAATGGGATCTCCCCTTATCGCTAGCTACATTTCGGATCGAAGCCTTCGTGGCTTGGCTTTAATAAGAAAAAAAAGAACCTCGTTTCTAGTCCTCATTTGCAGGGCATGAAATCTCGCTGGTACAGCTCATTCCATGTAAGATAAACGCCGACATCACGATACTAATACAGTCAATGGACACGTGAAACCCTACTGCAAATGCAGGCGTGATTTCTCGTTCTTGTCCACCAGAATAGCCAAGCACATCTGAAACTCAGCCTAAGAGAATCTTCGATCCATTGAAGGACCTGCCAAGGTATAATGATCATGGCCAGTAGTAGGAGGGCTCCTATTCCATTTGTCATAGCTCGCTTTTAATAGTTGTCGTACATCACTAGACTGCACCCTAAATTCCTTGAGCGGGTCCGCGTAGCCAAACCTCAACTCCAGATACTCGAGAATCTTGTCGCATAGGTTCAGGCAGTTGTAGGCTCTACTCAGCATCTCGCCAATCGTTCGCTGTTGAAGAACGGGAGCTCCAGAAGACGTTGGAGCCTGCGGTGGAGGCCTTGAAATGCTACTCCCAAAGAACAGAGCGAAGTCACTCAGGAGCAAGGCAAGGAGGCGTTTCACGACAAAAGAAGCCCTCAACATATCATGTGAGGTGTAAAACGCGAACTGTTCCGCATCGCTACCGACAGAAGACATCAAGTCTGCGTATTCGACGGCATATTCGAAGATCAGGAATTTGCCATAGTCGGTAAGGTCATCGTCTAGATCAGGTGGCGATAATATCAAGATACTGCTGTATAGAGCTTCGCAGCGTAACAGTTTCTTGATTGGGTTCTTGATCTGATCGGGCAGCTTGCTACAGAATACGTGCATATCTTCGATCGAGCTGGAGATAATCGGCCATGGTTCCTCCAGTGCTGGGCGCCTAGATTGAAAAAGCTTCTGGTACGCGTGTGACTCAATCTGGCGTAGATGGCTCAAATGGATTGCGGGATTGAGATCGTGGAGGAAGACTAAGCTTGTGTCTGGTCTGCCCACCCTTTGACGCGGATGTGTAACACTGGCGGAGTCATCCGTAAAAGAGAACGCTCGAATATGGACCAAGCTGATAGATCTGTGTAGGGTTTCAGCTATCTGAATGTGCATCTGTAATACCCGCCAATTATTCGGCAAATAGGCCGGTGCTACAACGTCTTCTCACGATTTGCGGAAAACGAGTGATTTAGTAGAGTGCATGCCTGGTGAAATAGCACAGAGGTTCAGAATGCAGAAGTCCTGGTCAATCAGAGTAAATTCCTAAAAATCGACGCCACAAATCGAATTGGTACTAGGGAATCACATCGCATAGATCATTTGGAGACGATGTCATAGGAGCATTCAATGAAAAGCATTACTGACCGATCTAATGCGTAAACACAATTGTAGACACGTAGACGCATATCAAGCTCAGAGTGTTTGAGACGCAACTCTTCAGGGGGATCCTGGTGCAGTCCGAGATCTACCATGACGCGGGAGGCGAGTCCAATCAGATACCAGCTGTTGAAATGACGAGGATTCAACATAGCGTATAGGACCAATTGAAGAATGGCTTGAATGCCCACAATAGAGCCTGGGTGAACGACAGTCTCAATCTCCTCAAGAGCTGCGGCTGCATGGCGAACAGCATCCTGGTACTGTGTGTCACCTCTCTTAGTTGACAGAGAAGCAACCGCTGTTGCAAGTACTAGTCGAGTTGTCCAACGATCGATTGGCAGAGCGTGACGACCATTTTCTTGATACACCGCATCGATAGATTGAAAGAGTCTGCTTTCCGACAAGAAAGGGTAAAGTGCGTGAATATTCTCAAGGTAGTGCTTGATTAGCGGCGTAATTTCGTGTCTCTGTGGAAGAACATGATTTACGAACTTGGGCATGTCAAGAACGGACGAAGTCGAGAGGACAAGCCTGGCAAATGACATTTCTCTAGAGAAGCCATGGAAGTCTCTCGCAGTTGCGTTGACTGATCTAATATCATAGACTTGTCAAATTTTAGCCATGAGGATTTCAAGCCTCTCGACTTACAGGAAGCCAAAATCTGCAACCAGGTCGTCTACATTCGAGGCTTCCTTTCGTTGAGCTCCTCTGCTACTGACCCTGGGAGCGGCATGGCTTTCAGGAGATGGCCAGGGTTGCGCGCCAGAAGCATTCATGGAGGCTTTGCGGGCCTTGGCTTGGACGAGCTGCTTTTCCAACTTCTCAACCCGCGTTTCCAGTGAGGCAACATAGCTCCGTTCTTTGCCTTTTGCAAACAGATCACTGGCACTGGAGCATTCTGCGCTCCGGCCTGCTCTTTCGCAGGCCGTGCAAGCGGGCAATTTACCATCGCACTTGACTTTGGCCCCACGACATCTCTGGCAAGCTGACACTGGTCGGCTGACTCGCAATAAAGGAGTCTCGAATCTAGAAAGGGTAGACATGGCTTGACCTACCACCAAGAATTTATTTTCGAGAAGCTTTCTTCGTGACACGTCGCTCACGTATGGGTTATCAGAAGGTAGGGGATTAGAGGCCGAACCTGCTGGTGCGAGGGGAGCGGTTGGTAAATAGTGATGTTGAACGGGAGATCGGTCTTCTGGCCATGGCCTGATTGGAGGCGCTTAGAAAAAGGGTTTGCCGTGCAGGCTCAACATATGATACCGAGAGCATTGGGTGAAGAAGGAAATACCTAGATGGCCAGGCCATAGGTAATCGAAAGAAGGGATTTCTTTCTGGAAGTACGGTGAGGACTTTATGGGGCGCAGTCTCACATGGAGGCCAAGGCGCAAAGGATTCGAAGGGTGCGCCCCACGAGCCCTGTAAGGCTTGAGCGGAGGAAGGTTCTCGGGTGCTAGTACAAAAGACTCGGGAAGTCGACGGTAAGCCCGTAATCCCTCCATGATCCATCCCATCGAGCCTGCAGTACAGTAGTGCGAACGAAGAGCCTTACACGGTTGGACCAAAACTTCCTACTTTAATTCTTTTTCCACACCCTCTTTCTTGCGAAGGCGGTGAGGCATTCAACCCTTTTATCTCCGTCTGCTTTGCTTTGAGCTACATTATAATCCAATGAAGCAGTTGTGGCAAGAATGTCACTCTTATTTGATCCCATCCGCACTCTTCAACAGGCATCACTTAAAGCCTCTTTTCACTGGAAGAAATCCATTCCCGTTACCTCCTCTCGCAATTCATGACACCCGAACCCCTGATGGTGGATATCAACATCGTCGTCCAACTCTTTGATCAACCCAAATCCCAATGGCAACTCCATCCTTTGTGGACGTCGGGCCTTCCAGCCAGGTCGACCGAGCACTTGACAATGCTAACAATGCAAATGACGATGCCGCGGGCTTAAAGGTGGCTCACACTCTCACTGCTTGCTGCAGGTGTCGGACGCGGAAGACTCGATGCGATGCAGGTCTACCTAGATGCGGTCCTTGCGAGCGGAGCAATGCCGTGTGCGAGTACTTCGATACCTCAAAGGGCAAAAATATACCGAGAACCTATGTCATACACCTGCAAAATAAAGTGCAATCACTGGAAGCCGAACTCGCTTCACTGGGAATAGCGGAGTATGAGACGCCCGATGCAGAGAGCATGATACGAAGTGCAGGTTATGTTAGGTTCAAGGAAAACGACGAGTCGAGGTATCTAGGCCCTTCGAGCGGTATCGCCGTAAGGAAACCCTCCCAGATTCATGATCTATGACTGGCTTGGTGCCTAACAATAGATCTTAACCAGATGACCCGCCTGGTTATGGAGCTGGCCAAGCAGAACACACACACCAAAAGCATCAAAGAGATCGTTCCCGACAATAAAGCCCGGCAGATCAAAGACCGCTTCTCGAAAGAAGAAGAGAAGCCAACTAGCAAAGTGTATCCCTTGATCAGTGATGTTGCTGCACCAGACTTGCCCAGCCGTGATTTGACTGACGAGCTGGTGGACAAGTTCAACCAGAAAGCTCAGTACATGCTGCCAACACTACATGAACCGACGTTCAGGGACGTTGTTAATGATGTTTACTATGGATCTCCAGACCCATACATGAACTTTACTCTACGGATGGTCATTGCAATCAGCATGCAGAAGCTCGATACAAGATATGCTGGCTTGGCAGACTCATATTACCTTGCGGCACTACCTTTCCTCGAAGGCGCTATCAGGCCAATGGATCTAGGAACGCTGCAATGCTTTATCCTCATGGGCCAGTATTCTCTCGTCACGCCCACCCGTACCGCAGCGTACTGGGTGGTTGGCTTGGCAGTGAAACTTTGTCAGGAGCTTGGAATTACGGAGGAAGCTACCATTGCGCCTATCATCAATCACCGGTCACAATTCAGCGTGCTTGAGATTGATATGCGGCGACGCATGTTCTGGATCATTACGTCCATGGAGTTTGGCTTGGCACACAGCCTTGGACGACCAAGTGCATTCGGCACAACCTTCGATCACATCAACGTCCGATGGTTTGAGGCTGTGGACGACCGCTTCATCACCAATTCCGGTGTCACCCCTGGTTGTCCTCTATCCATTAAAAAGCGTATCGCGATCCATTTCTTCAAGATGAGATTACTGCAAGCGGAGATCAGACGCAAACTCTACCTAAAGAAAAGACCAGAACCTCAGAGTGATCAGGATCCTTGGTTCCGAGAAATGCAAGCTAAGCTTGAGGATTGGCTGGTATCCGGCTCAACAGATGATGAAGGCAGCGGACTAAGTGAGACCTGGTTCAAAGGTCGATACAACACCATGATCGTGTTTCTGTATCGTCCATCACCGCAAGTCCCGAGACCCTCGGTGGACGCAGCACGACGATGTTTCGATGCATCCGTGTTCAACATATATATGCAAAGACGCCAAATAGCCTCAAAATCGATCGACCTCACTTGGGCCTTCACACAGTCTCTATTCATGGCACTCAACGCCATTCTTTGGGCCCTCTCATATCCTGAAACACGGAAGGAGCATCCCAAGGCCGAAGTTGAGAAGGACATCAACGTGGCTCAAGAGGCTATATATCTCGCGTCGCAGCGCTGGCCAGGAGTTGAGTCGGCACTTGAACTCTATGATCACCTCGTGGTGGCATGCCTCAATGTGTATGAGGGTATTGGCGAGACTTCGTACATCGTCGATTTAGCCTCTAACAAAACCTCGCCGGCTTCGTTCTCAGACGCCGTCACGCCTCCTCCGTTATCCAGTCAATACAGTCCAGGCAACTCAAAGTCATCTCCACGTCACAAGCAAAAAGCACCTCATTTGTCTCCCTCTGGATATGTGGACTATGACAAAGGACACGGTCCACGAATGTCACCCACACCTTCCGAGTACAGCCTAGAATCAGGCATATCAGGCAGCTTTCAAAGTGTTGCCTCTCAGCAGCCATCGCTTCATATGTCCAATACGTATCAGGCCTCTCCTTACGACCCAGACTCTCTTTACAACTCGTTCCCCTCAATGCTATCTCATCAACCTTACCGCACACCGCAATACAGCCACACCCAGAATCTCGGATCAATCGGCGAACACTATTCTCAATATCTCCATGCTCCCTATGTCCCTCACCAACCTCTTCTGACTCTGAACCAAGAGCAGCAAATGGAGCTCATGAGAAACCTCGAGACGGATGGAATTGAGAGAGGCTAAGAGCCCTTGTTGGAAAATGAGATTACTATATCGACCACGCCTTGGGAGCTGACTGTTACACCGTTCAGAAAACAAGAAGCACCGCAACACCATTGTACCAGCGCCATATTAGGAATCGAACCTAATACGAACTAAATACCCCCAACAACACGACCACAACCAACAGGTGTCCGCCCTCGGACTATGACTAACGGCCAACATTTCGCTTCACAAATCAACCTGAGCCCTTGCCAACACCGTTCGACAGAACTTTAAAACCTGTGGTTAATGGCGCTGCCAGAAATAAGAAGCACCGTTACACCATTGTACCAGCGCCATTAGGAATCGAACCTAATACGAACTAAATACCCCCAACAACACCGTTCTTGACTAAGTGGCAATTGGTGGCACATTGCCCGTGAACCGCTGACAGCCGTCGAAGAATTGTCCGGAGTTAACAATCAGGAACTGTCCCTAAAACAACCTATATACCCTGTCGCAGCCTTCGATGACAATCATGACGAAGGCCAGCTGGCGCAATAGAGGAAATGGGAAAGGAGAGCTTTAAAGACGATGAATGACGACTGCCGAAAGGGAGAACGCTGGACGACTTGGCTAATGATATAAATATTTATGAACGCTGATAAGAGCTACGAGGCATCAGGCCTGGGAAGAGGATAGTAGGGCAACAATTTAAGAGGTGCAGTGGATATACCCAGTAAAAGGATGTGAAAGATCTAGTAGGATGTGGTTTTTCGACTCAGACTTGCCTATACCACATCATTGTCGCGGTATGACTTCTAGTGCACTAGCTTTTCAGTCATGATCTGGTTAAATTGGCCACGAGTGCCGCGGAAACACATGATCAAAACAATGATAAGCATCTGCTGTGCGTGAAGTTGCGACTCAGCAGTATCTGAAGCATCATCACTGCCATCCAGAAAGACCTATGCTGTATGGGACAGAGCTCATAGTCCGCTTGGTCTCATGACAACGTCTGTGTGCCTTTCCTCTTGCCGACTTCCATCTTCGCCGTCCTGGCGCCAAACTGAATTGCCCTTTTCTTCTCAGCTGCAGCATTTCGTAATCCTAGCTTCCACGCCAACAATCGTAAAAGTTTCTTGCCTGGTTCCAGTAGCGGGATGGAGCCGTCTGTGCAGGGATCAACCTGTCCGAACCCACATTTTTCCCACATAGGAAGTCTCAAAGCCCAGCTCACTAGTTCTTCGTCAAGGTAAGGGTATCGTACTTCCTTCCCCCAATGCGAGATTACCCGATCATCGCGGCCAAGGTTGCGTTTTCCAAGTCTGTTGAAGTCAAGTTCAAGCTCATCTGCGAGACCTGGGTAGCCTCTGCTCTTGAAGGCTGTGGCATGCCTGGTGTAACCTCCAAATAACTCATCTGCTCCAAGACCTGAGAGCAACACTCTGGCTGGCGTCGTGTAATGGACTGCATGGTCGCCGTTTTCGATATGAACTGTACCGATGCCTCTCGCAGCAAAATAGAGCGCATATGCTATTGAGAGGTCCATTTCCGTGTTATGCGGATGAATCAAAGAGATGACCTGAGACCTATGAGCCTGGGTATCCGTAAAGGGGATGTCGATAGACACGAAACGCCACATCCGTCCTGGGCATATGGCGAGCAATTCTGAGTAAGCAGAAAGGCCAGTGATGCGGTCTGGGCAGAGGGAGTAGGCCGAGCGAACGATCTTAGGTAGTTGAGATGCTCCTGCAGCTTTGACAACTCGCGGATTTTCAAAAGCGACATTCAAGAGATCGATATCTTGCTCCTTTGGAAGAGCATCGTGGAGCATACGAGCCAAGACGGTACAGTCAAGGCCCCCAGAGAATAACACAGCAACGCGGGCTGGAGCGACCGATTGACACGGCGGTAAAGGAATTCCATGGGTACGAAGGGATAGTGACCGTTGGAGTTTTTGGAAAAGGTCGTTCATCGCTGGAGAATCCTGGTTTAGGGCTGGGATCGGATGAGCTCGCACCTCTGTGTTAAATTTTGGAAATGGAGAGCGCTAGCATTAGTCAATTTCTTAGACATCTAAGGAGGAGAGAAGTGTGTAGCACCAGAGTACCAGTCAAAACAGACTTGGAACGGTCAAACACCCAGGGGACATGAGTGACTCGATCGACATCATTTGATAGGTCGACATTCGCTGTCAGGTCAAGCACGTAGATTCCATCGGCTTCGACTTCCATACAGTGTTCGGAGTCTGCGGTATCACATACACTTGAAAGCACAATACTCTTCGTTGTATGCCTACTGATGAGAAGCGACCGCCTACCTAATGCATCTCGTCCGTAGAAGACTCGATGGTGTTGGGCATCGTATAAAACGAAAGCATAAGGTCCAGTAATGCTGCTCAAAATGTCAACGACACCTTGCAGACTATGATTAGGCGAGGCAGGCGTATGGTCTGCGTTGTCGCGGTGTCTTTTTGTTGCATTCAGAAATAGGTCAAAGACATATTCAGCATCACTGCCCTGAATCGATTGGTCCCCGATCTTCCAAGCCTCTCCGTTCCAACAAAGTAGAGAGCCTGACTCCGGATCTCTCAATGGTTGTCTAACAACAGAGCTCCCACGTAATGATAAGACGGTTGAGAGGAAGGTTAGAAAATAAGTCCGTTTCTGCATGTTCGGGCCTGAGTGTCGAGACGCTTTTGTCTCGAGAATGACCGATGGTGATATTGAATCGGCTCCATCTGGGCCTCTTCTTTGGAGATAATCTGATAAGGCATCACTAGCAGGCCGATGCTCCTCTTGACTGCAAGAAAAGAATATGCCACACATCACGAGTCAGGGAATAGTAAATTTCTGAAGAACGCGGTGTTCATTCGAGAGGCTCAAGATAATGACATGTCTTACCACAGTTCTGGTGAGATGAGAGTAACATGTTGGGACACGCATGGTCAGGCTTGGGAATTCATACTGAAACCAAGGGATGACTTATCAAATGCTGGAAAGGTCTAGCAAACATGTGAAGACTGAGTGGCAAAGGGCGGCTCGCGCGTCTAAAAAGCCGAGCTCTTGGCTTGAGCTATCCCAAGTTTAAGTACAGCTTCAGAGTTTCACACATCAAAGACAGGCTTTGTCCCCTATCACTGACGACTCCCCTGCTTACATATCGAGTGTTGCAACTTCGTTATCCAGTAATACATCAAATAACCCACCTTCCAAACACGGAGCTACCAGTTCCTCAATGCGGTCGGATCTATGTCTTCGACGGAGCCGTCTGCGAATACTCTCAAACCCCCTTACTCAAAAAGAGACATAGATTCCACGTATAATTTGGGAGCGGAAAATTTCTCGAAAGAAGCTAGCCCGGTTCGAAGAAGCTCTCTTAAGGCGGGAGCTCCATCAAAGGTTGACAGCGGCCAACAAAGATCCCAGACTCTGGGAGATTTGGACCATGGAGACCAGATTCCGTGCCGAGTAGAGCAAGGTGTTGCGGGAATGGAAGGATTTGATAAGACTATGGAGCTTGAGCGTAGGGCCGAGTCAACGTCTAAGTCTCCAGAGCCAGCACTCTCTCGGGCAGATAAAGCTGGCAGTCAAGACGCAGAAGGGGATGATTTTCCCAAGGGACCTAGCTACGAAGGGATGAAAGATGACCTCTACTTGGACCCTACCCCAAAAACGCCCCGTCTGGAAACTTCCCCGTCGAGGAATCCAGCCATTGCCGCGGAAACCCAAGACGATGGCTCCACATCCGAGATACAAAGCATCATGGATCAGTTTGATGAGGCCAACGACAACACCGCAGGTGACGGGACTGGTCAGCCAATCCTAGGAACCGAGAAGTCTCATTTGGGGAGTCTGATGGAGCATCCTCCAAGACGGTCTAGTCTTGAGCCATTGAGACCTAGTGGCCAGCAATTGGCCGGGGATCACGCGTCAGACCTTGAAGCTCGAGGTCAAAAGGTTCCTAGTTTCGAGGATGGAATCAGAGCACCTCCAATGCGAACTTCTAGTCTGCCACAATCTGCTTGGTTGCAAGACACGAACACCCCATCTTCTCCAAATTCTTCCATGTCACTACCCAAATTGCCGCCACCAGAGCCGGACCCTGAACCTGATCTCCCATTCGACTTCCATCGGTTTCTAGAGCAGCTCCGCCATCGAACAGCGGACCCTGTAGCCAAATTCCTCAGATCATTTCTCATTGAATTCGGCAAAAAGCAATGGATGGTCCATGAACAAGACAAAATAATAAACGACTTTTTGACTTTCATAACAAACAAAATGGCTCAGTGCGAAGTTTGGCGAGGTGTCTCAGACGCAGAGTTTGATAATGCAAAAGAAGGTATGGAGAAATTGGTTATGAACAGGCTCTATTCGCAGACTTTTTCCCCTGCGATTCCTGCACCAGCTCCTGCTCTGATAGCCAAAGGCAAGAGGAAGGCTGTAGAGAGAGCAATCGGTCCGGGCAGGAAAGGTCAGCATCAAGAAGATATTGAGCGAGACGAGATTTTAGCCCAAAAGGTGCGGATTTACGGGTGGGTCCAAGAAAAGCACCTGGACATCCCGCCTATTGGCGATAATGGCAGACGATTTTTGATGTTGGCTCAGCAGGGTGAGGCATCGCTCAACTCCACAGCTCCAGTTTAGGCCTGACGTTGCAACAGAGCTTTTGAAGATCAAAACGTACAGAGCTCCGCGTGATAAAATTATATGTGTATTGAATTGCTGCAAAGTCATCTTTGGTAAGATTATGGCGGGTCGAATAAGGGTAAAGCAACATCTAACATATTCCAGGTCTGTTGCGCAACTCGAAAGCCTCCGATACTTCAGCCGATTCATTCGTGCCTCTTTTGATCTATGTTGTTCTCCACGCTAACCCTGACCATCTCGTTTCCAATGTACAGTACATACTCCGTTTCAGGAACCAAGATAAACTCGGTGGAGAAGCAGGCTACTATCTTTCCTCGCTGGTAAGCTTGCAGTCTTGAACCACCTTGGGAGGATTGTTCACCTAATGGCCACCAGATGGGAGCGATTCAATTCATTGAAAACCTTGATCGAACTTCTCTGACGATATCTGATGAGGATTTCGAGAACAATGTTGAAGCAGCAGTCTCTGTCATCGCCGAAAGACACGAAGAAGTAGAGATCCCACCATCACCGCCGCCACGTCATCCCACTCACCCGCAAATATCAGAAAAGTCTGGACTGAGTCAGCCAGAGGTCGTTCCTCGGAACTCCATAGAAGCCGAATACAGTACACCGAGGAGACCCACGTCCTCTCGAGACTATTCGAGGTCCCTTACTGGCAATGACGGGTCAGATGATCACACTGCCGTAAGTGGCTTGCTACGAACCATACAGAGGCCCTTGTCAAGCTTGGGTAGGATGTTCTCCGATGATGTTTCCAACCCGCAACAACCAGGGACTCGAGCCCAACCAGGACCTGCCTTTCAGCCAAATCCAACCCAGAGATTGTCACCAGCAGTGTTTCAACCGCCCCGAAACAGCAACGACATGATCAGACCCAGCGAAGAGCCCAGAGCGGTCGAGAAATCCGGTCGGAGCCGTGAGAGAAAGCTCAGTGCAGAAGATGCGGCTGCACGTCAAGCGAGCGCTGAATCAGCGGAAGCTCAGCGAATACAGCGAGCTGAGCACCAGGATGTAGTGGAGTCAGTAACAGTGTCAAAGCGTATATTAAATGTCTTGCTAATCAGCACTCCATTAGAACCCTTGCAGGGATGTTTCCAGATTTGGATAAAGATATCATTAATGACGTTGTAAGAGTGAAGCAGGGCAGGTAAGCAAACACACATGGTATTTGTGCAATTTGCACTGTGGCTGACGACCTTGCTTCCTGTGTAGAGTCGGGTTGGCAGTCGATGCTTGCCTTGCATTAAACCAATGATAGCCATAGAAGCTTTTTCCATATTCGATGGCTGAATGGAAACCGGACCGCCTACAATTGGGGTCTCAACGCAATTCTCTCTCAATTTTCGAGCGGTGCCTTCTACGAATCCTGTCATGCGTCAGTATGGTGGTCTGCACTTCTAGATTATTACAGCGCCTTCCTATTGCCACGGATGAGTCTCTGCTAACACATCATACATCGTATGGAATTTACCTGTACTGCCTTGTGATCCGGCAACAACTTGCAGTACACACTAGATTACGTTGTGAACTAGGCGCCAGCAACTAGGCACGCAACCGGAACAAGTGGCAGTCTTGGGAACTGGTCTTATTCCATGTTTGCACGATTGAGGGAGTCGAGCCGAGAGTTTTTGTGTTTGATGCGCAAACATAAGGCAGGCAAAGTGTTCGACAGAAGCAGAACCTCTCTCTTGGTTCCGGGATCCGGGGTTCTCTCATACCGTCACAACTGCTGCTTCATTCGACAGTATGCCTGCAGCATGGTAGACTTATATCCCCGCGAAGCTGTGTGAGACCTAAATCCACAGTTGAAGATAGACTCCATATCTAATGCAGACATGGTCATTGAAAGTCTGTTTCCACCAGTGGTGACTGCCAATTCGGAAGACGAACGAAGAGGCAGCGGATCGAGAATGATTTCGTCTTAGTTGGATGCACTTGCCGTCTATAAAGTCTCCGTGCTAGTTCCTAAAATTTTGCCAACTCGGACTTTCACCAACCACCACTTCCTACTCCCAAGGCTCTATAACTCGAACTCAACTGCCCAAATCTACGAACTCGCTACCCAACATTGGGAGATCCATCATGGCAGGTCCACGAGATAGGAGTCGTCATCGCGGGATGGAGAGACAACAGCAATATGAAATGCAGAACATAGACACATCGCAACGCAGCCCGACGGCTGAAGGCTCGGCTGCCCACGGCGAGGATTCATACGGTGATCGTAATCATGACCACCCGCAGAATTCAGGAGCTCAGCGTTTAGGCCGAAGGATTCTAAGGACGTGCAAAGAACGATCGGCTGGAGTTCTAAGGATGTGCAAAGGAGGATTAGCGAAGCACCGGATAATGACGATCTTAACGGCCTCCGCGATTTGCATCTTATTCATCGGTGGTCTTTGGGCTTTCGGCGTTCTCAACCGTAGTGCGGACCCTTCTGACTACGGGCTCGATTGGGACATTGGACCAGCGATGGGACACTACCAGTCCACGAGAACAGTCACCCACCCCACGGTGTATAGAACAGTGACGGTCCACTATCAACAATTCTACGGTGCCAGGCCAGTACACCATCAGGCACCAATAGCGGTCCCTTCGAATCTCGAAGCAACGGGGCAGGTAGTACGTCAAGACCTGTCACACCCCAACGTAGTGACAGCAAGATCCACTGCAGTCTCTGGACTGTACTTCATACCCATCTCAGTCACAAATGGAGGTTGGCCACAGACGCAGCAGGACTCTCATTCTTCCTCCCGCTCTGCCAACAATACCGAAGGCTCACGAATCCTGCAGAGAGACCCTAGCTTGGAGGACTCGGAACCAGAAGCCAAGCCTCTACTAGAGTCTCGCGAAACCGGCGCTTCTCGCAATCTGGTCGCCGGCCAAGTGCACGCAGACACCATTTCTTTTACTCGCTGGGGAGTGGAGATATTGTACGACTTGCGTCATCGCAGCATTCCCTTGGATAAGGGATGGTGCATCAAAAATGCATGCAGTCCTCACAAACAGCTCAGTCCTATGTGCAACACGAACAAGACCATCTCCGATCCTTTCCGAAAGCAAGAATGCGAATGGTGTTGGCCAGAGAACCAGAGAAAGCACCAGGAGATCAATAATCACTGCTCGGAAGTCTCGAAACGTGCGCTTAACGCTATGCTCATCATCTGTGGCATATTTCTCTTTTGCACGCTTCTCATCGCCATCGTACTGGCTACACGAATGTTCCGTCACAGGCGAAGGGCCAAAGCAGACCGCGTTCTCCACAAGCATGCGGCAAATGCCTGTCCTCTTCAGGAGAAAATCATCAGCATCCAAAGCCATTGGGTCTCGCACGGCATGTCAAAGTTTGGTAGATCTTCCAAAGCCGCAAAGATTAGAGTTGATGACATCGCGATTAGAAAGCGCTCGCCGGGTGAGACTGTTGGCCTAACGCCTTGGTACGGACAGGTCTTTGCAAAGTCAGGGGAGCGCTCGAGAATTAGCCCAGAGAACCCGGCTCCTGATCGATCGCGACTCCAGAAGCAAAGAAAGGAGCCCGTCGATCAAGATATCGCCGTTGGAGCTGGGGCTTTGCGGGAAAGAGTCCCAATCCTTCCTCCAGCTCCCCCTGCTATTAGCTCTCGGGTGTTCTCTGACATTGAGAACATGGGTCAAGGGAGGTTGCTGTCGGACCCGGGGACTAACAACAGCCAACACGATCCCCAAGGGATGCCGCGCCGATCTTCAAGACAGTCTAGGGCCGTCAGCTCAGGCAGCGAGCAGAGTGCTTCCGGGGCAACGCATCGTCGAGATGCTGGCGCTGGCCTCTACAATCTACAGCGCCTCACAGAGCGTAGCTGAAGCTTCGGTTGGCCGAAAATCCACAGTGCAAAGGCTGGTCATGCACTGTTTCTCATAACTCATTCTCAACATTGCTAGCTAGAAAGGAGCTATCACATGCGTCTGTTTAGTTTAGGGGATCGCAAGCAAACCTGCGTTTTATTGTTATGCGCCGAACAGGATATGAGTCTCTTCTTCACCTCCCATGTTGGGGAACTGAGCAGCATGGCATGGCATTACATGGCAGGAAGATTGACTTTTCTCAGTATAGACTTGCATTACCACTGAGCATGGTACTTGTAATGTTAGTGCGATTCAATAGAGAAAGCAGTGCCAATGCATTTTCTATTTTATTTGAACCGCTCGAGCCCCAACGAGTCAAAGCCATTTTCAAAGGTCTCTTCTACGGCAAACAGAAACAAGAAGAAACTGCACCGACAAGATTAATGAAATCCAACATGGAACCGAAACGCTTTCCCATTGATTCTCCAATGAAGTCTTGTATCACTGGCTAGGTAAGATACCTTAGTTTTAAGCTTACCACTACCGGATGCTAAAAATACCTGTATGGCTGCCGGGCGATGCGCGTAAGATATCCACAAGTGTATTTCATGATTACGGAATTACTGTACCCTAGACTCTAAGGTACCCCAATTTTCCTTCGTCTCTAGGGGTCAGGACTTGGTTATATTTCTCAAAAAAAAACAACATCCTCTGCTCTCTTTCCTCTGTAATCCATACTTAAACTCACTCACTATCCATGGCTCCACCAGAGGTCGACCCGCAGATCAAAGCTCGTGGGAGGGACGTGCATTGGTATAAAGCGGACATAGGAGAGATCAGTGAACCGGCTCGACGGCTCTTTGAGAACTATAGTAGGATACCCCCAGACGCAGTAGTCCCACACATTGCGGAAATTGTGAGTTTGACCGTCTTTATGTAGACTTGTGCATGCGAACCGTCCTACATACGAAGCAAGACGCCGGAGGCTAACCTTGGCCGTTAGAGAGATCGCGCTTGGAACATATTTCCTTATCCCTGCATAGGCCAATGCCGTTTCCTTGACCTCTCGATTTCCCTTTCTCCCCTCTATCCGACCATCCTCCGTCGTCTCAAGGAATCCAACCACCTTCTTTTAGACCTCGGCTGCTGCTTTGCACAGGATATCCGCAAGCTCGTGTCCGACGGAGCACCGAGCGAGAACGTTTTCGGGGCAGATTTGAGGCCGGAATTTGTAGATCTTGGTAAGCACAGTTCGGAGTGACTGCTTCCTCATTCGTACCGATACCGGGATCGAAGGACCCCGTTTCGAGAGCTGGATCCTCTTGTTATTGCCCAACCCTACCTTGCGAATTGCGTTCTCGCCTCAAGAAGCAATGTTGACTCGGAAATCTGCGTAGGATACGATCTTTTCCGTGATAGAGACACGCTGAAGAGCAAGTTCTTAATCGGAGATATATTCGATGAGACTACTGGTTCGACATTCAGAGAGTTTGATGGCAAGGTTGACATCATCTACGCAGCGAGCTTCTTTCATCTCTTCAATTGGGAGGACCAAGTTGGCATGACGGAGCGAGTTGTGCGCTTGTTAAAGCCAGTCGAAGGCTCACTCATTTTGGGAAGGCAAAGAGGGAACGTCAATTCTGGAGAGTATGAGCATCGAACGAACTCAAAGGCAACTATGTTCAGACACAACGAGGAGAGCTGGAAGGAGATGTGGAAGCAGGTAGGTAAGGCAACGGGGTCATTATGGGATGTGAAGGTGTGGTTGGAAAAGGACGAGGACTTTGGGCGGTACGGGAAGAACGATGGGAACATCAAGCTAGATTTAGGAGATAGAGGCCTGAGGTTTGAGGTTTCTAGAATATGATCAAAGGTCATTCAATCTCGCTCTTCTTCCTCTCCTTCTTATGCACGGCTAGTATCATCTTTATTATTTCGAGTATGGGACTATTCGAACTCGGTCTTCGCTGAACTAGCATGTTTTTCATTTAAGCGCAACTGCTGAACGCCGCCCTAGGGTATCTTCTCGAATATGGATGGTTGAAACCGTCTAAACGCTCGAAAGATTTGGACTCTCTCCACTCGTTGTATACATTCGAATTTCCCAACCCTCCCAACTCAGAAATCTCTGCTCCCATCCCGTAAATTGGTCTGTTTGCCGCCATGACTCTTCTTTTCTAACAACGTTGAGTCTCGTCGTCGCTGTGATGCCGGCTCAGGTGCCCACCGAACGTGTCCTTGCTTGAGTGTGTCACCAGCGTGGTTTCCCGCCTGTCCCAGGTACCGATCACGCTGTGCTCGAAGTTGCTTACGTTCTGGTCGTATGAGAGGTCCCTGTGGTGGCTCTGATAAGAGAGCGGCTTCGATGTCTTCGGCACTGTAAGATGTGAGGATATGAGCTACATAGGGCGGTACCCTCAATTGTGCTGCTCGATTGGCTCTTCTTTGGTTTTCGGACTCCTTTTCCTGCGCTTCTCGAATACCTGCAAATACGCCTGCTTGCTCTCGAACCTTCACTCTACGTGCGATTTCTGCCGCTACTTCTGAGCTCAAGGGTGGTAAGCTTTCCAAGTCAGTGACTTTTCGTGGGGGTGCACGGATTCGCCGATGGGTTGTCGGGGCTTGGAACCCTATAGCTGGGCCGATGTCGAGAGGACCGTATTCATAAGATTGCATGATATACGGGTTACCAGGTTCGAGATCTCCAGTAATTTGAGAACAGTGTTTATGTACGATATTGTACTCTGGCATCAAGGCGGGCTCGATCGGTCTCAGGAGTGGACTCCGTCCCAATGTGGTGGTTGATGACGGTCGACTCTTCGAAGATGATGTAGTTGATGCGCTCTTGGGGGCAGAAACATCTGTTGGTGGAGTGTCGGCTGCGTCACTCCTGCATAACGTAGGCGAGGCACGTAACAACGAAGCATGTGGCAGGGCCCGTGTTTGAGGCGTTTGGGCGTATCTTTGACCACATGCCAAGTGGGATCTTGCATATACCTCGCCCGCTATTTGACGCTGTGTGTACTGCTCATAGAGACCTGCAGATGCATTAATCCGGCGGCTGAGTAGACACTGTGCGCTCTAGACTGACCTTTGCCAACGATGGCCTGAATCAGACCTTCGAGATTGCCGACCATTGCGCCAGAAGCCAGGAGCCAGGGTCCAGTAACCAGCTCTTGTGCTGAGCTTAAAAGGTCGTACATCTAAACCAACAATGTAGAGTGCGTTCTTAGAGTTGAAGGTCGGACTTTTTTGGACTCTGATTTTATTTGACAAGTTCCTGACCAGGTAAGGTGAGTGAAGATTTGAGCGTCTGGTTGAAAGTGACAAAAGACAAATGTGTTGTGTACTGACCAACAACACCCACACTTGATGTGTCAAACATCGCGAGCATGATTCTCTTCCATCAGGTGTTAAATGTTTCGCACAATATGCCAAGGTGCACATAATCGTATCGGGCGCGAGGAACGCTGCTCCACACATATCGTGCAAAGAAATACGATCAGTAGTGAATTATGAGAGCCACGAGAGTCGTTGAGTCTACGGGTTCAAGCATTAGGCAAATCAAGGATAGTAGTTAATCGGCATAGCATTCCATCACACGAAAGGTTTATTGGTTCCAATCCGTTTCAACTGGAAGAAAGGAAGGTCAGTGGGTCGGTGGCAGCTAATAAGCCCCTTTGAGGTCGCTGGGCACCATGAATGGCCGCTGAACGGGGCGCCTCCCCTAGCAGGATTAGGATGCGAGAGTGTTAAACAACCAGTCCAGCGTCAGTAGGGGTTTCGCCCTCAGAAATGCCATCGCGGGTGGTACTGCAGCCTCAGCAGTTGCCAGTGAAGCAGATGCCGGATCGCGCAAGAAGGCTATCACCATTGCAGTCGTTACAGATGCATGGGATTTGGTGCTGGCTTCGTCAGTTGCAGTCACACGGATATTGCGCGAAAGCAGCTTGAACAGCTATTGAACACTCTAAATATGAGGGAACATTAAGAGCTGGTAAGAGGTCAGGAAGTGCTCGTGCTATGCCATACAAAATGTAAGTTATAGGTGTTGTAGCAGGAAGGATACATATCACTTTCCTCTCTCGCGCCAAGGCAGCCAGGTCAGCAGGTCCTTAGTTCGTAGTGGATCTGCAGTGGTTAGACCGGCTTGGATAGGCGCAGAGCGTTTGTGTGTCTACTAGAAAAGCGGCGACGATGGGATCAAGATTTTATAACAACCTCGCTCGCTTCGCTCCCTGCTGTCAGCCTCAATCCCTTAGTTCCTTGTTCGTTTTCCTAGATCCTCTCGGCCTGTTCGCTCGGACCTACAGCCTAGACTGCTCAATGATTCCTAAAGTACAATTGATATGTCTTTGTCAAGTTGTGAGGGCAATGCTCTCGAGTTATACGTATCCTCAGGGCTCAGCGTGCATCATTCTACCTGGACATTTCTTTCATCGCGTAACCTACGATTCCAGACCCCCGAAACTGAAGACTAGAGCGAATCTAATTTAGCAGGGATGCTTCGGAACCTTGAGGTAGCCTGTAGTCTCAGTAGACTACCACCAAACACTCCACATCCTATGGTCCGTGTTGCTGACTATGGCCTTTCTGGTTCTCCACTCAACAGATTTTTCGGCTTCAAACTTGATATGTAATGATGCTTCTTTACTCCAGATGAGCGTGCGGTGACGGTTCCAAATGCCTTGAGCTTTAGCTTTAGATCATCAAGCCTTGGATTCTAGTCCCCTGTCCGATTTGCTCCCCATTTCATGAACCAGCCCGAGGCTTGCGGTAATCCCCACGTTTCAAGCTCCATCCTCAAGCGTTTTCTCCGCTCGAAATCTTCAAAGTCTGCTACTGAGAGACAGAAAATCAAGGTCAGGGGAAACAGAGGGCTTAGTGGCAATCCAAAAATCAGAGTAATAGCCGGCAGACTCCCAATGTAGGATACCTAGTATATTTCCATCATCAGACACAATAATGTTCCCTGGTCCAGGTCTAGATGATAGAAATGGAAGTCTCCTCTCAGCATTGAACAGTCAGCCGAGGGGGCCGAGACATGTCCCATGCACTCCTCGTGCGTAAAAGGACCTAAAAGCTCAGAATCGGATACTATTCGATAAGGCTCAAGAACAGGCTTCCCCGTTACGCTCCTCAGTATCGGAGACATATTCTTGGCCAGGAGGTCGCAATACATTGCAACGTTTCTGACGACTGAGACGCGCTGAGAAGGCGATAAGGATATCCAGCCATCACTTAATGTAGATCCTTCAATTCGCCTCAAATTGGAAATGACCCATCCCCTTCCATCCAAGCGTGAATAACCTCCAGCGTAGGTATGTGGGGTGCGATCTTTTTGACGAAATGGATCGTATTTTCCTTTGACTCTATGTCGGTATTCCAATCTTTTACTTTGCAGAAATCCTGTCTGCCAATCTTCCAGACACCGATAAGGTCCCTCCTTCATACACTATTTAATATTACACCTGAAGCTCCAACCAAGATAGTGAGGCGATGTCACCGTCATTTGGCTTGCGCAGATGGGGTGCAGTCATCCTCTTCCCAGGCAGCAGTTGCATCCTCAGGCTGACTGGTTTTGATCCTTTCACACACCAATGATCCAACATACCAGCAATTTGGACCGATGTGCTTGATCGATTGGTTAAAGGACAAAGGCATCATGCTGAAGAGGCCAGAGGCAACGAGGATGGATGATGTTTCAGGGCGGTGTAGGTCTCCGATTATCAACAACTATGACGGGGACCATAACACCTGCCGTCAAAACGTGATGTCTAGGTGGAACGGAAAGTGGGTGCTCTGCAGTTTTGTGAGCATTACAGAGTACAGATAGAGAGATGGTGCAGAGGTCGCACAACCTCTCACTCAGCCCTACAACGGGAATTTTTCTCCGTTATGTCCAGGAACGACTGCTACTGGGGCCACTCTTCCACACGAGAGGAGTTAAGACAGGTTTCTTTTCTGCCCATCTGCTATTTGAAAACCACAATGGCTACGTAGGTGTGCGCAGCCACCTTTCTATGAGACAACCTTCCCAATCCAAGCTAATTCTTTGGCCTTCGTCAGCAACATAACGTGGCACCCTTCGTCCGTCACGCACCAGGAGCGCACCACCCTTCGTGGCCAGAAAGGTTTCACGTTGTGGTTCACTGGTCTCTCCGCCAGTGGTAAATCTACTATCGCCATCGCTTTAGAGCAGCACCTCCTGCACCTGGGGCTGGCCGCCTACCGACTTGACGGGGACAATGTACGATTTGGATTGAACAAGGACTTGGGTTTCAGCGAGACAGATCGGGGAGAGAACATTAGGAGAATTGCTGAGGTACTTTACCCTAAGTCAGTACAGTCTCGGTTGTAGTACTGAGGGTCTTGTCATTTCAAGGTCGCACTCCTTTTTTCAGATTCCTGCACTGTCGCCCTAACCTCTTTTATCTCACCATATCGGTCCGATCGCGCTCTAGCCCGGACTCTGCATGTCTCTCGATCGATCCCTTTCATAGAAGTATATGTTCACGTTCCTCTCTCCGTGGCTGAGTCGCGAGATCCGAAAGGACTATATGCAAAAGCAAGGAAAGGAGAGATCAAAGAATTTACAGGCGTGAGCGCACCGTATGAAGAACCACAGGATGCGGAAATCGTGGTCAAGAGTGGGGAGACGGGAGTAGAAGAGGCAGTAGTGCAGATAGTCAAGTATCTAGAGGAGAAGGGGTTGCTAGCCAGAGGAGACAAGACCTAAGCAAACGAAGACAGCTTATCGGTCAAGATGCCGGGTACCTTGCGGTGCATAGAGAACTAGCTCTTGGATGTTATTTACGCCACGGCAACCACTTAAACCTATTGAATCTCAAACTCATAGCAAACGTACGCCGCATAGTCTCCATCATTGCCCATGTGCCCAGCTGCTTGCATGTCTGCCGAAGTCGCAGAATCATCTTTGGCAACTCTGCCTTTCTTATCTCGACCGAAGGCGTTGCCCGCCAGGTATGAGTATGAAACGTCCAGTGAGCTTCGCGCTTTCTTTGCCAGCTTAGGTGTGGTCTATTGACAACTGAGCGTCAGTGGCGTACAATACGAGATCTGGTGTATTGGAAAGAAGCGCTGGAACTTGACATACCCGAAGTAGTCCACAAACGAATTGTAAAGGCAGCCCATAACGGAGCACTGTTTCAACGAACACTCTCAAAGCAAGCACATGGACCCAAGCCATCACAGCTTCGCCCCATGCCGTCCTCCCTAACCTCAATGCCTCACCCCAGACTTTCCTCTCATCCTTTCCCACGCGTTCTACTTCCTTCTGCTCCTCTTCCTTCCCACCCTCCTTGTACTTGAAGTCTCTTGGTGTCCACTTGCTTTCCCTGCATTTATGGACGAATTCTGAACTATGTTTTTTGAATGTCGTAACGGCGTAAAGAGTGAACTCGTCATCGGCATCTATCAATTGAGCGGAGCGGGGCACGATCATTGGTGATATGGTCTCATAAGTCTTGAGAAAATCTTTGGTGATCGTGTTGGGCACAGCAATTAGGTGGGTTTCGAGGTACTCGGAATTCTGGATCACAAGGGAAGGGTCGACGATTGCTGTAAGAGATTTATTGGAAAGGTTGCCACTACAAGAAGTTGTCATTCTCTCTACCTGGCTCGGAAGCGGGAAAGGGAGCTTTACGTCTGCTTTCTTTGTAATGTGGTGAGAGAGGTCTTGACCTGATTATACTGGTTGTACTTGTTCTTGACGTCGTTGTCGATGCTGGAGATCTCCTGTATGCAAGATCAGTATTAAAGAGAGCTCATTCGTTCATTGTAATTTCCAGGTACCTTCTGAAGCGTAACAACGACTTCACCCAGGGGTTTGTCTGCTCGGTATTTGACTTTGTTCCAATGAAAGGACTTCAGATATTGTTCGGCAGGCTCTGACTCCCACGTCAGCAGCTGTAGTAAGGGTTCGGGTTCGGTATCGCATTCTCCTACTGTCATTGACAGTTTTCTGCTGTGAGATCTTCTCCTCATCGCCCTCTAGTATATTTCTCAGCGAGTCTCCCACCTTGCCCACTACAGCCTCGCAACCTTGCGCCAACTTGGCCAAGTCATCCGCCTGTTGTACTAGAGCATCTAGAGTACCAATTTTGAATTCAGGTATCTGGAAAGGGAAGACGGTCGCGTAATCAGTTGTCACAGCTGATCGTAAAGCTGTGAGAGCTTCGTCGTGGTCATTACTGGGGGAGATTGAGGTTGGTAATGAAACCAAAAGGTACTTGAGACCTTTTGACATGTTATGACCAGAAAGTTAAGATTTGGGTAAGAATTTAGAATCATTCGCAGGCAGAGGGGGAGGATTTTGGAGTTTCATGAGCTTGCCACCCACGACTCTTGGCACTAGAAGAGCCCCAGGCTCGGTTCGCAATCACCTAGAGCTCGCCGCCCTAGCACCCGAGCGCGGGCGACAGGGGTGCCTAATTTGCGTGACGGACATAACGTGGGGTGAGCAATGGTGCTCCGAACGTTGCACCTATTCACAGGAGGTAGAAAATGGCTTCCACCCACGACTTGCCTATATGTACCTCTATTCTAGTGTCCCTCCTCCTTCTTACTCAATTTGCTCCCACCAGCGCTTGGGTGAGGGCTAATGAGCAGCCGGGGTTTTCCACGACTCTGTTTTCGGCTTCCATGTAGCCGTTTTCTGCTCCTCTTTTGAGGTTCCGTGTCCGATACCCTCATTGCTTCACATGTATCGTAAAAGTGCCCTTACAAACCCTCTGCGGTCTGCGACAAAGGCAGAAAACACTGGATCTGCGAAAACTTGAAAGCCTGGGATAAGAAAGCGATAGGTATAATTTTACGAACACTGAAGGTGACGGCGCAAAATCGCTTTGTAGTAGCTAATCAATTTGCCTTAGGCTATCGAAGCGTGGTCGGATAACATCAAGGACAAGTGGTCTAGAGACACTTGTGGAAGAGAGCGACTTCGAGACCAAGGTTGAAGACGAGGCTACATTGCGCAGCTATATACGCCCTACTCGTCTCTCGCAACGACAGCTCAATTCGCATCCAGCGTTTATGGTTGACAGTAGCTTTGGTCAACAGTTTGAGGCTATCCGAAAAGACCGCGACCGTGAATTTGATCATTCCGTGGGGCTGCATTGCTTCTGTGGCCGGCGCGATGAGGGTTGGACGATCGGCTGTGGTGGTTGTAAAGGGCGGCAACATGGCCGGCGCGTAGGACTTAAGAAGGAAGACAGCGATTGTATTGGGAATCATGCCTGCAAGACCTGCACGGAGACGAAGGGCATGCGTACGACATGGCTTGTGCTGTGCAGTACTCTAAATTGCAAGGAGTAATTTGCCTGTCCTGCAAGTCTCAGCTTCATTTCAGTGCGCGCGGTGTGTTAGTACGAGGTCCCAAGCCCGGCTGACTGGAGAAAGAGACCAAAGCCTGGTTTGCCACAACGTGCAAGCAGCAAGCAATGGTTTTATCTTTCCTGAGGTCACCGAGAAATGTTACATTACGCAGGATTCAGCCTCTAAAGGCAAACTGTGCCTTAGCAAAGAGGTGACCCCTTCCGCGTCACTCCTTCAGTGGCAGCAGGACAGAAATGTCTAGTCGATTCAACGCATGCGGAGAATTGAGAGAACGCTCCTTATAAAAAGGGAAAAGTTCCGGAATTCTGAGAGGTTGTCGAGCTGCACGGGTCTCGAGTTTCTTCATGGCCTCAGGCTTTCCTTTAGTGACTGGCTCGGGGAAGCAGAGGCTGAAACGATGGCGTCTCTGGAAGGAGTAGCAAGATGCGGCATTCACTATCGAAGAGAATGCCTTGCACAATCTTCATTGCCTCAGGATAGAACTAAAATCTGTGCTATCCTGCTTCAAAAGCTCCGCTGTTGTGAGGAGCAGTGGCGAAGAGCCTTCGATAAAGGCCGTGGTCTGGATACGCTAAGTGTTCCGTCATTGACTAAGGGAGTGTCATGCGATCATTCGACAGCGCCCTATCAAGTGCCCTCGTGAATGGCCGAACGGTGCTTACACGTACTGCAATACCTGGCTTATGAACAATTTAGGACCGAGATTCTTGGTCTCCGGAAGCGTTCTAAGCGACCACTCTAGCAGCATACTTAATCTTACTTGAGGGAAGTAGGTTTATTACACAGGCCGATCTAGAATGCAGTGCTACAGTTTGGTTGAACTTCAAAAGGACCTACTGTAGACAGTCCACGCGGTTCACCTCAGTACCTCGGTTTACTTCGCTTCCAAAGCTGATGCGCGCCCGATTTGCTGCGTCGCAGCATTCAATGTATGTATGGATTGCATTCAATGCACTGCCTGCAAGGTAACTCTTATTTCGACGGAGGTATAGGGACTGGCCTCTGTATCTGGGCCATTTGAAGCAGCTTATACCTGAAACGGCTAGCATTCCATACAAGCAATACATTGAGGACTGGAATTCATCCACCCGAAGACTGCAAAAGTATCTATCATCGCAACACACACATCCGCCCTCTCTTGAGTATTGCAGTCTCGCGTCACGGTCTGGAGGCTAAAAAGATTCCAACGAGTGGCAATTGGTCAAAGACAATGCACAACGGACCGATCTCTTCAGCTTATTTGGGACATAGCCGATGAACATCGCAGTATATTTGATCCGCTAATGAAGGCAATTGAGAGTGGGTGTTGTGTTGCAGATGCTTGCGTCGACCTAATCATATTGATGCGTGGTAGAGGGAAAGTCCAGTTTGGTTGGTCTGAAGAAGAGCTCTACATACTTACAGTCGAAGATCTCATGTCGGTCCTTCCAGGAAAAACGCTTAGCGCCATAACGATGTACCGAATCATGAAGATGGCCGCGCCCGATAACGAAAATCTGTCCGTGTTACCTCCGGTGATGGTGACTGCTTGGGCCCGTGATCCCAAGAACCCATGCTTTGTCCAGCGCATCAAAGACTATTTCGAATTCAGAGACACAGCCTCGACAACGGTCTATATCTTGCCGACCCGAATCCAGGAATCGACATCGTTAGCAGTCTGTTCGCTGACGGCAACCTATTGCATTGCTCTGTTAGTCCGCCTTGAAAGAACCTTATGCGATTTCAAAAAAAAACTGAAACATCTCTTTGCCACTCTCTGCCCGAAAGGCTATTTGCCGAATCGATTCCATGAGTTTCCTCTCACGTTCGCGAAGGGTTGATGGGTCAAAGATGCTGGAGCGCTCCTACTTGGGGTGTTCTGTGCCACCACAGGGATTAGAGGAATGGCAGAATTTGTAGAATACGGAATGCTAGATCAAACAGATCCCCTCTATTATGACATAGAGTCAATCCGTCTGGCAAGCATTTGGCACTTCGATGCAGTCCGTGAAAATAGAACATGCTTCTGACGAAGAAATTGTAGCAGAAGACTCTCAGGTACAAACCGATTCTCAATCCAACGAAGACAGCGAAAGTTATTGGTCAATGGACTGTGAGACTAGTGTGGACAGAGCGAGTAACGAAGACGAGGAACTTGCCGGGTCTGAAAGCGAAGGTGCTGAAGATTTGACAGGCACTTGGGATTAGTTTCAGAATATTGATATGAACAATGACCAGGCGGCTGAGTCGCTTATGAGAAATGCCATTACTGAGGCCGAACGACTCTATTTCGAATCAACTGAGAATGAAGCCAATATCTTGACCGTCATTAGATAGGAATGAGAATGATCAATTTGGTAAGCCAAAAATTTGCAGTTACGGAGATAGACTGGCCTGCGTTCCACCTCTAGCCGTTCTACGAATACACGGAGACCGAGCACCATTCAACGCTTTCAAAAATGGTACCTTGAAATCATAACTAACATAGCGGTTCTAATGCTTGCTATTCGATCATGGAAGCGACATCAAGCTACTTCTGTAGGATTGTTTTTAGTTATCGTCGTGAATGCTCGTGACGAGTCCAGAAAACGATTGCTCGGACTACTTACGCATCCTAAAGTTCTACCATGGGAGATTCAGTATCTGTTTGGAAGAGGTGACTAGACATGGGATATGCTAGATCATCTTCAACGGATCAACTTCGAGAATCCTGGGTCCATTGGCGAGCAAACATCATGGTACCTTGGAGTCTCTCATACTCCGGATGACGATGGTAATTCTACCAACCTGTACAACGGTAGTGCAGGGAGCATAGTCCCTCTCCATGGACTTGTTGGCGAAGCAAGAAGAATAGCCCATGACCATTAAGGCGTGCTTAGCTTGGGCTATGAAGAAATCTGTCGACGGAAAAAAGAAAGAGCAGTGAAGTCTTGCTCTTCGGTGCTTTTCATTCACGAAAAATGGCTACCCCGGAGCTAAGTTTTTTTTTGGTTCTCAGTAGCGCGTTATCCTATCATTACAACTCGGCGTCTGAGAGCTGTCACCCAGACATTCGTCGTGCTCTCGGAAACTGCGAACATGATAATCCTTGGAACTCTATACAGAGGCGAGAAACACTTACCCTGAGCATCTATGGGCAGTCTTGCAAGGATGTGTCAGGACATCACAACGCATCTGCAGCCCCAACAGCTGCCGCAACCTCAGTGGGTTGGTACGAACAAGTTACTACATATATATCAGAGGTCCGATCGTGCCTGGGAGATTTTCCCAAATGCCCCTAGCATGGCAAATTGGCCGGTACTACACCAAGTTCTTTATGACCATTGGCAACAAAGAGGCGCATGGATTCTCTCTCAAAAGGAGTGCAATGGATTTCTGTCAGCTATGGGATCCTCTAAGTGTTGCGGAGCTACAACCAAAAACTTGTACTGGCAACTATTGAATGATCACGGCGAGAGATACGAGGGAGACTATTGTGCTTGGCTCAGGAGGCTCGCCATCTTGTGGATAGCCATCATACAGCAAGCCGAAGAGCTAGATCTCGTCCGTGGCCCGCACGAAGGGCTATATGAGCTAGGAATAGGTGGTCTCAGCTGGCATTATATGTATCTCTGTTGTGGCGCAGAGGCTAGCACCTGTCGACATCCGCCACCTCTGTCTCGTGCAAAATTGCCTAGATATCTTTCAGAGGAAATCTAGTCGCCACTTCAATAAGAAGATACTCTGTCAATCTGACTGGGACCGTCTAAAAGGTGATTTCTTTGCTCTGATCTTCATTGTTATCGTCATGCTTACTGTCTTCTAATTGGGTTGCCAAGGCACTTCGGCCAGAAAAGGCGAAAGAAAATAACTAAATTTGATCTCACAAGGGTAAAAGAGCAGGTCCAACCACTGTCCTTTAATGCACACGAATATTCAATGCAAGCATACATTACAAAGTAACGATGCTCAATCTATGCTCAATCTATGCTCAAGCTACTAGAGCGGTTCCTGCCAGGACGATTCGCTGTTAGTGAAGACTTCGTGTGCCCTTTACCACCAGAACACACCCAGGATGACTTCGATCTCCTTGAACGCCACAAGTACGGCAAAAGTGAGACGAATGAGGCCGAAACTTCACAAGCCGAGAGAGCCCCCAGGCCTAAGGTTCTCAAAAGAGCAAGCGTCGCGGAAACAAAATCGCCGGAACCTATGTTTACGTCCTCTCAGGAACCTCCAATCATGTTCTCGAAGGTTGAGCCCTTGGGGTTTATAACGAAGTGGCGCTGTCCAAAGTGTAAAGTCCTCTAAAAGGCAAGTATTCCCAGCTCATTGGCCATGAATCCGATTGCAAGGGCAGACGTCAGAGCTGTAGGGAACTTGACATCCCTTGCAATTTAATCCAGGGAGCGTGGGCGTGCAGCAAATGCAAGAGCCAATGCATGGCATGTCACGGGCGCCCAGGCTCCAAGTACGAGCATCCTCAACTTCGCTGTCCGCAATGTGGGTCACTAGATAAATGGGGTCATCTTCGAAAGCATGTGCCACACTGTGTGGGCAAGTGCAAGCAGTGTGACGAACGTGGTGTTCCTCGTCGTTCTACTAAGGGTTGCCGCGGCGTTGCTTGTGCTATTTGTATCAAGGATGAATTGGTGTGTAGCGGCCGCAAAGTGGTACGTAGCGGCCCCAAGGCTAGAAGATTGGAACCTGTGCACGACGTGAGAGCCAAATGTTTCACACCCGGGTTACTATGTACCTGCGGTCATGCAAGGGGAAATGCAAACGGTGTAATGGACATGGGGTTGCTTGTATTTGGAGTCCAGTACGGAATAGATGCGTCTATTGTAGAGAACGCCGGGTAGCCCAGAAAGTAGGAGGAAATTGACTGCAAGTTCGATTTTTTCATGGGCCCAGTTTAGTAGACAGAATTGAACAACATCATCCTGGCCTACTAAGCTTCACAATCTCGTCCAACATTAGCCCGCTGCTCGAAGCTCATCCATCCCACAGCATCTCATCTCAGTCGTCTTGCTTCACGTTCAGATTCGAGTAGGCGAAGAATATCATCTTCACGGACTAAAGCTAATCAGTATCTTGTTCTACATTGAGGATTGTAACATACCAGGTCCCTTAACATTCCTGATAATACTGCGCGTCATGAATTCGACACGGACTTGACTTACGCCGCCACGAGAACCTGAGTATTATGTAAATACAGACCACAGCTGTTTTAAAGTTGAGTATGCACCTGTACGGCCAAGCACTCTAGTCACCTTCACAAGCTTGACTGGAATCTTTGAAGAATCCATTGCAGATGATAGGGGTTGTGCAGAAAGTTGGACAAGTGAAGATTCTGTGTTGAATTTTTTTCTCTTTTGTGGTGTGTGTGTGGGATGAAGAGATTATGTAGCGAAAATCAGGGAAACACGCAGACCCAATTTGGAGAGGTCGTCAAGCTCGACAGAGTACGGTAGGCTGAGATTTTGAACTTTCTCTGAGTTTGCATCGAGGAGAAAGTGGTCAGTTCAAACCGGACGGTTTTGTTGCTACCTTACTTTTGACTGCCTACTCCGGCCCACAGCCTTACTCGAGTACCGAGACTTAGGTAAGGTAGCCGAAGCACCAGCCCTGTGACATCCTAATCAGACGCCCAGGAATAGGAAGTGGGGAGATAGGCAGGAAGAAGAAGGTCACCGCAGATGACTTTCGCCGACTGTGGGATACATTCGACTCCATGACCGTTGAGAAACCGGATGCCGAAACTACAAGGAGGACCAGTATGGTGATACAGGAAATATGGAAAAGGTAGGATCGAATTGATTCCCGTAAATGCTTCAGTTATGCCCAGCAACGTCAGCTGTTGTTGCGATATGATCAGAAAAGAAGACCTTTCGCAGTGTACAAAGGGGGACTGTATGGCCTTTTTTGAGACCTCACTCCATGGTCTCACCCGAGTCGCGCGATTTACCGCGGCAACTCACCTTGATCTGTCCTCTTGGCGAAGTGTAAACTTCTTTTCCGAGCGCAACATCATTTCAAGGTCGCTTTGAAAGCGAATGTTCGTGGGGTGAGGAACGCTTTTGAGATAACGAGCATGAAGTCTGGGATTTTTGTTTAGGCAGTTTCCTGTCTATGCCTCTGGAAGTGCATAGTATCTGCGGACTCTAGATTATCTATAATCTTTGGCTCGCTTCACGGAGCCCTTCTGCTGAAAACAAAGTGCTCTCAACAGGAAACCTAGCGTGACAGTTGCTGCCTTTTAACATCATAGACACCTGTCATCGTTGCATCTTCGGGGTTCTAGGGTTTGGGAAGTGGATCCTCAGAGTTGCGCTGTTAAACTGCAATGTGGTTTGTGCTCCAGCCCAAGATCGATGATGTTCATACCCGTGCAGAGGGCCCAACACTATTGGATGGATCACCAGGACATTTGTCATACCACTGTTGCTTCCAAGACTCTTCGCAGCCGGGTCGGATTGATAACCGCAGCCGATGTTGAAGCATGGCTGTTTCCATGAAACCTGACGCCTTACTTCAGGCACTCAGCCATTGAAATACTGGTCATTTGTTTTGATTCGCGAACAATTTTGGTAATGACTAAAACTCTGTGAGCAGTATATCCCAAGTGCAGAAGCTGTCAACGGTGAGTAGAGCACGTACTTTTGCATATTTTGGCTCGATGAACAAGCCTTCAGCCTCGACCAGCAGTTTTCCGGGCTCTACTGTGTCTCCTAGCAGCTCTATCCTTCCCTTCACCCAAACTTTCCTGCCTTCAACCTTCGTCATTTCTGCTTTCAGTACCACGTATGACCCTGCAGGTGCCGGATTACGATAATTGATATTCAGATTCGCGGTTACCCCAATCTTGTTCGGCAGCGCTGAAAATCCACATCTCGCAAGTCCCTCATCCAGCAGTGTCGCTAGCAAGCCTCCGTGAATTATACCAACGTGTCCGCAAAGATCTGTGCTGAGATATGATATAGATAGAAGACTCTTGCCCTCCTCGAGAAAGACTAGTGGCGGAACCGGTATTCTGCCAGGGCCAATCAATGTGGCTGCTGTTAAGCTATGCTTGCGTTGGGACTCCGGGTACCGCAAATGCGGCCGCGACTCCGTCCAAGCTGAATTCGCACGTAGGGATCGAGACAATGGATGGCTGTTGATGTATTCGTTGATCCCAGCGGCAACGTCATCAGCTGTGTGGTATAAGGCCACGGAATCTGCATCTGTGGGAGCTGATATGAGAGCGACGATTGATGCGATGGCCGGCGCCGTGGCAAGGAGGAAGCCTGCGGATGTAAAGAAGATAGAGAAGGCGGAGATTGTAAAGATCCGACGGACACGGGCACGTCGGAGGCTTGACGAAGACGACGCTGCACACCGCGGTCAGAATCGGCTTTGAGATCATCTCCAGATGTGAGGAGGGCGGTAAATACTGAGGTTCGAGCTGTAGAGCCTTGATTGTGAGACATCCATGGAGGATGACCGGACCTTCACCATGTGATTGTGCGATGCGAGTCTCCATGGAACATGATGCAGTTCGGTACGACCGATGCGACACAAAGTTAGAGAAGCAAATACATAGCGGAAAGGAGACATTGAGACCAGTACATTATCTTACAGGAAGGCATCGGCTGGTGTGTTGACTTGGTTTTCAGTTTCCTCGCCAAACCTTCCTCCTGCGGAGGCGGAAGATGCCAGGGTCTGACAATAGTAGTCTCAGTAATTCAGACTCACGGCTAGCCGGGGTACCTATGGCCAGCCCTACACTCGTGCCTCGCTTCGGGGGCCAATCATATCGCAAGCTCATTACGGCATACCCCTCCCTTAGAGTCTGAGTAGGAAACCCCCGAATCGCTACATTGACCGTTAATTTGTGTGAGCCCACCGCAATAATTACCCCGTTAACGGGAAGTCGCGACTTCCTCCAATTTTCCAGCCATCACCACATAGTCTTTTGATATCAATTGAGGGGGCAATAGGCCTTTCGAGGTCGCTGAACAAGTACATAAACTTTTTATTATGATCGGATAGCTCGTTGTTGTCGCATAAGCTCATTCGGACCCGCGTTCTCCGCTGACGGTTACAGCACCCACCTCCAGCCGGTCACCCTCCGATGATTAAATTTCAGACGATGGCGTATCGTGTTCAGCATCATTGAAAGGTTATATAACGAGTCGGGTGTAATGATTGGATTATAAGTTTGACCGTGTTAGTGTCTGATGGAAATCGAGCACTGAAGTCATCCCCCTACATACACATCCATCAACTCGAAGGTGCATCACTCAGGAGTTGGAGGGAGCATAAAACACATACCTTGAATGGTTTTGACGCGCTTGACGCGTTCAAAACGGACTTGAGCGGACGAGGAGACTGTGAGGGGCGCTTAGGTACGCGATTTTTCTCTGACGACGACAGCGAGGTATCTTCGAACTACATATACTGACCTCTTCATACCTTGTAGGAATATCCTTCCTCCTGACGAATACGAAGTTTTAAAACATTTGGCGGACCAGTTCTGGAGCAAAGAGAAAAAGTCATATATTTGGTTCCTCGCAGCCATGGAGATATCTCAGCTATTTCAGTCATTTGGGCTACCGCAGCCATGGAGAGGTCTCAACTATTCCACCTATTTGGGCTATCGCAGCCATGGAGAGGTCTCAACTATGCCACCTATTTGGGCTATCGCAGCCATGGAGAGGTCTCAACTATGCCACCTATTTGGGTATCGCGCCATGGAGGTCTCAACCATTCACCTATTTGGGCTATCGCAGCCATGGAGAGGTCTCACTATTCCACCTAATTGGGCTACCGCAGCCATGGGAGGTCTCAACTATGCCACCTATTTGGGCTATCGCGCCATGGAGAGGTCTCAACCATTCCACCTATTTGGGCTATCGCGCCATGGAGAGGTCTCAACTATTCCACCTAATTGGGCTACCGCAGCCATGGAGATGTCTCGGTTATTTCAGCTAATCGGGCTACCGCAGCCATGAGTCTGTTGAGACGTACGGCGTTCTTGAGTACTGGTGCCGCTGCTATGGCTGAGTTAGCTGAGTTTTTAGTGGAATGGAATTGGAAGCTTACTTCTTAACCACTGCACCACAGCCCTAATTTGACGAGGGCCTATTTGACTATTTATTCGACTTTTTTTCAAGAATTCCAAAAAGGCCATATCACGTAGGTAGTTGCGCATTTTTGTTGAGGATCATATGTACGCAGGGTGTGAATATTACATATCGGGCAATACACCAAAAAATAAGTCTTGGCAGGGTTTCCTACTCAGACCCACCTCAAGGCCGGTGGGGCCAAGCTGAGACTATGACAATAGACGTATTCAAAACCCTCTGAAATGCTTGGCACCGGAGATCTTTCACCACACACCCAAATTCGTACTGTAGCATAGAAATCTCTCCGAAAAATCATTTAATAACACTGCTATCGTTAGTATAGGTCCCAGATGAAAAAGATGAAGTTATACTGAAGTCTTGATTGGAAAGCTTGCTTTCTCAATGCTCAAGACTTGAAAACGAGAATGGGTGCTACGCTAAGAGGCTAGTGACCAATCAGATCATCGGATTTCACCATTTCTAGTCTAAAACACACCTTATTTCTTCATTTTCGATCTAAACACGGGTACACCCAAAAGAGGAAACACCATAAGGCTGAACCTCGAACATCAACTTTATCAATTTATTCTATTTAATTCCTTTAACGTTACGTAATAAATGATAATAAAGTAAATTTATAGAGTTATAGAGTTAATTATACGCTTTCAAATAAAGTAGCGAAGACGAAATTTGATAAAGTATTCGTAAAGATATACTAAAAACTAAGATTTATCGAGCTCGCGAGAAGAGCCCCTCCGGCAGGAGCCCTCGGAGAGCCCTCGGAGAGCCCCCGGAGGGTCAGGGGGTTTCAGGGGTCTCCCCCGAGTATGTCAAATAAATTATAACGTCTCTCTCGATTCTCAGTGAATTTTAACGTCTCTCGATTCTTAGGATTAGATTTCTTAAAATTCCTTAAACCCTTCGGAGCTCTTTAAGGGCTCTTCGAGAGTTTCTATCGAGGGGCTGTTAAAGCAAGCTTGAAATCAATCAAATATCACTAAAATAATCAAATTTCGAGCTTGCTTTGACAGCCCTCGACAGAAGCTCTCGGAGAGCCCTTAAAGAGCCCCCGAAGGGTCCGAGGGGTTTTAGGGGATCTCCTGAGAATCAAATAGTCACAAACCAGTACTCGGCAAGCTTTTCACTACTGGGAAGCCCGCGCCCCAGCACATATTATGTTCCTTAGCCTCTTAATCGCTATGCCTCTTTCCCTTAGTACTTCTACTCAGGCGAAGGCTAAGCATCTTCTTTATTTCTATCAAAAGCCTTCGCAAGTAATTAAGCGTTATTGGTGCGTTTAGAAGATATAGCTGAGATTTGTATAGCTTCAAAATTGATTAGATGCGATTATTTGCGATGTGGCTACTTGATTTAAATGATTTTGCGGAGAGATTTCTATGCTACAGTACGAATTTGGCTGTGTGGTGTGAAAAGATCTCCGGTGCCAAGCATTCCAGACGTTTTTGAATACGCTAAAAGCTCAAAGCTTTCGACCTCCCATGGTTGGTTGAATCCTTTAGATTGCCGCAACAGTATGACGAGATTGCCGTAGCTTTCACAACAACGCGCCTGGAAGAGAATCCGCCAATGACATGAGATGTCTGAAATCAATGCCACCTACTTGCGTGCGGACCCAGTCTCTTCGTTTCTCTAGACAATCGTGCCACCCGTGGGAATAGTGTCTGGTCTGTCTTAGAATTCAAGATTCTGCTATCTGTTTTTATGCTACTCAATCGGACCATCATATCTTTCAAGTGCCTTTTCTCTGCCTTTTAGTATTTCTGTACTCTATTACTTTGCGGGTTTGATCATGATCCAGATAGATTGAGACCCTTGAGCACAACGAGCTCATATATGTCCTACAGCGATTAGTTTCTACCAGATCATATTTCCTGCAGAGTTTGATTTCTGCCAGATAGACATCTTAAACAGCGTTCTGCCGTGTGTTTCTACTATTCTGCAAGCTCGCTGCCACACCAAGCTGCAGCTAACTCCATCGCGAGGAGAGACATATCAGCCTTGGCGATATTTGCAGTACGCCCCTCGCTCTACTGCGAAATTGCACCTAGGGGCCTTCAGCATTGCCTCTTCTTTATACACGGGTACTATTGCCATCTCATCTTATTGAATCCGCAACCCACGCTTCTCAGGTGCTTTGCAGCTGTCATACCGCCTGTTACTGCTGGTACATGCGCATAGCCAAGTGGGCAGGCTCCTGCTGCTTTCTATGGGTCCCCAGCAAAGGTTCATAACTGATTTTCATGATTTATCTCAGCGACGACAGAAGTGAGGATCCTCCATTAATGCCGGGTCAACGATAAAGGTCCTGATCAGGGTTGTCTAAAGTTGGAGGGCAAGCCCCAAAGTCCGAGGTAAGTTCGCGGTGTCCGTCCAGCAATAAAGGCCATGTTGGTCGCTCAACGAACATGTTTAAGTGGATACGGCAGGGTCATCTGGTTGATACCCTCGCATTAATTTAGGCGTGATGGCTCGATGCGATAGTATAATCGAAACGTATAGAGGGCAATGTAACAGTGACGCAGAAAAGTAGCCAAAACTCCATTTGAGGTTGCTCTTCTCTTTCTCAGAGGGAATTCACTTAATCGCGCATCTTGGAGATGTGGCCGCCAAGGATTTATTTCCTTTCGCAACGATTGCTCGTAGGATTGTTTACGATCTCAGTACCTTGTTCCTGGCCCATTCCCTTTTCTGTAGATCCGGGGAAATTTAGACTTTTCGCGCCGTGCTGGCCTCGGCCAACCCGTTGCGAGTTGCCAATTGCATGGCAGTCTCGACTCACGACGCACTCTGGACTCCCAACAGTCTTCCAGACATCAATTATACACCTTGCTCCCAAGGTCCACGTTGGTTCTTATATCTAATACTCTCCTGGCTATCGTTATTGCAGCCTTACTGTAAGACTACATTTGCAGACATACATCTCATCAATCTGCTTCGCTTTTGCTATCAATCAGAGCCCATCCTACCAGAAACGTATACCATACCTCCCTGCACAAAACCTCTCTAAACAGCACCCTATCTCTAGTCCTAATCCGGATTGGACTTTTTTGGAGAAGGGCCAGAGTTGCGGCTCTTTGGAGCGCCGCCCCTTGAACATGCCGTCTACACGCCGTGTGAAAGTGCTGGCCATAGCCCTCGCAGTCGCCGTCTGCACCATTCTGTATCTCTCGGTGCGTCTTGCCGTGCCACTTTCACACTTGCAAATCGCGCTGGGGTGAGAGATTTTGCTAATCTATGTGCTCGCATGCCCAGAATGACTCATCATCCCAAGACTTCTACAGTCGCACAGTTGCCGCCCTTGACAAGAAGCAAGCGTCGGATCAAGAAGTAGCTCAAAAATTACAAGACATAAAAGATGCAGCCAAAGCGCAGGAACCAGTCGTCCCCACCACTCCTCAGAAACCCATTGCCGCGAGCAACGAAGATGGAAAGCCCATTGAGGTGAAACCCCCGGCCTATGCGGAGGAACAGAACAGTGACAATCCCACCGGGGGAAAAGCCGATGATGACGCAAAGAGTGTAGCTGGAAGGAAAACGATGTTGAAGGGTGGAGAGACCAAAGACCTGCACTCGGGGAAAGAGGCTCCGATGGCGGTGGACAGAGGAAAAGAGAAGTATCCGGCGGGAAAGAAGGTAGAGAAAGAAGAAAAGGTGGAGAGCAAAGAGGACCATGAAGTAGAAATGGAGTTGAACTCGATTCTGAAGAAGGGCCCGAGTACGTCCAAAGCGATACCGTGCGCCAAAATAGGATAAGATGACAATGGCTAAACTGTGATATCTAGTAATCATCTTCAGCAAATCGTACTGTCCCTTCTCCGCCAAAGCTAAACGGATACTGCTGGAGAAGTATACTATCGTCCCTGCTCCCTATGTCGTCGAGCTTGACACCCATCCCCTGGGCCCGGGTCTACAAGCTGCACTTGCGAAAAGCACCGGAAGGCGGACGGTACCCAATGTGCTTGTCAGTGGCAGGAGTATTGGTGGCGGTGACGATATCGAGGCTTTAGACGCTGGAGGAGGTTTGGTTGAGAAAGTGAAGGGAATGGCAGGCAAAAGAATTATGGAGGCTAAGCTCACGGAAGAGCAATAAGGTTTAATATCTCTGCTCCCGGCGCAGATTGTTTGGCATAATTACACAGAAAGGGTTGGGAAAGCGGCATTTCGGCGGACAACGTCTTGGGGGGTGTTTCGAGAGCACGGCTCAGTTTGGGTACAAGTGCTTTGGTGATGTTTTTGGTTCAACATTGGGATACCCAGCGTTCTGTTTTCATTGCATTGATAGAATAGCATTTTGCAATTTTAAATCAACCGGAGGTTGAAATGAATTCGCTCATATGTTCATTGATAGTATATATTTTGGGATTTCTGAGTTGCCAAACCGAGTCATCGACTCGAGCGCTTTGCCAGCAAAACCTTTGGCACCGCGGGTAATTAGCGCCGTGCCAAGACCCTAAGCGAGCAAGCCCACAAATTGACAAAATTCGGCAGTACTCCAAGATCATGAAAGTCATTCTCTGACAACCCTCAGCCACCAAACAAGATGAGGTACATACACTCTGAAGAGACGCTGACCATACCGGCCAATGGTGAGGCTTTCTCCAAATGAATTCGTCTGCGCAGAATAGGAATTCCTCCAGGCTTCGCCGAAGCCTTGAAGAGGGGCATAGCGTTACGCACAGTTTCGAGAACCACTGAAGGACAACGCTGACAGCTGAATAGTTAAGGTACACATCAGATCCAGGATAGTCAGTGTGGACGGTCCTCGAGGTATGCTATGGGGGCCAGAAAGGTCGGGTCGAAATACCGTGTCTTACGCATCGCAGGCAAGCTCGTTAAGGATATGTCCCATCTCTCCGTCTGCTTCTCCCACCCATCAAGAAACATAATCACCATCGAACTACACCACGGCGCTCGCAAAAATGTCGCCACACTGCGCACAGTCAAGAGCCTCATCAACAACTTGATCATTGGGGTCACGAAGGGCTTCAAGTACAAGATGCGATACGTCTACGCGCATTTCCCCATCAACGTGAACATCGAAAAAAATTCTGAGACTGGCCTATACGATGTGGAGATCCGGTATGTTATACCCTTGGGGTATATGGCGAGGACGGTGGTGTTAGTGTTGTTAGACTGACGCATTTGGCTATTCAGAAACTTCATTGGCGAGAAGATCATTCGACGAGTCACCATGTTACCAGGCGTTGATGTGGAAGCTTCAAAAAATCAGAAAGACGAACTCCAGCTCACAGGCAACTCGTTAGAGAATGTCTCTCAGAGCGCGGCGGACATACAACAGATATGCCGGGTCAAGAATAAGGATATCCGCAAGGTAAGCCAGTTTCGCTACTTGATTGTGAACACCCATACTTAACGTTACATCAGTTCTTGGATGGTCTTTACGTCTCGGAGCGAGGGAACATCGAGAATGCATCATAAGGAAATCTAGTGGGGTAGTGGATGTGACAAGCGCTCGAATGATGGGGAGCATCTGGTCCATGCTTCATAGCAGCATAGCACGACTGTCTCAAGTTTTCAAGCTTAAAGATCTTGCCCTTCCTCCACAAGTGCAACAAACATCGTGCTATACGAGTAAGCATTCCAGTAATTCCATGGCGCACCAGCTCGACTATCAACTATAATGATTGACTCCCGCTGTGCTCGTATGCCTCATTCTCCGCGCCAAACCACTGTAGAGACACCTCTAACGCCCCCCCCCCCGGGAAAAAAAAAAACCCAAAACACCTCTAACTCCCAAGTGGCTAGGAGAAGCGAGGCCATCCCGCTACTTTCACACACAAATTTAATAGTTTTTCTCATTATCAAGCACAATGTCGTCGCCCGAAGGCTTCGGCTGTAATAGCGGTAACGGTCAAATGACTGGCTATTATATAGGATCATTCAATAATGTAGGTAATTCTGCTGGGGGAGGCGTCGTCTCCATTTGGTTAGATGTGCGCTTTTTTACCTTGCAGGGGTGCCGCCGAACAAGGGGTGCTCTCCAGCACGCTATATAGCCAACAATGAAGCTCAAGGAAGCTATTCGCAACACTTATTGCAGACTAAATTTGTCCAGTCGTGATTGCGATTGAGTCTAATGCAATGTCGCGCTGATCTGAGAGCAAGTGGCGACCCTCGTTGATCAAGCAATGTGCCTCGTGCCGACACTTTACCAGCAAATGTGTCATCATGCAATTAGGCCGCAATCTTTTTTTGGAACGCAGAAGCAGCTAGGTAACATTAATCAGGTGACCGAACAGCCGAACCAATTCGAATTGCTCTTTGAGGGCCGGCAATCTTGGAGCGACGGCGTGCCGTCCACTACGGTACTTCCGCTAAAGGTAAGTACATCCAGACGTTATCTATTTCTCCGATTCCCGTTTGCGGAGACCCTCGTTCTCGGGGACCCTCGTTCTAACTAAGACAAGTGAGAGCATTTATTCATAACCACCGCCCTCTCTTCAATTATGTCATTCAGTACACCACTGTTACTTCCTGAAATAGTACGTGTATCGCAGATCTATTCATTTCAAAATGGCGAGCGGTAAAGAACTCAACTCATCATGTGTGCTTGACAAGGAAGACTCGCCAGGGGACCGTCTCCATTACCAGAATGGACATTTCCGAGATCCAGAGATGGAAGGTCTCACATTGTATGAAAAGAAAGCCCTGCTTGTCAATCGTGAATTGGATTCCCACGGCATGGGGAAATACCAATGGTACATCTTCTTCCTATGCGGGTTCGGCTACCTTGTAGACCTTCTTTACGCCCAAGCCTTTGGCCTCGTGGAGCCAGCGATGCAACAGGAATTTGGCTTTGGACGTTCGAAACGCTGACCTCCTCTATAAGCTCACACGCTGACGTTGCCACAGCTCAAGATTCCGGCCACATTTTCTCTTCCTTCTCAGCAGGACTGACAGCTGGGGTAAAGTCATTTCTACAAAATGGCTTTGGAGCGCAATGGCTGATCATTATAAATAGGCATTTGTCTGGGGCGTTTTGGTAGACATCATTGGTACATACGTACTCTACTTGCCCTGCCCCGAAATACTCTCTAAGTCTTGGACTAAATCTTCCTCCTAGGCCGCCAGTACGCCTTTAACCTGACAGTCTTGATCTCTTCGGTCTTCGGTTTGTGCCTTGCAGCGCCATCCACTTACAATGGAGTCCTCGTTCTCACAGCTTTCGTGGGTTTTGGTGTTGGAGGGAACATTCCGATTGATACCACAATATGTTTGGAGTTCCTCCCTCAAGTATGTGTCGACCGAATCACGCCTGCTATGGTGTAATCTGACTTCCGATAGAACCGCCGCTTTCTTCTAGCTATGCTCTCAATCTTTCAGCCTCTTGGCGTAGTCATTTCATCGGGCATAGCATATGGGTTCATTCCGTTCGTACGTATTTTTGGGTCGATTCTTCTCTGAGCGGTACCCAGTTGGGGTAGCAAGATCCATTTCTAGAGCCAACGGTGCTCCTCCAAACAAGTCTCGCGATGCGGAATCCTGCCCTGGGACAGAATGGCTGACCGTTTGATCTCTAACAGTACTCTTGCGGAAACGGCGCAGATCAGAAACCACTTCCGGCTTGTAGTAGCAGTACGCTTGCTCCTGGAGCGCCTTGTTGCACGAAAGCTTCGAACGTAAGGACACTCTTCAGCTCAATACTGTCTTGTTTTCGGCATCGTATTCTGGCTCCTGAGGCTTGTTGCGGAGTCGAATAGGGCCTCATTGACTTGACTTCGTTGTCAATGCATATCTCGTGACTTCAATGGTATCTCAATGAAGCAATGCTGACTTGGACCATAGATGGGTTGGAGATACACGTTAATCTGCCTTGGGGCCATCTGCGTAACCATTTTCTTCCTACGTTTTGTTGTGTTCCGTTTCCAAGAGTCTCCAAAATTCCTACTCTATAGGGACAGAGATGACAAAGCCGTAGAGGTGCTTCAAAAGATTGCCAAATTCAATGGTCGCGAGAGCAGCATCACTCTGGAAAGTTTTGAGGCTTTGACCAACGAGCACGCATCTATGGTCAACAGAGATACTGATATGCCGATACCCAATGCGGGAATGGAGGAGCGCACGAGCACCTGGGTCGAAAAGATCAAGATTGAATTGCAAAGGTGCAAGATACTATTCTCGACTTTTCCTTTGGCTCGATTGACAATTTTGGTCTGGATTACCTATATCTTTGATTACTGGGGATTCAGTATTGCGGGTGAGTAGCCGGTCTTGACGAGCTTCAAGTCCTGTTGATTTTGTCACTAATTAATGAGACATCCAGGGTCTTTCCTGCCGACCATTCTACTTCAAAAGAACAAAGCCATTGACATTTCGACTGCAGAGACATATAGGAATTTCGTTATCATTTATGTCTGCGGCATACCCGGTGTAATGCTAGGTACGCTGATGTACGTGATCCCACGAGTTGGTCGCAAATGGGTACGTATCTGAGATTTTCTGTTAAGTGTGTCTGTAGTGGAATCGCAAGACCGCCTCCTTTGCCATGTGCTCATTTCTTAGCTCAAACTTGCCCGATGTGAGGAGATGCTAATTTCCACCTAGGCTATGGTAGGATCTTCGGCCCTTATGGGCATATCGCTGTTCCTCTTCGCAACGGTCAACACCGAGGCTTCGAATATCGGACTAAATGCAATGGTACGTAAGATTTCAGAATGATACCTTCCCATATGGTCCTGAGTGTCGACTTGCAATTATGTTCTGGGTGCTCCTTTGTCTTCCCACACATGTTTTTGAACTCGTTCCATTGCCCTAAGGTAACACCGCTGACTTAATAATGTGCGTAGGAATACTTTTTTCAATCCATGTTCAACGCTGTCCTCTACGGATGGACACCAGAAGTATTCCCAGCACCAATCAGAGGGACCGCGTCCGGGCTCGCAAGCTTTTGGGGTCGGCTGTTTAGTATAGTCTCACCGTTGATTGCGGCGGATTTGCTTTCGAAGAGTGTCAACGGCCCGCTTTACCTGGCGGGTTCAGGCGTTTTCGTTTCTACTATTGCCCTTGTGCTCATGCCAACAAAGTCGATGGGAGCACAGAGCTATTGAACGCTATCTGCCCGATAGAAGAGAGGGTCTGAAGATCTGATGGTGGTGTACAAGCATTTGGATGGGCACACAGTCGCAATGCTTTATGACCCAAGAGTTGTGTCAAAGGATGGAAATGATAAGCTGGATAGGTGGGGAGGTCAATAACGAACAATATACTGGCGTAAGCCGATACTCTTGACAAGACCTAGTTGTCTCGGTTCTAATGCTTCATCGGAGATGATTTTCACCTCCTAGATGTACTCCCACGCGCAAGTCTGCAGCTTTCAAAGCTGCCACTCGACGGGCACTGTTCAATTATTATATCTACTTGAATCCCGCAGAGTCTTAGCCTTCTAGGCCCAGCATCATTGATGGTCAGCGACTTACGCATTGATTGAGCGTACGGAAATCTAATGTCTCAAAGTTCAATGCCAATCCTATGTGTTGAAGACGCACTAGAATTGTCTGAGACCGTCCATAAGCCCATGCCGAATCCCTTTACAACATCTTCCTTTCACAAATGCAACCCTCTTATAGAAAGCATTCCCACACTGAATCTAAACCAAATCAGAACAGCCACGGACAGTGGCCATTTCTTTTCGGGTTTTATCGATGATTGCTGCCTTAGGAGATGGCGAAAGGTTCCAGGACGTATACAGCCTGACACTCCGGGCTTGCTTTGAAGATATTGACCACGCTAGAAAACGAACATGGACAAGACCTTTGTTCGACGACTGTATGGCAACGCAACCAAACATTCAAAATCGGATTGGCAGAGCCTTTCCCTTCTCTGAGAATTTTAGGGAACCATTGCAATAGGCCATGCCCCACGACAACAGTGGTATTCACAGCAACAAGGACGCCTTTGGTAGTTGGAGCGACTCGAAACAGAGGTATCTCGTGAACTTTGAATGATTCTCAAATGGCTGATGAAATGTAGGCAGCTAAATCTTGCTGACAAAAGATCAAGGCTTGATAGGTTCGATAAGATATCTGACCATAAGGTATTAGGTAAGGTACATGCCTATTAGATAAGTAGCTTACCGTTGTGTGTTTCATCTATCGATCTCCAACACTAGCCCAATGATTGAAAAGCCGACGCTAAGTTACTAGAAACACCAACACGGCGTCGACAAAGTAGTGGAAGGTAATGCCCAGGTACCTGGCATTTCTAACAAGCTGGTACGTAGTTCAGGTGCTCCGAGTCGACGCCGGGCCAGATGTTATGGGAATGCCGTCTGTCAGTCAAGGTATATCCGTCCTTCTCATATTGTCAAGGCGACAACAGTCTAGTCGGTAGCTCCGGCAGGATCAGAATGATCTCTGCGATCTTGGCCAACATGGAAGGCCGAGACCCGAATTTGTAGTGCGTATGTGTTCGCACAATTTTCGGTTATTGAAGATCTTGCAGCTCGCTCATTTCTGGCGGCATCCTCCTGCTCGCATCATTTGGACAGTTGGACATGCAAAGCATTTTACTGCTAGAGCCTCTCTTGCTCTCCGAGTCTCCATGCCACCATGATTCAAAGGCTCCCCACAGCACAGCGACCCATGCGACAATGGGAGATTCCCAAGAGGTTCCGCGGGGATTCCAAGTCTTGGTCTTTGACTCTGACGTCTTCGGCTAGATGTTATCACAGACCCCGCGGTCACCCAAAAATCGTGGTGAATGGCGAATTTGAGGCCAAGTCTAGCTAAGCTTACACGAAGCGTGGAAGCTTTATAGGCTCATACGCTTGCAGGGGCCCGGACTTGGTCATAGTTCCTCTCATCTATCAGTGGCTGCGAGGCGATGAGGGGCATAGCCTTTTGGAGCTAGCATGGCTGCAGAGTGGAACAAAGTGGAGTCTCGAACGTCGAAGATCATTAGATTGAAGACTTGGGCGGCGCAAACATGTGCATTTCTAGACAAACCCTCGGCCCAGTGCTGATGGATTGAGATGCTTGCTTAATGCTTACTTACTTATTAAACCAACACCTTTCCCGCTTAGCGTGCCTTGCTACTTGCTAGCCTCAGTCCCCTGCCCAGATGGCGGTCTCAGGATCGGCAACCCCACCAGACCCCCAAAAATTCCTCCTAGCAAGTTCAACTGAAGCCTTGTGCTGACGACTTGATCTAACAAATTCTTCTTCTCACCTGCTTTTCCTCCGCAACAACCAGCGAATCTTTTTTCACAATCAACAGCCCGTACTCGAGCGACATTTCCTCGAGCCGTGCTTAGGGACAACCCCCATATATCCTTACATCCTTTGTGGTTAATGCTCAGCGAGGTCGACGGACGCAAACCTTTCTACTACACTCCCCTGATACATAGTATCGGCAGCATCAAATGGCGTTAGGCAGGAAGGGTCGCAATGTCGACAATACTACCCACGAAATTGACCCCAACTCCATCACCAAGGAGGGGGGCCAGTACTACGACGCGGAAAGTCATGAGGAGAAGGGAGGTCGCAAGATGAGCAGGGTAGCTGGTGTCATGGGCGGCGAGTCTGATCAAGACTCCCAGCTGGGCGTGGGAAAACAATTGGAGCTCGAGGCAACCAACTCCATAAAGTACAGAACATGCTCCTGGCAAAAGGTGATTTGATATTTTTCCATCACCTTGTTTTCCTCAAGGGACGAGGAACGTCTACGACGAGCCGCGGCAAAGACATCCGAGCAACGCAGAGACTTCCTGATATGCGCTCTTTGCCTTGAGTCACTGAGTGGGCTATATCCTAACAAATGATGACAGACTGCTGCGTTACTCTTCTCGGAGTATATCTGTCTGGCTATCATGTCATTCCCTTACTCCTACTCCGTTTTGGGGTTGGTTCCGGGTCTAATTGTCACGGTGGTTATTGCCATGTCCGTGCTGTACACGTCCTTGATTGTTTGGTACGTCTCTTTTCTGCCCAACAGCCTGGCATAGGATTCGCGCTCATGTTCGTACCAGGGAATTCTGTCTCCGTCACCCCGAAATTCGAGACGTTTGTGATGTCGGCCAAATGCTTTACTTTGGATGGACATGGGTCTGGTACTTTACCGCCGCCATGTTCCTGCTCAATAACACCTTCATTCAGGTCAGGTTTGGGAGAAGTGACGTCGTTGGTTGTTTGCTAACAGTTTTAGGGTCTTCACGTCTTAACTGGCGCCAAATATTTGAATACCATGAGTGGTGGCGCAGTATGCACTGTTGGCTTTTCCGCAATCTGGGCTGTCCTTTCCTTCTTTTCCTCTCTCCCGAGGACGTTCGACACTCTTTCGAAGCTTGCGACCCTTTCGGCTTTTTTCACGTTCGTCTCTGTTCTTTTAGCAGCCATCTTTGCCGGGATTGAAGCTCATCCCTACGGTTACAATTCGCCAGACGGCGGCAAAGACGGCCTAATGACTGGGAACCCCATAGTCTTGGTCATTCCAGCTGCAGGGACCGGTTTCGTCAGCGGAATGAATGCTTTTTTGAACATCAGCTACACCTTCATTGGTCAAATTACGATACCGAGTTTCATAGCTGAGATGAAGGAACCCAAGGACTTTCCCAAGGCGCTTTGGGCCGTCACCATCTGCGAGATCATTGTGTTCTCTTTGACCGCATCAATCGTGTACGTCTACACCGGGACACAATACAACACAGCTCCCGCCTTTGGATCGCTTGGCAATGAGTTGTACAAAAAGGTGTCATTTTCGTTCATGATTCCAACTTTGATCTTTTTGGGTGTCCTCTACGCCTCTGTGTCTGCACGCTTCGTCTTCTTCAGGATCTTCGAGGGTACGCGCCACAAGGGAAACCATACCGTCGTTGGCTGGGCGACATGGGCCGGTATCCTGGCTTGCACTTGGATCGCCGCTTTCATCATCGCCGAGGTCATTCCGTTCTTTTCGGACTTGTTGTCATTGATGAGCTCACTCTTTGACTCGTTCTTCGGCTTCATCTTCTGGGGCACTGCCTACATGAGGATGCGGCGCGCCGACTATGGCCCTGGGTGGCTTTCGAAACGAGGTATCCGAGGGATTTCTGGCTTTATTCTGAATGTCATACTCATTTGTATCGGTCTATTCATGTTGACTGGTGGAACCTATGTGAGCATTTTCATCATTGGTATTGAAGCTTACACATACTAATCTCCGTTTAGGCTACGTGCCAGAGTATCGTGAACAATTACAAAGACGGCCTCGTCACTGGTGGTCCTTTCACTTGCGCCAGTAACGGACTGTAGGGGAAGTTGTGCAATGAACATGAGAGGACTTCTTTGTATTTGTTTGCTTAGGACTGATGCTCTCATGTACATCTATGGGCAATATGCACGTATAAAATGTTTTCAACTCAGGCCTATATCTGATTTGAGGAGGAATGGGCCGACTGAAATAGACAAAAACTCTGTATGTTTCCATTGAGGTCTTATGGATGCACTATCCAGGCTCGTAAAGATGCACATTGAGAGAATTGCCGCTCCATAGAAAACCTTTCGTTCGGCTGACCTAGCTTTCCCCACCTCCGACATCATCTCCCCTTTCAAAACTCCAGACTGTAATTGAGCCACGCATGATGCGGCATTGAGGACGAGTGCAATCTCGCCTCACTTCACGAAGAACTCTCGGCCTTGAATACATGAAGATGATTAAGTGCGTAAGAGCCGGCAGCGGAGTGGCCAGTAAAACGTTAGAACTTGGCGGAAAGCCTGCACTATTCAGAAGCATATCTACTTCCGCTATCGTGCGTGTTGACGCTACCCTGAACGCTTCTGCTTCCACTTCAAGACCAGGTGTTGCCTCATGTCTTCTTCGCCATGGCCCCGTTCTCCGAGTAAAGCCCGCGGGTCTACCTCCTCAGTGCAGACAGGCTTCCAGCGATGCCTCAACCAGTGATGGAGGCCTCAACCACACGGCCCTTCACGAGCTCCACGTCAGAAACGGGGGCAAAATGGTTCCATTTGGAGGCTATTCGATGCCAGTACAATACTCCGACCTCGGGGTGGGAGACAGCCATAAATGGACTAGGGAAAAAGCCAGCCTCTTTGACGTGGGCCACATGTAGGCTGCTGTCCCGTCTCATGCTGCTCCCTCCTTGATTGTGACATTGACATTCCCTACTCTAGGGTACAACACCGTATGTCTGGCCCAGGCGCTGCACCTTTACTCGAAAAGATTACTCCTTCATCCACAGCCTCCCTCCAGACCGACCATTCGACCCTTTCCTGCCTCTTACACCCAGCTACCGGAGGTATAGTCGATGATACCGTCATAACACGCCTTGGTCCTGAACTGTTCTATCTCGTCACCAATGCGGCGTGCAAAGCTAATGATATGGCATACCTCGAAGAACAAATTGAATCCCGTGATACAAGCCACGGTACCGTGGAATGGGAGGTGCTCAACGACTGGGGTCTCGTAGCTCTGCAAGGTCCGCTAAGCGCAGATATCTTGCAGCGAGCGCTCGTGACGGCTGGGGTAGAGGATGTGGACCTCCAAGCTTTATACTTCGGGCAGTGCATACACGTCACCCTCAATCTCTCCCCAAAGCAATCGTCCAACACCGACACTCCAATCTTGATTTCTAGAGGGGGCTACACAGGCGAGGATGGGTTCGAGATTTCGATACCGCCCGCACTCACCGTCGCATTTACGACTCACCTCTTAGAAAGTGGTGGACGCGAACGATTACGATTGGCAGGCTTAGGAGCTAGGGACAGCCTCAGACTAGAAGCAGGCATGTGTCTTTATGGGCATGATTTGGACGACAAGACTACGCCCGTCGAAGCGGGTTTGAGCTGGATTGTGCACAAAGACCGGCGGGCAAATGGAGGATTCCACGGGGATGAGACGATACTGAGGCAACTGCGACCTGTTAAGGATGGAGGCTCAGCGCCCAAGCATAGGCGAGTAGGCTTGATCGTTGAAGGGGCACCAGCAAGGGAGGGAGCAGAAATCACGAATCCCGCAAGTCCAATTTCTGCGGAAGTGGTCGGAAGGGTGACGAGTGGGTGCCCTAGTCCAACACTGGGAAAGAATATTGCAATGGGATACGTCAAAACTCCCCTCCATAAGGCCGGCACTCCGATCGAAGTCTTAGTCAGGGGAAAGAGGAGGAAGGCCGAGGTCGTAAAGATGCCTTTCGTGAAAAGCCAATACTGGAAACAGGCCGCGGGTACATCACCAGGCTAAGATGCCTGACATGAGTGGTTAGGGTAATGACGAAGGCCACTTCCAACGTGTGGGTGGAGAGAGACGCTGGAGTCTCTCGCGTTCTCGAGTTGCGTGGATTCAAGTTGCCTAACCTTGATGGCGAAGCATCGTTCCAATGTCGGCCAATCCAAATCTGTCGTTCTAGCGGTGAGGATACGATATTCGGGAACTCCAGTGTTAGCCTCTGGCTGCTTCTCAACTAAGCAGAACTTGGCACAGGCTTGAAAAATGACGATCCTACCTTAATATTCCCGTGGTATCTCACGCCCTGGGATGCCATTGTGTCATCCTTTTGCTCAACAATTACCTTAGCATGCAGACACAGAGACAGGGTACTCTCCAGCTCATACGATGGTCATGAACTGATAAACCTCGCTAGTAACCTGTGCTTCGGAGATACAAATCTGGGGGAGGCCGTGAAGCTCTCGAAGGATTGAACACCAGCTTCGTAATAGAGAAGGTGTTTGACTCTCAGTCTGAGGCAATTTTTTTGTCGATGGTATCTTTGGTTATCTTAGTAGCCAGCACGATGTCATGAGCTATGCCCTCAGAACCCTGAACCGACGATGATTAATTCCCCCGCTTCCTCAAACAGCCCAGGTACTATCTCAAACCTTCCTACCACAAAAAACTGTCTCGATGTGCAGGATAGACTGCCATACCCTGCCAATGCCCCGCTGGCCCCTCCTGTGCTATCCCAAGTTGCTGTACAGCTGTTCCCCCCGACTCCTCAAGGTCAATTACCACCACACTGTTAGCGCCGCTCAGAATGTACATCCACTGCCTGTCGATGATGGTATCAAAACCCCCAAGAGCATCAGCTTGAAATTGGATCACGCCTTTGATTGCTCCGCTGAGAGGATCCAAGGCTGTGACATTTGTACGATTTGCATCCACCACGTACACGGTACCATAGTGGCGCGAATAGGCTGCCCAACATACAGCACCCTGGTTTGGAATGGTGGTGTGGTGTGTCTCCGTAACAGTCAAGTCGGAAGCGATGTTGACAATCGAGGCACCAAAGGTGGGATCCGTTATAAGAGCCGAGGTTTCGGAGCCAAGGAAGTTTATGCTGTAGTCCAGTATGAGTGCTGATGGGGATGATATGATCGCATCACTGGATATCTGCCCGTTGTTGACGCCGAAGGCGTAAATGTAACCTGGGACTGCAGGAGGTCCGGGTTTGCCCTTGATTGTTACGAAGAGAGCTGATGAGCTGGGGCTAAAGAGGATCTCGGAGGCTGAGTCTGGTGGTCCGCTAGGCGGGGTGTTTGTATGAAGGTTTTTGAGCGGGCGAAGGCCGCCGACTGGGGAAAGGCCGTTTTCAATCGAGACCGTGAAGCATGCAACTCCATTCTTGGCTCCACCATTGACGACGCAGGCTGAAAAGTGTTACATCAGTGGGAGTCTTGGTGTACGACTATCGAGAGGATTACCTGTGTTGAGTTGCGCGGAGTAGGTCACAGACTGTGGAAACTCGCCTTGTGTATCGACAGGCTTGCCAACAAGCTTGGGGTAGAGGGGTGCCCAAGGGTAGATTACGAACATCGACAGGGTGTGACTGCCTGAATTGACGGTGAAAAGATACTGCACAACGAGATACCACCATTAGGAATTTTGGGAATAATGTGCAGGCTATTGACAGAGACATACGTTTTCAGAAACCACGACCGAGTTTTGCCCGAAGAGGCCGTCTGATCCGACAGTTGTACCAACAGGTCCGAACGGTGGGCCGACATTTAGGCCCAGCAGGCCTTTGCCTCCAGTCGGGGTCAGGACGGGCGAAGACAGAGTGCCATTATAGGAGGCAGCGAGTGAAAGGATGTTGTTTCCTTCCGGATTATTGGACAATGTAAAAATTGCCCTTTGGCAGTCATCGTACCGACCTTGCGCAGGGAGAGTTGAAGCTAAAGCAAAGCACGTGATGAGGATGAAGAGCAGAAGCATGATGAAGGGGTCAAGGCAAATGTCGAATAACAATTGGTAGAGAACCTCTTAGACCAATAGTATTTCAAATCTAGAAAAAAGAGAGAAACGACAGGTGTGAACGTTGAGAAGTCTGAATGTTTGAGGGATGTTGCCTTCTTATGCTGCGGCTGCAATACCTTCTCAACAGCAGCTTTATGGTGTAAATAAGAGATCATCTAGAAATACCTCAACGGACCTGCATGCGGACCTTAAGATTCCGTAATCTTCAGAACGAGATCCGTGTTATTGGACCGGGCGAGCTTGGAAGCGAGATTTTGCCATTCCTACCTGCTACCGTGCGACTTTTACCGACATCTCGCGCGTGGAAAGGAGAGAAGTTAATGGAGAAAGGAAAAGAGGAGCATAGCAGGCTAAGGACCGGAACAAGTTCAGGGTTCGGGTCTTCCCAGGATTTCACCCTGTTTTGAGGTTGAGGTAAGCGTTGAGAGACATGCCGTTGGTGCCCCTGCCGCTAACTCCGTACGCTGCAATGCAAGGATCAGGCATGATGAGGAATCTTTCATCAGCCTCGTCTTGAGGCTCAAGCACCTCGAAGACCTCGTGCGCTCTTTTAGAGGCCACGCATGAGATGAGCTGCAACCCTCGGCCTTCTTCATTGAGCAGCCGGGTCCGTGTTGAATGTTGAATGAAAGCCGTGTTCAAAATGCATCTTTTACCCCGAGGTGAAGGTCGCAAAGACGAAGCATACCTAGTAGGTGTAGCGGCAACATGGATATGGTATTGTACTGTGTAATAGAGATGATTATTTCTCTGCTCAGAAGTAGCTACTTATAGTATAAAGCTAAGGGTCTTACCAAGATACTTCCTTAGCAGACACGAAAGATATATGAGAGTAAGTTGATTTGAAAGTTATTTATTTTATCCGGCTGTTTAGCTAAGAAAGCTATTCTTAACGAAGATACCTTAGAGAAAATATACGATTAGGGTATGTCACGTGACTATATCATTGAATCGTTATTTGTTATAACTTTCGATTAACTTTTAATTAACTTTTTATTAACTTTTTATTAATATTAAATTAATATATAACGAGTAAAGGCCTATAAATCAAATTTATAATTATTTTTTTAATTAAGACTATCGAGTAAATAGATAAGCGATCTTTAATAAGCGAACTTTGATAAGTAATATTTAAATACCTTGCGCTTTAATAATTATAAGACTATATTTAAAAATTCTTCTTTTATCTAAAAGCTTATATTTTTTTTTTATAATTAAAAAAAAAGATTAAAATTTTAATAGAAAATAAAAAAGTTATTCTAAAATTAAATAATATACACTTATTTTTTTATTAGGGCTGTCGGTAAATTTGATAAGCGAAACTTTAATAAGCGATATTTGAATTTCTTACGCTTTAAGAATTATAAGACTAAATTTAAAAAATCTTTTTTTATTTAAAAGCCTATATTTCGTTCTATAATTTAAAAAAAAATCGTAAAATTTTAATAGAAAATAAAAAAGTTATTCTAAAATTAAATAATATATATCTATTTTTTAATTAGAGCTATTCGACTATCGAGCGAACTTTAATAAGCGATATTTTTTTAATAGTTATAAATATTAATTTATTTATTTATAATAACTTAGTTAATTTAATTAAAGAGCGTAGTAATCTTAAATTTATACGAAGAATAATATTAAAAGTTTTATATATACGCTAAATCTCTTAATATACTTAGTATTTTAATAAATCTAATCTTTTTCTTAGATAGCTTTATTTTTCTAGTAATAATACTTTATATACGGAGGTCGATATTAAAAGTCCTAGACAGCGCTAAAATACTTAGTACTCTTAGTATTCTTAGCACTTTCTATATAGTTATATTTATTTAATAATAATACTTTATATCAGTATATATAAAAGAATAAGGTAGGGCTGAACTAGAAAACCTTGAATTTGTATGTGCAGCCAATCATCAATTCGTCAGGTCTACGCTTTTTGGTTAGACACCGCGGGTAAATAAATTAGCGTCCGCAACCATCAAAAAAATAGGTGTACATTATTAACACATAGAATAACTTTTTTATTTTCTATTAAAATTTTGAGATTTTTTTTTTAAATTATAGAATAAAATATGGGCTTTTAGATAAAAAAAGAATTCTAAATTTAGTCTTATAACTATTAAAGCGCAAGGAATTCAAATATCGCTCACCAAAGTTCGCTCGACAGCCGGACAGCCCTGATCAAAAAACAGGTACACATTATTTGATTTTAGAATAACTTTTTTATTTTCTATTAAAATTTTGAGATTTTTTTTTAATCTTTAGAACGAAATGTGGGCTTTCAGATAAAAAATGAATATTTAAATTTAGTCTTATAATTATTAAAGTGCAAGGAATTCAAATATCGCTCACCAAAGATCGCTCACCTATTTACTCGATAGCCCTGATTAAAAAAATAACTATGAATTTAATTCATAGGCCTTTACTCGTAATTATATATATACTTATTAACTCGCTCGACGAAGTTATATAATTATATATTATCTTTTCTATAATCTTTTCTATACTCGTTATTATCTTTAAGATATATTACCTTTATAATATATCTTAGTATTCGCTTTATTTACTTCTAAATCCTCTTTTAAATAAGCTTATAATTTTAATAATATAATTATTATCTTTCGACTTTCTTATAAATTCTTAATATATCTTTTTAAGTAATATAACGTTTTATTTATAGTTAATAAGATATTAAGACTTAATAAATATTTAAATTTAAGTATTATTATTATAATTAATACTTTAAATATTAGATATATTAATAAAAGATAATTAAGATAGAGAATAATAAGAAGATTTCTACCTTAGAGGAAATATACGATTAGGGTATATCACGTGACTATATCATTAACTCGATATTTGTTATAACTTTCAATCAACTTTCAATCAACTTTTCATTGATGTTAAATTTTCTATAATAGTAGATTATTCGATATTGAAAATGAATAGATGATTATTTAGTAATTCCCTCATTATATATTAAGGTTTAAACTAGTTCGGGTATCTCGCTTCGCTTATAATAGCCTATTCATCAACGTCACGTGATTTATTTTTCGATTCTTCGATTTTTCTCGAAATTTAATATATAAGTAAGATATATAGCCCTATAGGGCTGTGGGACTTAAAGAAATTTTCGAAAAATTTCATATATTACCGCTATTCATTAATTCTCTACTAGTAATATATTAATGTATTACTTTATAGCGTAGTATTGAAATAATAATAAATCGATATCTCTTTCATATTCTATTAACTATTCATTAACTATCCATTAATGCTAAATTTGACTAAATCTTCTATAAATAGAAAGTTTTATATAACTCTATTCGATATACGTTATATAGAACGTAAAATCTGAAAATATTCGGTGTGTAGTCCTTATTATGCAAATCGTATTGTTATCGCTAATAGTTTATCTATTTTCTATTAATAGTAAATTCCCATATGTAGTAGCTCCCGTAAGGTACTTTTAGAGATCTTAGAAAGATTTATATATATAAAGTACTTTATTAAGATTAATATTCGTAATATATATTATGAAATATAAATACGAAAGGGAGATAAGTAAAAAAATTATCTTTCAAACTCGTTACGATTAATTCGAATATTAAGTAATATCTTTTAGTCTTATAAATATTCTTATAACCTTTTAAGCTTATATAAATAAAGTATTTAAATTATATATTAATATCTTTTATATAATATACTTAGATAATATACTAATCTATTCTAAAACGAAAGAGTTATATTAAGAGTATATATATAAAATATTACGCGTATTATTAAAGTATCGACTCTATATAAAATTATTAAAATATACTTTTAATCGTAATAAAATTATTTTTTTAAAGTTCTTAATAAATTAGCGTAATATCTAAATAAAGTTATTATATATTAAAATTATTACTAAGTAGCTAGAATTAGAGTCTATTAAGAATATCTTAATCTTTCTAAGATTTATAGGCTTTTATTAATAATTTATATAAGGCTTTTTATAAATAGCTACGTCTTTAATAAATCTAATCTAAAAGATAAAAAAAGGTAAGATTAGATTATCCTTTATATTTAATAAAGAAGTATATAAAACTTTTAAAATACTTAAGCGAGTATTTATTATTATATTTATACTAAAATACTATAATTAGAAAATATCGCTTATTATAAAAATTAATATTTCTAATATAGATATAGATAATATACTTAGTTAACTAAGCGAAAACGAATAATAATATCTTATTACTTTTTCTAATTATAAATTTAAAGATATTAAGCTTCGCTAAAATATATATAATAAGAAGCTCTATATAATTATACTAGGCTTTAAGAATTAAAGATATTATTTATAAAATAATAAGTATCTTATTTATATAATTTTAGATTATAATAACTTATATTATTTTATAATAATAAAAGAGTTTAATATAAAGTAGATTAATTAAGCTAAGAAATTAGTATATTTAACTTTATAATTAAATATTATAAAAAAAAACTTAATTCTATAAATATATTGTTAAAAAAATCTAATATTATTAAATTCGATAATAGCGAGAATAATAATAATAATTTTTTCTCTATCTTATAAAATAAGCTTTATAATTAGAAATATTAATTTAATTTATAAGAATATAATAATATATTTATTATAATTAAACTTATAGCGTTAATAAAGTAACTAAATAATATTATCGTTATAGATATTTAAGTTATTAATTTAAATAAGAGAGTACTTAATAGATAAATATATATTCTAAATATTATAATATCGTCTTAACTTCTAATTTATTAAATTTTAAAATTAAATTTTTTTTATTTAAAATTATAAGAATTAATAATAATATAACTACTTAAATTATAATATAAGAATACTTTTATTATAAATAAAAAGTAATACTAAAAATACGCTATTAAATAGAATAAGCTTTTAAAATAAAAAGTTAATAAGAATAAACTATTAC